ATCTTTCTATCTAGTTTTTTAATTTATCTTTTAATATCGCATTTTAGTATTAACTTTTGTTCTAATTTAAATTTTCATATATTTCTAGTTTTTTTATCTTACATATTTTTTTATTCTTTTTACACGTGTCTACAAATTAAATCAAATAATTTACTGTAACAATATATATTTTTTTGCCTTAGACCAAACGGTCTAAGGCACTCGAAAAAGTTTCTCAGCACTTACGACCGTGAAAAATCAAAGACACGTCATTGAGTTCACTGTGACTAAGGCAGAAATGATGATGATAATGATTTGGGAATATAAATAGGTATTATATCGGATAATAATTATATATTCACAAAATATCGATATATTTTTTAAATCCTTACTTCACACAGAAAACAATATACCTAATAACCAAGACAATTAGATGCTCTTAAAAGATTTTGCAACATTTTTTACACACAGAATACAATGAAGAAGCTTTTTAGTGTCACTATTGCAAACCGCTATTGTTTTTGTTTCGATTCTTGTATTATTCGTTTAATTAAAATGCATTTTTTGCAATAATTCGCGCTGTGTGATTTCATTAAGCATAAAAGAATATTTTCGCAATATCCACAATTCAGTTAAATATTCACTTTCACTATTAAATCTCGCGTGTTTTTGTATAGTATTTGTTCAGTTTATTTTATTCAAAAAAAGGTGCGATATTAAGTAATTACCAAATATTTGTCAAGCTCATGTCTGTATGTCATTTGCAGCTTATTCAACCATTTTTAATTATGGTGTAGCCTCCCTCACATATCTAGATACTCTATTTGTAGTTGGACCCATTGTTGTCAATTGTTGTCTATGCGAGTTTAAGTTATCGCTGCTAATTTCATAATATCAATATCCCATCTCAGGTTTGGTCTTCTTTTAGGTCTCTTAATTCTTCGTTGTACCATGCTGTAATTTTTGCGGTCCATCTTTTGTCCGTTCTTGCCAGGTATCCCGCCCACTGCCATTTGAGGAATTTGACTCTGTGGATGACTCTATTACCTGGGTCTTTTGTTGTATATATCCACTCTAATCTTTTACGGTCTCTCTTGGTTATTCCCAGCATATTTCGTTCCATTGAGTGTTGTGCCACCCGCAGTTTCCTTATAATGTCTGTTTTAAGTGTCCAGGTGTCGCATGTATGAATTTGGAAAATAAGTTCGTTATTGTAATTCTAATAAAGAATATGCATTCCTTCGGAAACTCTCTATTTATTTATCTAGTAATGCTAAAACACTCTATTTGAAAGTCGATTAGAGAAAATAGTATGATTCATTGGCAAGCGACGTAAATATTTGTGATCAGATAAAATTGTGATGTAAGAGGAGGCTTAGCTTGCTGGCGGCGAGTCAGTAGTAGATGGGCCGGCCGGCTGTGTAGTGTTGTGTTTTTGTCACAGAGCTGACAATTGGGGGTTGCGAGTCGTTTGACTGTAAGGCAGCGCTGTCGTTTGACCACAAGAAGAAAACCTTTTGTGATGTCTTGCCTTCGAGCTGCTCTGGAAAGTTTGAGGTCTCCATAATGTCTTCTCGATTGACGATGCGGCGATGGGGTATTGAGGTACCCCAATTAGCCTATTCGATTGGGTTGCGAATCTGTTTAGCGGCAGATTTGCGTTCGGGGGAAGCCCCTATACTATTTCAGGTGAAACTAGCTAGTTGTTCAAGATTATTAACCAATAGATCCGAATAATATTTGAATTAGATGGACGATATGGAATGGGATATATTGAATAGAATGTCAGTGATGTCAGTGGCTAGGGGGCGGTGTACCCCCGGGTGAGTTTTACTATTTAACTATCAATTTTACCCAGATCAGTAGATGTTTGTTTTGTTATTTTCATGTACAATGAGAGAGTGCTTGCCAATGATCAACTAAATGAATATATGTGCGGTTATAAGTATGTGCTCTTATTTAGCACTCACTCTGTATAAAACATTTCATAAAAAACAGCTGTTATTCGCTGTACCAGTTGAAATTTGGGTTAAATTCAAGATACAGTTAGGTAACTCCATAAAATTATAATGTAAATAGTTCGATTTTTAACAAAAATAAAATAAATAAGAGTTTCTCTTTAATTATAGATACCTGTAAATAAATAAAATTTTACGTAATACTAAAAAAAAGTAAAAATAGAAACAGAATATGTACTTCTAGTCTAAGTAAAGAATTCATTTCTTTTTTTTTTAACTGTTAGTATGCATTTAAATTTAAAACAGTTCTAAATAGTATTTTACATATTATAGTTATTTTTATTCTGTTATATTACCATTCAACCTTGTTTCATAATGAAAATACTAATAAAAATAGATAATTTTTTGCGTTAGTTACATAAAAGTTTTTGCCTTGCTCGGTGCAAGGCAAGAACACCGTTTAATTTAACTATAGTTACAGTTTCATAATAAATTTGCAATATTCAAGTAATGTTTATGTCAATAATAATTTACTAATTAACAGGGTTTTTTTGTTGTGTTGGTTAAATAAGAACTTTTTTAAGCGGTATGAATTTGAATAATTTAATACATGCACTTAAAGCGACCTTTCACTGAGGTAGTAGAGGTAGAAAAAAACAGTAGATAATTTTTAAACACTGTTGATTTTCGAAGTAAATATTCTTTACAAAGAGAAATGCATTTTTGCATCCGTTGCAACCAATTATTCTGAAAGCATTTATTCCACTTTCTTGTTAGTACCTTCAAAATTGCGTTTTTGAAGGCGTTGACTGCATCTTCTGGGGCCTGGAACGTCTTTATTTTTTGAAAAGAAAAAAAGTCGTTAGGACTTGGGTCAGGATTGTATGGTGGATAGTCCAACAATTCGATGTTTTCTTCGAATGAGTTTCGAAAAACCAACTTTTCTTTCGAAAGTTGGTTTTTCGAAACTCAGCAATTACTTCCGGCAAACAAATAGATTTGTACCAATCAGTAGTAACAGTTCTTTGGTCTTACAGAGGAATTGTTGCTACATGACCCGCTTTTGAGACAAATATCGCCACCATCTTTTTGGAAACCTCTGTTGGGAACTTTTGTCAGTTTTGGTTCATCTCAGAACACCCAAACAGATGATTGACGTTTATTTTCGGGTTTATAAGAGTAAATCCAGGATTCATCCCCACGGGCAATAATGAATATATTTTTTGAGTGCCCTACGATAAACTGGTGTAGAGTTTTTTTACATCAATTGACTCTAATTGCTTTCTGTTCTTCCTTCAACAGATGCGGTATTCAACGAGAAACTAATTTTATACAGAAAATTCTTCATGTAATTTTTTTTGAAATGCCCAATAATGCTTCAATTTTCAGATATGTGAAGAATTAAAAAAAAATACACTTACATAAAGCTATTTTTCATTAGTAAACTGTCCAAAAGGTATAAAATAACAGTACCATCCGACAAAAATAACCAAAAGAACGCACTATTATTCTATATTAGCTACATTGACATTTACAAATAAATAGTAGTACCAAAAATTAAAAAACAAAAAAGAAATTGTAAAAATGCAAAAATTACAGAAAAATATTTGTTCTTTTAAAAGAAAAGTAAATATAGTACTATATTGATCATCTATTATAGTTACTATATCTATACTAAAAAAAAACGGCGTCAACGATGGCTATGAAATGAAGATCGCTGTCATTTTATATGTAAAATTATATGGGAAATGTCATCGATCGTCATTTCCAAGCCAACTGGACGCCGTTTTTTTTCGATCATAAGGTATATAAAATCCTTAAGTGACTGACTCACTGATTAATCACGATCCTGCTCAAACCACTCAACGTAAAAAGCTCAATTTAGGCATACAGGTTGATTCTAGGGTGTAGAGGTTCGATAAGAAGGTATTTTTCGAAATTCCAGTTCCAAGGGGGTGTAACCACCCCTCAAATATTACAATATTTTTTATTTAAAAAACGGTCAAGTTTCCGAAAAAACGCTTAAATACGTATATTTTATTTTGTTTTTTTACATACTTTAGGATTTTTAAAAAATGTATACAGTGTGTTTCGAAAAATCTGGTCATTGATTAATCACGATCCTGCTTAAAGCGCTTGACGTAAAAAGCTGATTTTTGGAAAACGGATTGACTTTACGGTGTAGAGGTTCGATAAGAAGGGAATTTTCGAAACTCCAATTCTATGGGGGTGAAACTATCCCTCAAATATTAAAATATTTTTTATTTAAAAACCGTTGAGTTTTTCGGAAAAACTCTTAAACACGTATATTTTATTTTGTTGTTTTACATATTTTAAGATTTTTTATAAATTTATACAGGGTGTTCCATAAAATATGACCATTGAGTAATCACGATTCTGCTTAAACTGCTTGACGTTTAAAGCTGATTTTTGGCAAACGGATTGACTGTGGGGTGTAGTAGAGGTTGGATAAGGAGGGGTTTCTCGAATCTCAAATTCCAAGAGGGTGAAAACGCCCCTCAAATATTACAATAATTGTTATTTAAAGAACGGTTAGTCTTTAAAAACGGGGAAAACGCTTGGACAAGCATAATTTATTTGTTTTTTTTACATATTTTGAAATTTAAAAAAAATATACTGGGTGTTCCAAAAAGTTGGGTAATTTCTTAACCACGATTCTGCTTAAACTGCTTGACGTAAAAAGCTTATTTTTGGCAAACGGATTTTTCGAAAATCAAATTCCAACGAGATGAAACTACCCCTCAAATATTACCAAGTTATATAATAATATCGCCATATTGTTTTTTCTCATGCTGACATAAATGTGAGAAAATTTTATCCAGTTTGTATGTTAATGGAAATTCTTGCTTTGCTTTATCATCACCATTACAAATGATTAATTCGACGCGAACGAAGTCGCTGGTACACGCTAGTATTTTATAAGTATATTATACTTATAAAAATATTTTGTTTCTACATATTTCCGTTTTCGTATAATCAACCGAGGCGAATGAGATGCGCCACCCTGTATAGTAGTATCAAAAATTAAAAAATTACACTTACATAAAGCTCTTTTCCTTTAGTAAACCATTCAAAAAGAAATTAAATAACAGTACCATCCATCGAAATCCCGAAAATGGCGCACCAGATTTTTTAAAATATCGGTACCATGCAACCGCACTAGGTACAGTACGCCCGGAACCGTTGTTTCTTTCAGTGCAAATTCCTGCACGTGCCGAGCGCAGTTTCGCCGTGCCGTCAAGCAGTACTCGAGTTACTTCGAACTGCTACTGACAGTTGGCAGTACCCAGAAACAAACGGGTACCACCTCCAATGTGGCGATTCCCTTCTTCTGGCTTTGCGGTTCGCGCGTTTCGTTCTTCATCAAAGAAACAACAAGACAGCAGGTGTTGAATTGGTACTATTACTTTTGCTGGCTTTTGTAATTTAGTGCAGTAGTGTTCTATGGAGGATTTGCATTGAATTGTATCTTTTGAAGGATCAGAAATGCAAGAGATTGTTTGTAGCTCTAGACTTACAGTAGAAAGTTTTTTAATAAAAATCCATGGAAAAAAAATAACTATATACAGGGTGTCCCAGAAATAAGTGCAAGTATTTTAATGGGTGGTCGATCTCGATAAAAGAAACATATTTTTTCTTTATCGTTTTTCAAATAAGTCCAAAATAACGGAGTTATTTTACTTTGAAAATTTCCAAAAAAAATGATATTTTGCTAAAATTTTGAGAACCACTGGATCTTTTTCTGGATTTTTTCTCTTGTAAATTTAATCTAATACCTATGTTGCCATATTATCAAGAAATTATGGTTTTTAACTAAAAACTAAAAAAAAACTAAAAATTTTGAATTTTCAAATTTTTTTTTCGCGAAAAAAAACTCATAGGCGTGTTTCAGGGGTTGAACTATACTACCAGCTAAAATACTTGCACTTATTTCAGGGATATGTATAATTTACATTTGTATAATAGTATATGGTTTTAATAGGAGTAATAAAAAATCGGTAAAAAAACTTTTAAGTTAAACGGTTTTATCTTATGTGCACTGAAAACTAGAAAATAATAATAACAATTAGGTATTTTAAACTTCTAGTTCAGAAATATTTTAGTATCAGGCAGAATATAGCTTTTAGGCATATTAGACTAAAATAAAAACGTGGGGCCCATTAACTATTGCTGTAATACTTTCTTCTATACTAAGTGTGGATTGCATCGACTTACTATAATCGTAACTGGAGATTTTGACAATCAATAACCAGCCGTGGCGGCTTCACCAGCGAACGCCGAGCTCATGATCTACCAAAGTATAAAGATATGCATTGCCATAGGTAGGATTTCAGAGGGGCCCCACGTTTTTATTTTAGTCTAATATGCGAAAGCCGACAATTTTGCGTCCCGTGCTTAAAACACATTCATTTCCCAACTTGTTACATAAATAGCTATTTTTATATTGTCAATCACGTCGCAAAAATTAATACTTTTGTGACGTTTGAAAAAAAAAGACTATATTTTGCATGATTTAATTACAAATGTCTAGTTTTCAGATTCTTCCCTATACTTCTAACTTCTAGTACCGTACGATCGAAAAAAAAACCGGCATCCAGTTGTCTTGGAAATGAACATCAATGACATTATTCCCCATATAAGTTTACATATAAAATGACAGCGATCTTCATTTCATACCCATCGCTGACACCGTTTTTTTTCGATCATACGGTATAAGAAGGTATAAAAATCAACCTGCTAAAACGATGAATGAATTTTAATTTTTTAATTTAGCCCTAATTTGTCTGGCCAGTAGTTATTAAAAAAGTTTCTCCATCATCAGGCTGCTACCAAAAGTTATTACAGACTAAGGAAGAACGAATATAACCACAAATCTGAGTGTTTTAATTAATTTTTCACTTCCCTAATAAATAATCCTTCTCGAAAATGTTTGCAGTGATCATATAACCATACAGGGTGATTGAAATAAGGTGACGAAATTTATTTTAGGCATTGTTAAGAGTCTCTATTGCGCTGTACTGTTCGGGTCGCTCTCACGGCTAGCGTTCCCTGAAAGCGCTAGAGTAATATCGCGCTTTTGATAACTGTCTGCAGCTGATTGAGCCACGATCTTTTTTTCTGCCCTTTTGCATACGGCTTTTAAAATAAATAAATATGACATTTCACCAATCGGCATGCAAATATGCCATAATTTTTTTCATTCTTCAAATTTCATTTTTTAATAATTATTAAAATTTCATGCCTCTTTCGCGTTGTCTTGTTATCTTATAATATTTTTAGTGTCAAAATTTCACCCTTTCGATTGGCCGCCCCCGCTTAAGTCCCGGGATCGCGCTGGCAGACATGACTATTTCATAATGGCTACACAAAAGGATACTTCATACAAAAAATTAGCCATGTAACGATGATAAGGTTTTTTATGGAGCCAGCTCTTTGACTAATAGGTAGGCAGAAAAAATCCTGAGATTGGATAATAAATATTAACACTAAGGTACGATATTCTTGATGTATTAATGAAAGAACAAATAAAAATACTGTTTGTCAATCTATTTATAGCTTTTTATTATAGATTCGACAGTTAACATAGATTTCAAATAACTTATAATCAAGTGTCATAGTTATTATACAGTATGTCCCCGGATTACCTTTACAAGATGAAAAACTTTTTTATTATTAAGTAGTAAAGATGATCCGGGAATATACTATAGAAAAAACCACTATCTATTTTCTACAAGCAAATTTTAAATTTCTTTCAAATGGCTATAACGTTGTTTAAAGAGCTTTTCTCTAAGTAATCAACATTATAGAAACAATAAGATGCAATTACCATGCTGTTTGTCATGTTGATAAGGATCAATAAAAGGTTAAAACTATTTCTAATGTGTTTGAATGCATCAGAGACGCCTACTTTTACCCAAAACTGTGTCACATCCACACGACAGTCTCGTCTACATGACTTTTAAATTAAAATTAATTCAAAACAGTATTTTTACGTTTTCTATTAGCATTCGGCGCTAAAAATTTGTTTATAGATATACAGGGTCCCACAATAATAAGGTCTAAAACAACTGAAGCTATTACTTGTATGTAAAATTGTAGGTATATTATTTTAAGACATGTCTTAGTTGGATCTGAAATGTTATTAATTTTAATAACTAGGTATAATCCATTATTCTATATTACGCTCTTTTTTAGTCGCATCTTCGTTATTCTATCTTCCCTTCCATTCTGGGGTACTTGCTGCGCGAAAAAATTTGATCGTATTTTCAAACTCCAAAAGAGAGCAGTTCGATATTTATTGGGACTGAACAGTAGAACTCACTGCCAGAATTTTTTAAAAATTTCAAAATACTGACTCTTCTTTCTTTATTCATAATTGAATCCGTTTGCTTAATCCGCAAGCACATATCTGCTATTCCCGAAAGGCCACCTCACAACTATCCACTTAGGAATGCGGATCACGATCTTTATCTGCCAACCCCGAGCTCAGAACTAGTTAAAGGTTAGTTACAATACTGTACAATGTCAAAAAAATGTTCAATCATCTACCTTTGGATATCAAATGGCTTTCATTCTTTCCCGCATTTCGCAAAGCTCTGAAATCATACTTACTGGAGAGAGCCATATATGCGGTGAACGACTTTTTTGTTGATATTTAATCTTGAACAATTCTGAATTTTAAAATTTTGACCATCTCGCAGACTGGTAAAAAGTCTAGAGTATTTAATATTTTATAATAACTATTAAGTGATTATAACCATTTACAATTTTCCAATAATTGTAAAATTTTTATTGATACGTTTGTTTTTTTTTTTTTTTTTTGTGTTCTACAATATCCATGTATGTTATATTTGTGATTTTAATGACGTATTTTTTTTAATTGTATGATGCTTGGTTAGATCTTTAGTATTTGTATGTTTTTTGTGCTTTTGTTTGTTTTTTAAACGGATGAAGCTATTTGGGCTTTTTGTACAATAAACGTTATGTTATTTATTTATTTATTTAAGCGAGTGTGTGGGTTGTCAATGTTTTTTGGTGCATATGGATTTTTTAAAAGGCTCTTCAAATCTATAGGTACAATCCATCTGTGTAATGAATTGTTTTTTATTTTTTATTTTAATCTTAAATAATCTAACCATTTTTGATCATTTTTTGTGACAAGCAAAATAATGAAACAAAGAAAAATTAGAATAATGAGCCTCGCAATAACTTTTTTTGTTTCTCTCTTAAAAATAATTGAAGAATACATTTTTTATTATCTTTTCCAGTCCCACGCACTCTGTTAAGAAAAAAACAACTAATTTGACGGTAATTATTTTTTATATGGTCATTAAATTAAATTACCCTTCCGAATTACGCAAAGCCTAACTGTGTTTTTAATACAGTTAACGCCATTTATTTTATTTTAAAGTATTTTTCGTTAATTCTATTTGCCTATTTAAGACCTTATTGCTATCTGTGTCCCTGTCTCTCTGTTCCATAGTTTTACTGTTTTTTTTTTTTGTTGTCTTTGATATCGTAAATAAATTAAAAATTTAAAAACATCAGGAAACGGCGTAATATGCAAACTAGGAAACGTAAATTTATTAATTGGGGAGAAATTTGATAATTAAATCGTTAAAATATTCATGGTTTTAATGCTATGACGATGCGGAAGATTCGACGTAAAGTAAAAGAGAAAATCTTCGTCATCTGACCTAGAAAAAATCGTCAAATGGTCTGCGATGGCCCCAATAACGCTTCTTTTAATTGTGTTGAAGCAGATAGGCGCATATGTATGCGATCTGTGGCATCTGTTATATGTTATATCGCAGCATTTAAGAGAATATCTGAAATAAAACTAAACATTTATTATTTTTTACACTTTTTTTAAGAACAAGAGGTTACTATATATGAGACACCTGGTATATTTTATTAAGTACAAAACAAAACACAGATATAATATATTAATTATTTCCACTACCTATATAACTGTGTATAAAATAAAACTGTAAATAAAAAATATATCGAGTTCGTGAGAAAATTCTTTTTTTATCGATAGAAAACCTAATTTTAAACCGCGAAATTTGAACCGCCTGATATGATGCGGTTCAATTCTGATCATCTACAGTGGCTGTACCGTTAGACAGACGAGTTATATAACAGGACAAACAGTAAATTGAACCTCTATTTGTTCGGTACAATTGGTTTAATAAGAACAATAAACTGTTACAGTAACGATAATAAAATTATAACAATCAAAAAATTCCGCTTCGTATTATTTAATTTGTTTATTTATAGCGTTTTCTTTAAATGTTAAGGGACCGTTCTACTGTTTTTTTTTTAATTTTTTAATGAAAAAAAAAATAAGCCTATCGAATTTTTTTTATTTAAACATCTTGTAAAAGATACGAACATCAAAATAACAAAATTCAACATGTAAAGTGGTTCTTGAGTTGTCGCGTGTTACGTGTTAAAAAGTCGAGTTTTTAAATTATCGCGATTACTGACGTTTTCTCGTTATAAAAAAATTGACACCCTAACGATATCCTTATAATTCCATTTCAGATGCTCAGAAACGAATCTAATGATTTTATCTAGATATCTTTTTCTAAATCGTAATTTTACTTTACTTAGTAGGGAAAGGCGTACCGGAGATATGTGGCAACGTCGCCACAGCACACCGTCGCATTTCTCTCACTCCGACTTAATAGTATTCCTATGCGATTTACTTCCACGCATGTAAATAATAACCCAAAAGTAAGAGTGGCCAGCACGGTATAATCTTTATTAATAAATGAAACACACTATTCTTAAATTTATTACACCAATTACATAAAGAAATCAGTCAGGTGAGACAAAAACACATTAAAATAAAAAATAATTTACGTTCAAATAAATTACTCTTATTTTTAGCACAATAACCCTATAACGATCACGCGAAGATTTTCTTGATGTCGTTCACCCTACTCTTGATTTCTGGCTGGTTATCACTGCTTAAGTCTGGCAACGCTTTAGAAAATGCTTCCCCTACTTTGTTGAGCTCACTCGTGACGTCACTGCGTTCTTTCAGCTTGGTACCGAGGCAAAATATGATGTTTAGGGCTTCTTTCCTCAGTCTAGTGTGCTTGGAAATGCCTAAAGAAGAGAAAAAAATACCTGAAAAGTGTGATCGAAAAAAAAACGGCGTCAAGTTGGCTAGGAAATGATTACATTTCCGAGCCTACTCTGACGCCGTTTTTTTTCCGATTGTATGGTACATGAAATTAATTATTACATATTCCGATAATCACTTCATGTTGTCAATTATAAATGTTACTTTTAATATTCACATGCATGTCTGTATTTTAATGCATGCGATAGAGATAGATATAAATGACTGGTTGACAGACAGAGCGACAAAATAAAAAGCGGCATACAGTGTTGCCGGTTTTTAAGCGCATAGAAAAAAATAAACTAAACACACCTGAAAAATCTAGGGATATCATTTTATTAAAAAAATAAATGTTTTTAATAAACAACCACACATTTCTAGGCCGATTCTTTCTTGTTATTTCTAAATTTCGCATATTTGCAGAAGTTTTTGTGCTTCTTTTGTCAAATGTATAAAAAGCACCTAGCATCAATTGTTCGAATTTAACCTGTACTGGCTATGTTTTTTATGATAACTGGCCAGAATTCATTCAAATATCTTTGTTTAGTATTAAACAACATAATGGGGCGTAGACATCTTGACAGAGACGAAATGCTAAGGGCCGTGGGTATACTCGAAGCTGGAATAAATACAACGGAAAGTGTAATATCGCGATTAAGTGCACGCTACCGTGAAAGTGGTGATGTTGCTGAAAGACACACAGGGCGACATCGCTTTACTACCCCTCAGCAATATTATTTTTTACAATTAAATGCTCGACGCCTACCCACTCTTACAGCACCAGAGCTTAGTTTAATTCTTCAGGAAACACAATGTTACCGTTAATCCTGACACTGTTCGCAATAGATTAAGAGAGGTCAACTTAAGAAGCAGACGCCCCTGGGGAGCTTGAGCTTGGGAGCTTAAGGGTTGAGAGGAAATCGAGAGGTACGATATTTGTGGGCTCAAGATCATGTTCAGTGGTCGAATGAACAATGGGCCAATGTTCTTCACGGATGAGTCACGCTTTGGAATTCATCCGGTTTCGAGAAGGCTTAGGGTATGGAGAGAACCAGGAAATCTTATTAGGTTGGATCATGTTCAAAAAGTGCACCCTTATCAAGGTGGAACAATTATGGTCTGGGGAGGAGTCCAGTTAGGCCGAAAAACCGATCTCTTTTTTCTTGAAAGGTTTCTAACAAAAATCACATACCGTGATTTAATTCTTGAGCCTGTCGTGTTACCATATGCCAATGAGTTTGGCCTCATACAGCCAGATTGGTAAGTGAGTTTATCAATGCTCATCAATTAAACATCTTACCCTGGCCGGCACAATCTCCTGACCTCAACCCCATCGAGCACGTATGGGACGCGGTCCAAAGAAGAATTTTGAGAATGGGTATGCCTCGTGAAACTCGTAAGGATCTGGTTCGGGCCGTGAATGGAGCGTGGCAGGCTGTACCTCAAGAAGAGATCGACAACCTAATCAGGAGCATGGAGAGACGATGTAGGGCTGTAATGAAGAGTAGAGGAGGCAATACCCTATATTATGTAAAAATGGTTTTACCTTTTTTTCTTTAATTCACAGTTTAGAATAAAAAATTTTTTATATTATCTGTATTTATCTGAGTTCAATAAAAATCAAGGTAAATTTGAAAATTTCGGTAAATTTCGCATTTTTATTTTCAAAACGTCTTCTAAACCATTTGTTTATTTTAATTTTATTATATCAGAAATGCAAAAAATAAAATTACTGACGATGTCTGGATAAAATTGTAATATTCCTAGACTTTTCCGGTGTGTTTATTTTAAAAATTTTAATGTATACTACTGAAATGAAGATAATATATCTAAGCTAAATATAATCTATTATAGCTGAAGCTCTGAAAATATTGTAAAACATTATATTTAACGTATTTATAATAATAAAAAAAACTAACCTAAAGAATAGCTGACTGCTTCGACAGTTTTTGAAACTATCCTCTCCAAAGCTGATTTGTCTGAACCCTCCAATTTTTCTTGTTTTAACAGCAATAGTTTATCTACAAAACTGTACAGTGCTGACAGGACGCTGACTTGTACGTTCCTGGTAACTTTTGGTACTGTATCTGCTATGTGATTGGCGTAGAGTTCTCGGTACTTTACCTGAGTTTGTTCACTGTTATTTGGCCACGCTTTACCTATATTTTATGTAGAAAAATATAAAAAATACAGGTTTTCAGTGTCTCAATATATCTAGTCAAAAGCTAACCTAGAGTTTCATAAGCTATTTCCTTGAGTTTAATATCATTTTCTCTGCCTTTTTTGGCATCTTCCGCTGTTTTCTCTTCTTCGTTGTCGTCATTTTTACCATTATTACCACTGAGAATGGGTTGAATAATGTTATAAACTTCCTCGAAAGTATCCAACTCCAAAGCTGATACAACTTCGCCCAAACATTGTAACGCGCTGATTTTGTAAACAATCTCATCTTTTTTCGATTCTTTCACTACAGCCTGTATAATGTTAGACACATTTACTTCTTGGTCTTCTTTCAAGGAATCTCTAAATTTACAGTAAAAAGAGTTATAGTATCGTATAGTAAAAAAAAACAGCGTCAAATACGGTTGGAAAATAATTATCATCAGTCAAAATTATCATCAATCATTCCTCAGCTGTCTTTGACGCCCGTTTTTTTTCGATTGCATGGTATTATTCGTTTTAGATACCTGCAGTTAGTGCATATACTGCTCAAAGCTTTGAGTAATTTGTCTTTGCCATTCCATGTTCTTCCACTCAAACCATTCAAGAGTATACTCAAAAGTGTGTTCCTGTGTTTTGCTTCCATGGTACTACCCAGTTTGCTAGCAACAGTAGCTATAGCATTTGCTGCCTAAGTTTTATATAAAAAAAATAGTTTAATTCATTATTATTATTGTATAAACCATAATCTTTTAAATGATGAAATAAAAAATACAATACCTTACAAGTTTACTAACCTGAGATTTCGTAGTCCAAGATGGCGATTCTAAAGCACTCTGTAACATCTTACAAATCTGCTCAATATTCTGCCTAATACCAGTTTCAGTACCTATCAAAAAAGACACAAACGAACAATCCAAAAGACACTTTTAAACCAAAAAAAACTCACCAGGACTGTGTTCCGACCAGATTTCAGTCCAGACGTCCAGAGTGTTTTGTGTTTCTGGACTTTTCTCTGCGTGCATAGCGAAGAACACCAAAGGCAAAACGGTCTCTGAATGCGATTTTAGTATTTCTTGGTTGTGTATGCCTATAGATTGGATTGTGTAGGCGCAGGCAGATCTGATAGAATCATCTTTAAGAAAACCAGGATAAAATATGCATTAGAAACCCAAATTATATACAAGGTATTTCAAACAACCAGTTATAGTAGTTAGAGTAATATTTGATACAACTAACCTTCTCTCTCAAAATACCACAGCTGTAACTTGTCAAAAAGCTTCTCCAGACTGGATTCCTTAGCAGTGGACACCAGGTGACCAATGGCAGTGGCGTAGTGTTTTCTGACAGCCGAATTTCTATCTGTCAAACCGTTTACCAAAGCCGCCAAGAATTTTCCCGAGTAGGGTTGGACTTCTTTACCCAATTGGACTACCAGTAATGTAATAAAATGGGCACAGGCAATTCGAGTACCCAATCCAACAGAGCCTTTCATGAGTTCCACGATTCTTGGTACCAGTTCTTCAAGTATTGAGGAATCGGCGTATTGTAAGCTCTAGAAAAAAATAATGAAAAGATTGTATGGTTTATTTTTAACCACTCTTATATACGGGGTGTAAATGAATTAGTGCAAAAAAAAGGAGGAATAAACAGTATGGTGCCCAACGTGGGGTGCTAAAGGCCTATAATAATGCCTATAAATCTTTGACTTACTTTAGAAACAGTCTCTGTAGTAAAATGTGACTTGGCTATAGAAGCTCTAGCACTATCTATAGCTTCCTGAGCTTGAGACTGACCTCCCATCATGGTACTCAAATACGACAGCTTAGCCGATTCTAGTTCACCAGTTGCTTGAAGCAAAGCAGGTATAAGTTTGGGTAAGAATGGCTTCAGTTGCTTCCCAGCCGATGAGACCAGCTCAGAAACTGTTTGAAGACTCACCAAACGTATTTCTGTAACTGTGTGAGTTATTCCGGTGTTTAGGAGTGGGGGAAGAATTGCTTCCACCATTTTGACACCTGCTTTGCCTTGTGAAACGTCACAGCCTCTGATACACAGCTAAATATAAATGAAAATCGTTTTATAATATAAGAAATTGTTTTAAAAAGTGATTATTTGTTTACTTTACTAAGAACTCTTGTGGTGCGATTGGCAGCGAGTCTTGTAGCTTCGTGATGATCGTCCATCACTCTGAATAGCTTGTTCCACAATTCATCCATGTGGTCAGCTATATAATAAAAAAAGTTCTTAAAGACTAGTCTAGAATATGGAATTTTTACCTGCATCATGTATAGATCTATTAGCAGATCCTTTCAAAAAGTCTTGTAAGGCTAGACAACAAGACTGTCTCACCCTGTATTGGCCAGAGTTCAAGTTATCCAACAAATCTCTAAGAATTTCGTTATAATACTGATCCAACTAAAAAATACAAAAATGAATGTTTTTTTTTGTAGGTTATAGCTACAGAATAAAAACTCTTACCATTTTCTGAGGCTCTGAAACCAAAACTCTCCAAATATTCGACATTGAAGCTTGTATACTCGGCGTAGGGTCATACTGATACCTAAACAAATACAGTATAATACAGGGCGTTTCAAAAATTAACTTAGAAACTCTTCAGATCAATCAATAAATCTATACACTAATCTTTACTGACCTGTACAATTTTGGAATGATTTCAGGCAAGTAAGTCTTCAGATCTTCCCCACATCTTTCTGCTATACTAGAAAACCCAAAGGCAGCTCCTTTTTTAGAGTTCCATATCGCGTTGTGATTGGCCAAATGCATGAACTGGTAGATCAAGTCTGGTTTATTTAAATCTGAGGCCAAAGAACATAGTTCTTTGTAGGTCGTTAAATTTCCTCTGAAAGTCAAAAATGTATGTGTCAATGAATTGAAGAATAAATTCTAAAGATCGCAGAATTTTTCAGCTCACCCTGTAGGTGATTTTCCCAGTTGCCCTTCTTCAAAAAGTTTAGTATCACTTGCTACCTGTCCAACATTTCGAGTTCCTGATGTTAACTGCCTCACCAATGCGCTGAGTAGTTCTTCAGACTTGTAAGTGTCGTAAACAACGCAGAGACCTTTAGAAGCTGCATCTTGTACAATATCTACAATAACATTTGTTATATAAAAGAAACAGACAACACAGAATAGAGTTTGTAACATCTGAAAAACACATACTCAGTATCAATTTGACCATAGAATTACAGGAAGAACAAGATTCGTGGATGTATACAGACAAAATAATGAATCCTTATCATCGGCAATCAAGAATATAAGTAATGATCTACAGCAAAAAGGCTATGCCATAGATTTAAAAGAAGCAACAACAAGAATGACAACAAACAAATAGAGCCAATAAACGACACCCTTAAAATTTGCATGGGATTTCCTGTTGTTCATTTCCATAACATGTTGTTATACGATACCCACTTCTTTAAGAGCGATGTATACCTTTGAATATTTATATCAGCATGATTATGTATGTCTGTAGCTAAATAAGTACAAGGAAGATGTTTTATTTTAGATAGAAAAAGCATAATTTTTACATTTATTCATAACATGTTGTTGTATGACTATCACTTCCTTAAAAATTCTATCACCTTGAAAATAATTTATAGCCAAATAAAACACCAAGAAAATGTTGCATTTCATACAAAATATAAAATTTTAATCTATTATATTGACGTAAATACTTACCGTTGCTTTCACTGAGAAGTGCCATAAAAGTATTCTGGACTTCCTGAAGTCTTTTTGTTATAGGACCTCTTTCACCACACCCTAAAATTGAAATTTGTCAATAAAAACATATATTCTCCGAACATCACACTTTAATTATTCAAATATCACTAAACATTTGATTTTTAAAGAGACTGACAAAAGATTGATGTATAGTTTGACCAACAAAAAAATATATAACAGTAAGAGTTGTTAGTTGTCATTTTAACTTGAATGGTAGATATATTCGCATTAAAATAAGAAACCTACTGTGTAATCTAAAGAAATAATACCTTTTATAACAGCCAACAACCAAATACAGGAAGCCTGTTTTGAATTTGGATGAGTTTGACGAGCCAATTTCAGCATTTCGTCCAACAACCAATCCAAATAATCATCCTGTAAAGGTTCTGTTGAATCTGGAGTGTGATCTTCGGGCAAGATCCTCCAAAAATCACGTGATTCCGGTGACCAAACGCTCTGACAGCACATCACCAAAGATTCGCCGATGGTGAAGTGAACTTCCACATCTTTTGTCTTAAACAAACATATTTTTTTAAATTTATTACAGAAATAAAATTTAAAAAGAAGTTTTTTTTACCTCTTTAGCAGTACCTAATAATCCCTGAAGTACTTCCTTAGTGTGTACAAATTTTTCACCAACACATAACAGACCTAAGGACCTTGCAGCCCTTTCTCTAACCTAAAAAAATATTTCCACAATATACCGGGTGTTTCATAGAAGTGCCTCACTTCTAAAACTTTTTTTTTATAGATAAATAAACGAGATTTGGTATGTTAATATACGACATAATATCTATAATTAAATCAGTATACTAGCCTTGGCTGATAGTTTGACGTTGTTCATGATATCTAACAGTTTTTGGACGAGTTCCATCTTGGAAACGCCCTCTATGGCGGGTCTTTTTGCGTCGGGACTTCCCGTAACTGTCGGGGATTTACCAGAATCTAACGGTAAAGCTCTCACTCTTGCTATAGAGCCTATACTGGTAGCTGCAGCTCCTACTAAGAGCTGATTGGAATGCTTCAAAAATCCGACTGAAATAATATGGTATTTTGTGACATACTGTATATATTTTGTATAGATTTAGTTATTCGAAGTCCTGTATGTCTGAATTTTAATTTTATCATTATATATAGAGTTTATTCAAAAGTATTTTTATCAAAGATATATAATATTTGTCTTGTATTTTATTTTATAATACTTCAAATATCTGCAAAACTGTTACAGATTTGGAGACACTTTATATACAAAAAATATTCATTTCTTAATTCCGCATTTAAAAGAAAAAAATATACAGGGCGTTGCATTTAAAAAATCCAAGAAAAACTACTATTTATATTTTAACAATTTTGACATTAAATTTTATACACCCTGTAAAATTTACTATTGCGATATTTATAGTAAAGTAAGTACAGACTAATTGTAGTAAATACAGAGGGTTGTTTTGATTTAGGGACATCAACCTGTATTTTTAATATATTTTTTTGAAAAAATACTGCGAAATATATTTTATTTATTTATTTATAATTAGATTAACTATCAGAACAAATTTAATAATAACCCTGGATTACGTAAAGCGATCAGAAATGTGCCCAAAAATGCAATAATATACAGGGTGTTCCATTTATTTTAGATAATACTTTAAAAAATCACCAAAAACCATCAAAAAATTATTTAAAAAGTAACCTTTTTTTATTTGAATTACTCTGAATATCTAAAAAAAATTCAAGATTCCTAAAACACCTACTTACCAAGAGTTTCTATGCAAGTTCTTACAAGATCGTTCTTATCAAAAGGTTTTTTCTTCAATTTTTTCATCAAAATATAATTCTCCAAACAACTCCCAATAGCTAACAAGGCTCCATGTTGAGCCTCCAAGCTTTTGCTACTCGTTTGTCCTAAAGAAAATCAATAGAAAACAAAATAAACCAAAAATTCTGTCGTACCTATTAAGTACTTAACGCCCTCTTCGAAATCCTCCCTCTCGATCAGAACTAACGAGTACAAAATGGCGTCGTATTCTCTCACTTCTTCCTTGGTGTTGCTCAGCTGATCCCTGATCCACTGCGCATCGTTTGAGATCAGAGATTTCAGTTCTGGCACTGAGCCAATGAGTTCAGTCATACAACTCAGCGTTTCCATAGCTGAAAGATAGAAAAATGTTTTTAAATCGTGTATACAGAGTGCTTCAAATTTAAATATATACCTGGATGCGCCAACATCAATCTCCTAACCAATTCGCCGTACTGCACCAAAAAATTCGTTTTTTTATCGCATTTATCGTACAATTCACGCAAATGCTTCGCTATTTTCGGTGTATACTCGCAAGGATGCTTCAAAACCTCTCTAGTAAGCGGCACTTCCAGTTTCCTTACCAAACACAGTCGCAAATACAACAAAATCTAAAAAAATCGTCAGATTCAAGGAAAAAATACTCGATCTGGCAACATAACACCATACTAACCTCCACGTACGTCTTTACGTTGAAGGGCAAGGCATGGTTGCCGACGTTAACCGTTCTTTTTTTGTCTGTAATGTTGGTTTCGGCCTCGCTATATACATAGTTAGTGATTTCCTCGAAAGATGGCATTGTTATCTTTTTATCTGGTTTCTCTTTTGACAAATCTATGTCGTTTTTACGGGCAGAACCGTAGATTGACTTGAAAGCTTCTTGAGAAACTTCGTCTTTCCTTAAAATTGAAGAAAAACGAAAAATTTTACCATAAAAAATTAAAATCAAATATCCTAATAAGACTGGCAACACTGCTTACCCATCTCCGGTGGCTACCAACAAAAGAAACTTTGAAGGCACGTGATCTGGAGGGAAAATGGTGGCCAAAGTGCGAACGCTAGCGAAACGCACCATCGGTTCTTCTGCGCTCATTTTTATTTTGATCAACGCGAAAAGTAAGGATAGTCTGCCATCTTTGTCCGATTCAAGAGGAAATATGTCATATTTGTAGGCGAGAATGAGGTTAAGCAAGCCTGTAACAACATAGATATGTGTAAAAGATAACCTAATAAAAATATAAAATTAAAAAAAAAGCAGAATATAAACAAACCGTTAGTAATATTCTGACTTACCCTCTCTCACTTGTATTTTTAACTCTGGATTGGCCTCTTCGAGGTTTTTAAAGTACAATTCCAGCAATCCAACGTCGTGAAACACGATTTGGGGGTATTTCTGAGCCAACATGCCTATGGTTACGTAGGCCTGACCTTGATGTGCCTCTTCACCTTCTTTTACTTGTTTTGTCAAGCCTGCCAAAAGCACGGGAGCTACTTTCTTTAAGGCATCACCTGTCGCGCTTAAAAATACAGGGTGTTTCATAAATAACGTTTTTTATTTTAACTTACAGTGTATTTCAACCCCAAAAACACGCCTATGGTATTTTTTTATTAGAAAACTTTTTAGAGCCGCAGATTCATCAGAATAATTCTCAGAATAAAGCAGCATCTCTCAAAATGTTCTTTTATTGTTCAACTCAAATAACTCGATTTTTTACATATTTGAACAATGAAAAATAAAAATGCACTTCCTTTATCCAGATCTACCCCCTATGAATATATTTTTTAATACACAGTAAATTACGTATATAAATGTGTATATCTTCAAATTAAATACTTACTATCTTATGAGATTTGCTGTAAAATTCAACGCCAGCGTTTTCAACCTGGTATTAGTGTTTTCTCCATACAAACTATCAAAAACCACCTGTATACTTCCAGGAAATAAAAATCCTGACCCTGTAACCCTGCACAAATACGTCAGAAGCTTCAATCTAATCCTGGTGTTAGCCGGTACTCTTTTCTGATCCTCTTTTGCTGGTTTTGTACCCAAAAATAACGTGAACAATGGTTGGGAGATGTGAGTTGAAGTCCAGTCTACACCACTAAGAAATCAGAAGTTCTATGAGCATAAAACTCTGTCTAACCCTGTATAAACTTACCCTACAACTTTCTTTAGCTCATTATCAGCTAGATTGGCAACTGCAAACCTTGTATCAGCTGCAGCTATCACTAAATGTGGTAGAATATCATCATTTTTAAACACTCCATGCGCTAAGAACTTTACTATACCTAATTTTACCTACAAAATCTTAATTTATTAAAAAAAAAGTTATACAGGGTTGCCTCACCTCTTCTAGTTCCTCAGGTTTCATAGGAATATTATTTGTTATTCTTTTATACGCAATCTCACTCATTCCAGGTGGTACTGGTAAAGAAACACTACCATTCTGTGATTCCCCATCGTTAGACTGTGGAGAAAGTGCACTGTAAGGCAACAGAAGCATGTCCAGTAATATTTCCAAGAGATGCTTCGTAATTTGAGGTTTTTCATTCAAGCCAAATAATGTAGCCACCTTTTCAGGCTCTGTAGGTACCTTAACTTTACCTAACAAAGGTACTATGATCAAAAGCAAGCTGTCCAAATGTGAAACAGGCTTGTTCTGTAAAGCGTTCAGTACTACAGGGACTAATTCAGCTTGTTTTTCTATCGGTAGTCTTGGAAATCCCGATTTTATATAAATTATTGTAAAGTTCTACAAAATATGAATTAGATATAATAATTTAATGATGTATTAAGCCTTACAGTTACAAAAGAAGTAGCTTCGGGGTCTTGGTACTGAGTTAACAGAGCTTCTACTGGCAGCTGTACCAAGGGTCTTGTTTTGATTCTTTTATTTACGTGAATTAACAATTCCATAACCTAAAGACGCCAAAAAAATGTTAGTTTTGAATTAAAATCTAATGAATTTTTACCTTTTTTCGAACTCCTTCTTGTTGGGATGATAGTTTCAGTAAAACGGGTGGTAAAAATTTACATAAAACATTTTGCAGTTGTTCATCGGTTTCAGCTGATCCCAATCTGAGAAAAACTCGCTCCAAGAGCACTAAAAAATTCGTAAATTAATATGAAAAGAACTATATCTAATGGGCCTATTGAACAATGCATAAAATAATTAACAACAATTGTTTTAAGTTATTTAAAAACTTACTTAATTCATCTACAGCTCCGGCCATGACTTTTATTTTTAAAATTGTTATAATTTTGACAATCAGCTGTTTTGGTAGTGCCTGTTAAACATTATTATTCTATGGAATTTGAAGCAATTGAAGTTAGTCATAAATAAAATACCACTATTGGTAACACTGGGTAAATTCCATAGAGAAAGATGTAAAAAGATGTTATTACTTTCTCTATGGTAAATTAGTAATTTGCCATTGACAGTTTGTTAATTGTCAAAAAAATATTATTTTGTTGATTTTTAAAAATTTTGAAGATTTAAAATTAAATAATAACAATGTCTATGAGACCAGACGATCACCGACGAAAATGGGATCGCGAAGAATACGAAAAACTAGCCGAAGAACGCAAAAGATCCGAGAAAGAACAAAAAGAAGAGGCTGAAAAGTCGAAAAAGGGGCCCCCTGTCAAACGAGAACTCCTCAAGACTAGAGAATATAAGGTAGACTTGGACTCAAAACTCGGTAAAAGTATCGTTATAAACAAGAACACTCCCACGTCTCAATCTGGGGGCTATTACTGTAACGTTTGTGATTGTGTAGTAAAAGATTCAATCAATTTTCTTGACCACATCAATGGCAAAAAGCATCAGAGGAATTTGGGCATGTCCATGAAGATAGAAAGGAGCTCCTTGGACTCAGTTAAGAAAAGATTTGATGTGAATAAAAGGAAAATGGAGGAAAAAAAGAAAGACTATGATCTACAGGCAAGATTGAACGAGATAGCAGAAGAGGAAGAGAAACTTAAGGAATACCGAAGGGAAAAACGAAAAGAAAAGAGAAAAATTGAAGAAGCCGAGGAAGAATCAGAGGTACCAAGCGAACTAGCAAGTATTATGGGGTTCTCCGGCTTTGGTACATCAAAAAAGAGCAAATGATGTACTAACTTGGACCAAAATATCTTTAAAAATTGCATATTAAGGTAGAATAAGGCAGAGTTTTCAGAACATGTATTTAATTATAATAAATTATAGGTGTAGTGAGAATTGTACTAAAATAATAAATACTTAGAGGGTAAACTGCAGTTTTGATATGTTAAAATATAACAAAAAATGTTTTACTGGTTGCATATAACACATAATTTTCAAATAAAGATTTAAATCGGGTTTTTTTAGTATTTAGAGTGTAGAAAAATTAAAAATACATTTATACAAATAAAAATTAAGTGTAAAGATATTTTTGAAGGTGCCTGAAATAAAGAAAACGGTGATTTAATAAAAGAACAAATTAATTTAAGTCAAACATGGTTACCTTGTTAATGATGTCGATATATTTTTCGGGCATTGGTTTCCTGACCGCTGGATTCGAAGAAACACTACATTTTTCTTTGATTGTACAGTCCATGATGTCCGTCATGAGTTCTTTCAGGGTTGAGGCTGCATTTAGACCGCAAACTTTGGCTGTTTTGATGTAATAACAGTCTAGGATGTCTTTGTAAGATCTATAACAAAGTTTTTTTCCTTATATTTATTTATTTTATTTATTTATTTATTTATTTATTAATACCAGTTAATTTACAATGTATAACTACATGATAAACCGCAGAGAGACAGAGCTCTGTACGCGGACCGGTTTAACTTAAAAAATTAACAACTAAAAACTAAAAAACTAAAAAAAACCAAGAAGTATGAAACAAAAATAAATATAAATACAAACAAAAATAAAGATCAATTACTTATAACTTAAGCTACAGGCGATCAGTATTCCGCTTTAGCCAAAACCTGATAGTTCTCTTCAAATTTTTCTTTTCCACTGTTAAATTTTTCAATTCAGTTGGTAAGAGATTGAAAATTATCGTAACGGTCATATTCTTAAAAGAAAACAAATTCTTACATAAAAATACAGAAATATTATATAAAATATATATTATACGCTTACCATTATAAAACTCGTTACTTTTACATAATTTCTCATCAAATGATAGCAGTCCATTGATCAAGTACATATACAGGCCTGAAGCAGTGCAATTTTTGTACAATTTCTCCACTTTCCTGGTCTGTGTAGAAACTATCCTGAAATTAATTTAATTTTGAGTAGAAAAAAATAATAAAACAAGTTCAAACTTTTATTTACTTGCAAGCTGAATCAAAATCAGTTATGGCGATATCAACTATACTTTCCGGACTGATTACTTGACAATCAGCTAAAATTTTAACCAGAGCAGCTTCCTTACAAGGGGGCTTTTCTTTGGGAACCTCCCTAACATGCCTAACTTCTTCTTCATTGAAAAAAATCGGTGTATAAATTTCGCACACTAAAATTAACAAATCTAGACATTACAAGCTTCATAATACTTCTTCCCAGATACCTGAGTATTTTGCTAGACCTAAAACACAAATAAATAGAAATATTTCTTGCATTTTGTAAAAATACAATGACGCAACGTCATAAATGCGGCAATATTATTCAAATAACGTTTATCTGGTTGCCTAATTCATCTAAATATTGTATTTTTTGGATGATAGATGGCGCTTCGAACTTTGTTTACAATTTTGACAGCTTTGTCAAATCGAAAAAATTATCCTGAAAAATTTCCTTTTAAAATATATAAAAAGCGGTATTTTTTACATAAACACACTATAATTTTGATATAAACTTATATATTTTATTGGTATTAACAAGTACAGGTAGTTTAAGAACAATATAAAGGATTGGTACACAAAGAACAATGAAGTTTTATGTGGTTTGGTCAATATTAAGTTTAGTACCCTATAGTTTTGGTTTTTTGCAAGATAAATGTATAAGTTTGTGCGAAAAAGAAAAATTACCCGCTCTTGAACCGGTGGGTATTTCATTTATTCATTTAAAAAACAATTAGAATTTTTTTTAACTTTTAGAATACATTTGAAAGAGTTGTCTGTCAAACAGGATGCAGATTTTTCAGTATACTGAAATTTACTGGATTGGACATAAAACTGGCTGCTAAAGACTGCCAAATATGTTAGTATATAACTAAATTACTATATTTTAGTCTAAAAGTCAATTTTTTTAAGCTTGTAATGATTCGTTTGGCTTCACAAAAGAAAGAAAAGTGTGCGCCATAGGATGTCATTTGATTTCATCTAATACAGAGGTAAACACAACTTATAAACTACGTTTTACATATAAAAAAATGTGTGTTTTTACTTCAAGAATGATGTGAAAATGCTGGTAGAACCTATCAATGAAAAATCAAAGAACGAACTAGTAATAGGCGAGCCGGATACAGACTTACTGGAAAGTGACATGCTTATGTCGGATCCAAGCTTTAAAAGTCAGCTAGAGATCGGATTCAACATTGACTATAAAATACCCGAGACACATATAAGGTTTGAGTTGTTTCTCACTGTTATTTTACAGAAAAAAATCAGATTTTTCTCTTAGGACAATGCCTATTGAAAGAAAAATTTATGCGGTCAGAGTTGTATTGAAAGACAGTTGGTTGGAGTGTGTTTCCAAAACTTCGGGCATCCCACGTTGGATACTAGCGTTGGTATTGTTCGGAGCTTTTGTAGTAGTAATAGGGATAATGGTAATGTCTCTGGTCTCAATCATGGAACCAAAAAAAAAGTAAATATAATAATTTAAGGCATAAATTGTTATCTTAAATGTGTTCAATTCTTAGTGAAGATCTAGAATATGGAGTAATACTGGAGTTATCCGATGATATGTCTGTAAGGAAGACTTTGTTTGAAACAGCATGTGATAGTTTGTTACCAAAGTACTCTGAAACTGATGATAACTTACCACCAAAATACGCAGATGTAGTGAAAAATCACGAAGAAGTCTAAATTTCACAAATAATTTATATATTCGATGATAAAAGGCTTGAGTGATTTAAAAAAATAATTTTGAACTCACTGTAAGTATAGAAAGGCACGTTATAATATTTTATAAATTTTTTAAGGCTTGATATATTGGAATGTTAAAGAATTATTAATATTAACAACGAAATTTTTATATATTATACTGTTTTCGTTTAAAAGAATGCAAGAAGACTTGTTTATAAGATTATATTTTTTGTGTTGAAGTCTGTGACTTGTGATATATATTTTTGAATTTGGATCTCATACTAATGCCATGCTTTTAGACTTAAGTAAGTTTTTTATTACCCAAAGAATGTTTCATATTAGTTTTTTACTTTATATTTTATACCATACATTTAGTTTCAATTTTATAGAATTGTACAATACATAAAAATAAAATTATTCTATCAAATATTGAAACTAGATGTTACTTCATTGTACACGAGAAACTCTTTTTCCAAGATTACTATAAATAGTCATTAAGCAATATTATAATGTATGTATTTTGTGAATATTTCAAATGTATATTTACCTTATTGTGATTGAAACTACTTAAAAATTAAGCTATCTATTGGATATTGTAGAGCAAATTGATTTTTTGCATTTACCTCTTTATTTTTAAAGAATTTCTCTTGATATTGCGTAACCGTGTACAATTAAATATACCAAAAATTAGTCTGTAAAGTTTAAAATAAAATTTTAACAAACTTTTTGAATTTTTATTTTTAGTGACATAATTTATAATGAAGTTAGCTTTGTTTCCTCTTTTCTAATTTTAGGCTTTTAGTATAAGTAATTTCATTGATTTCAATTCAAACGTCAGACTCCCGAATAGCCCTGGCAACTCAGGCCACAAAACTAAAAACGTCATGGTCATGTGACGTTTAAAATAAAAAAAAGAATTTGTTTACCTTTCGTGACAAGGGCGGCCGGTATTTTCTCGAAATTTCTTAATTATTTCAGATTATTTATCGTTTTTCGTACCAGGAAAGTCAAAAGCAGTTAAAAATGAGCTGTCCGGTAGGTCAGGAGAGCCTTGAGAAGCTCAAACAATTCATAGACAACGTTAAACTTCAACCGGACATTTTGCATCTGCCACAGTTGGCGTTTTTCAAAGATTTCATCGAATCTTTCGGAGGAAGTATTCCCAAAATGAGCACCGAAGCGAAAACCGAAGAACTACCCGAAGAACCTACGGTTGAGGAGGTCGTTAATCTAGGGAAGTTCTTAGAATTAGACTATTCTGGATGTGTCGATGAGACCGATCCGGTAGATGTGAATCAAAGAATGGGAGATCCCGATAAAGAGGTGATTTATAGTATTCGTAGCAGTATTTCAAAGACTTAATCGTGTTCTTTAGATATCGGAGGAGGATTGTGATAAAGCCGATTTAAAACGAAGTGAAGCAATGTCCGAATTTTCTAACGGTAACTTTGACAAAGCTATTGAACTTTACACTGAAGCAATTGGTAAAAATGACATTTTTTCGTTAGGAATTATTTTAAAATATCGTTTTTTTTAAGAACTTAACCCACTCAGCGCTGTACTCTTTGCAAAACGTGGCCAGGCATTCTTAAAAGCGAACAGACTACATGCTTGCCTCAAAGACTGTTGCCGCGCTTTGGAATTGAACCCCAACTCGGCAGCCGCTTATAAATTTAGAGGAAGAGCTTACAGGTTGCTGGGAGAATTCGAAAAAGCTGCTCAAGATCTTAGACAGGCCTGTAACATTGATTTCGATGAGGAAACAGACGCTTGGTTGAAAGAGGTTACACCCAATGCTAAGAAGATTGAAGATTATAGGCTGAAAGAGGCAAGAAGATGTAAAGAAAAAGAAGAGAAAATAAAGTAAGTTAAATTGTTGTTTTAGAAACTAACTTGTATAGTCAGTAAAATGAAAAAATCATTGACTGTGATAGATGTGTGTCATTTATAAAAAATTTCAAAGTAGTTTGGGACTATGTTTATGTAAATTTTAGGGTTTACTATTAATATATTATCTCATTATGCAATTTTTAAAAAAAAATGGATCAGACAGGTTTTGCCACTTGACTTCATCTGTGATAATGTATAAAAATTTTAGGTTAGAAGAAATCCGTAAGGCAAAGGAAGCTCGCGCCCAGGCTGGGAATCAGCCCGAGGCTGAACAGGCTGATTCAGAGCCTGGTGTAGATGCTGGTGGTCTGCCACCAGGTATGGCTGACTTGTTCCAAGACCCAGAGATTTTGACTGCTATGCAGGTAACTAAATTTATTTAGAAATACCCGGCTGGCTAAGTGGAATTTAAATTTCCCGCTGGGGATTCAGGTGGTAGCTTTGCTGTAAAAAATGTTAAGTTGCCACATTTGTTTATCTCATGACATTGTCATTCGTTTTGACACTTTAGTTTTGTTTTTGTATTACAAGTTTTTGGTTTAAATGAATTGTGTTGTGATTCTTTAAGCTTAAAATTGTACTAACAGACCTTGCAGTCGAACATTGTCCTTTTTAGAACCTTTTTTAGTGCGAAGTGTACCCGATAGCTTAATAGCCGTGGCAAAAAACTCATCGCAACCTTATAAAAGCGTCGGTATTAAAAAGAGATAAAAGTTAGCTTCATACATTTCTTCTATGCGGTATTGCCGGATTTTGCATCAAAATTTTAAACAGCACACGTTTATTTAAAAAAAAAACTTTATTTTTCACAATTAGTTACTCATTTTGCAATACAGCTGTAATAGATTATGTTTAGCTTGGATATATTATCTTCATTTCAGTAGTATGCATGAAAGTTTTTAAAATAGTTTTTTTTTTTCAACTCACATTTTGCTACACACGTAAAAGCCGGCAGCACTGTATGTCGCTTTTTGTTTTGTTTCTCTGTCTTTCAACTGGTCATTTATATTTATCTCTGTCATATGCATTAAAATAAATCCAAAAAATGGGATAATATACATATTTCCTGTGAATTAATTATTATTAAATCACAGACATAACTGGCACTATTATTGATCCTCCTGTTGAATGGACAAATATGGTTAAAACTGGGGAATATTGTGTGTTTTAATTTTTTAGTAGATTTGTGTAGATTTCGGTAAAAAAACAATAATTTTAGGATCCAGAAGTGGCAGCGGCGTTTAAAGATATTACTGCAAACCCAGCTAGTATATTAAAATACAGCACAAATCCGAAAATATTAGCCTTGTTGTCTAAATTAAACAGCAAAATTGCAGGTAAGTTGTTATGAGGCTTTCAATTTTAATTTTTTGCTAAGATTGTTTTTACTTTTCTATTTTTTTTGTGAATTATTTTTTCTTATTTATTTCAAGAAATACTTGCATCAGGGAAGATAAAATCAATTCTGGAATTCTTTGCTCATTTTCATTATTTTATAACAAAATAATTTTGTAGGGTTTACGCCTTGTACTTCGATAGGCCTTTGCTCAGCTATCTTCTTTACTCAGAATGATCAAAAGTGTAGTAGTTTAGGGTAAAATCACAAAGATACTGGGCCTGTGTCTACAAAATAAACATATGTCAACTTTTGACATTTTCCTTTAAAAGTATTTAATAAATCTCATTTTAGATTTCAATCTAAAAAGACTAATTTTTATTCAAAAAGCCTTGGAAAAATAGATTTGATCGTCTAATGTTTCTCGTGTCTTGAAGTGACCAAAAATGATTGAATTCGTCAATCAATCCTAATTTATCTCATATACATACTAACATACCAAAAAATCTCGTTTTTTTATCTGAAAAAATAAAATAGTTATAGGTGTGAGCCGCTTTTGCGAAACACCCTGTATACACGCGGCAGAGAGTCCACGTGGACTTAATAGGTGTCTTTGGTTAACATCAAGTCTTTATCCCGAACTACTACATTTTTTTTATCAGTCTGAGTAAATATAGAGAAACGCAAAGGCCTATCAACGCGGAAGGCTTGAACACTGCAAATGACAATCTGAATTTTAATTTTTTTGATATTTTTTCTGTAAAAATGTATTTTTAGGTTCCGGAGTGAAGCTTCCCGAATTCTTCGGTGCCCCGGGGGGTCCCGATTTCGGCCCCCCTGGCAGTGGGGCTGCTCCTACTGGAGGAGATTATGGCTTGGATTAAAAAATTATTTTTTTTTTGGAAAAAAAAAATCCATTAAACGAACTGACAAATAAAACGTAATTTTTTCGGTGTTTAATAAATAATGGGCAAGTGACATTGTTATAAATAAATGTATCAAGAATTGTTAACATTGAAGCATAACAATAAAGATGTTTTATAATAATTATTAATATTTTTATGGGGTCTTTGTAAGAGACGCTCAGATTTTTCGTCATTTATTTAAATAATCATCATGATGCTTTTAGTTTATAGATTATTTTTCTTTGTAATTTTTTTGGTTCTAACTGATTTAAAATAAGGCTGATTCAGTAATAGGTTGTGTAGAGTTATATGCGTTTATTTTTTGGTTAATAATTAATATTTTTATTTCGTATATTATTAGGTATTTTGTTGTTAATTATAATTTTAGTTTGATAAAGTGTGTTTGGATAAAACAACCAGTTTTTTATTTGTGCTTGTGTTAAGTGCCTTGTGATCGAGAGAAAAAAAAACGGTGTCATAGTAGCCTTTCAAAAACACAGTGATATTTTTTGGTCTGAATGAATCTTCGAATGGGATTTAAATAAAACTGTAATATACTCTTGTTGGCACTTTATCTAAAGAAGAAAACACTCTACCAATGTATACTACCTGGACACTTAAAACGGACATTATAAGGAAACTTAGATTCCTTATTGCATAAAATCTTCAAAATAATTTGCATTATAAAAATATAGATATCATATAAACTGCAAAATAAAAACACTTTATTTACTAAAACAAAATATTTATTAAAATCAAATTGATTTTTTTATTTACAAAAACAGATAGAAAAATCCATATTTTCTTTTTAGTTAAAAATAAGGCTTTATTTAATTTTATAAAAAGTCAAAAGTTGAAATATTTTTTTCTTAATAATCCGCAGCAGTATTTGATAAATAGTCTCTTCTACCGATGTTAGAAGCTTGTTTATTTTGTTGGGCCTCCAATTTAGGACAATCCGTAATTCTGTGACCCAATCCACCACAATAACTACACCCTCTTTCATCTAAAACAACAAAGTAATAAATAAATTAAAGAAATAAAAACAAGTAACAAATATTTAATGAAAAAATTAACGAAAAAAAAAATTAAAACATGTAGAAAGATAAGACAGGTAGTATAGGAAAATAAATACAAAAAAGGAGTACCACTGTACCTCCAAGTTCGAGATATTTCTCGCTTTCTGGACATAATTCTGATAGAAACGTTGGAACTTTTTGTTTGGCTTCTATCAGCAAGTGTTTTAAGTCCAACAATACCATTTCATCATTGGATTTGTTGATAAACGTGGTGGCAAGACCTCTGTTGCCTGATCTACCAGTACGACCGATTCTGTGAACTAAAATCAAATTAAATGAGAAAACACCCAGTATATCTTGTATTTTTAATGTTTTAAATAACTCCAAAAAATCCTAAAATATTTGTAAATTAAATGCTAAGAAAACTACTATGGAAAATATGCTAAGAAAACAAATTGCTAGAAAATTGGTAGAAAAGAATTAGTAGGGAAAAAGATTAAGGAAAAACTACTAGGAAAACAACATAAGGAAATAGTGCTAAGAAAAAATTACTAAGAAACAAGTTGTTAAGAAAAACATTGCTAGGAAAAATGTAAAGAACAATTTACCTACTAGGAAAAAGTAGCTGGGCAAAAATGTATTAAGAAAAACTGCTTAAAAAATAATGGCAAGATAGGATAAAAATTGCTAAGCAAAAATAGCTAGGAAAACTACAATCATTGCCAAAAATTTCTAGGAAAAAAATTGCTGTGAAGAAATAGCTAAGAAAAAATTGCTGGGAAAAAATACCTAGGAAAAACATTGCTAGGAAAAAAGTTAAGGTAACCCCCTGTATATTAAACCTTTTTAAGGTACATAAAAAATAAAAATACCATTTTCATTATGGTTAATTAAAAAAAATCTGTATAAAAAATTACCATAATTTTCTACATCGTCGGGCATGTCATAGTTAATAACATGTTGAATATCCGGAAAATCTAAACCTTTTGAAGCGACATCTGTGGCTACAAGCACGTCTTTTTCTTTTTTCCTGAACGCTTCCACTGATCTTGATCGTTCTTCTTGATCTAATCACAAAAAAAATATATTTTAGCACAAAAAAATATTTTTTTTTATAAATACATATTTACCTTTGCCACCGTGTATAGCCACAGCTTCAACGCCTTTCAGCAAAAGATACTCGTGTATTGCATCGACATCTTGCTTTTTCTCAGCAAAAATCAACACGGGAGGTGTGGTTTTTTGAAGACACTCCAGTAAGTACACTATCTTAGCTTCTTGTTTCACATATTCAACTTCCTAAATTCATTTTTATTGTATTTTTAGGTTATTTAAGATGATTTTTTTAAAATAAGTACAAATATTTTAAGTAGTTACATAATTCTACCCCAAAAAAACGCCTATAAGGTTTATACGTCTAAAAAAAATGGTAAAAAATTGGTTATTTTAAACCTATTTAAAAAATAATGAAATATAAAAAATATACTGATTTGATCAACTTCTACCATCTCTGGAAATATTTGTACTTATTTAACAAACACCCTGTATAAAACGGTTTGATGTTAAATCCTGAAATTACCTGAATAACATTTATTGAAGCTGCTCCAGCTCTGCCTACATTAATGGTTACCGGTTTAACCAAAGCAGACCTGGCAAAATTCTGGATTTTCTTGGGCATGGTGGCCGAAAAAAGTAAGGTTTGTCTTTGACCCTATGTAAAAAATACTTTAAAAATTTGCTAGGAGAAAAAATATTAAGAAAAACATTTAATAGGTTAAAAAAAATTCTAGGAAAAAACTGCTAAGAAAATCATGCCAACAAAATATTGGTAGGAAAAATTTGCTAGAAAAAATTGCCAGGAAAAAAATTGTTAAGAAAATATTGCTAGGAAAAAATAAATACTACTAGGGAAAATTTGCTAAGACAAAAGCCGTTAGAAAAAATTACTGGCATGAAAATATTGCTAGGAAAAAACTGTTGAGAAAATAATACTTTATCTTAGCATTGCTAGAGAAAATACTGTGAAAAAAAAATTGCTGGGATAAATTTTTGGTAAAAAAATTGCAAAAAAGGAAAGAATTAGTAGAGAAAAAATTGGTAGGAAAAAATGCAATGAAAAAATTGCTAGAAAAAAAATTGTTAAGAAAAAAGTTAAGGTAATACAAAAAAATAATCAAAATAAAAATGTAACAAAATTAAAAAAGTAAACTTACATTAAAATACGAAAAAATTGTTCTGACATCCTCTTCAAAACCTAAATCTATCATCCTATCAGCCTCATCCATACACAAGTACCTACAAACCGACAATTTCACTATTTTTTTCTCCAGCATATCCATCAAACGACCAGGCGTAGCCACCATTATATGAACACCCCTATAAGAACTTTTATAGCAAAAAAAACACATTTTTTCATTATTTTTTTACCTCTGTATAGTTTCTATAGCCTCATTCACGGGAACCCCGCCAATAGCCAGACAACTTCTGATCTCTGGCATACTTTTTTTCTTCAAATGAGTTGAAAAATGATGAATAATATCAAAAGTTTGCTTGGCAAGTTCCCTAGAAGGGCATATAATCAAACCATATGGTCCTTCATTTTTTATGAAGGGCATTTTAACTTCTTGTTCCAGACAAAACATTATTAGTGGTAATACAAAGACTAGAGTTTTTCCAGAGCCAGTAAAAGCGATTCCTATCATGTCTCTACCTGAGAGCCTTTAAAAAATCAAGAAAGTCAGTAAAAATATATATTTTTTTTTAAATTATTTTTAATACATACACTGTCGGTATTCCTTGGACTTGAATAGGAGTGGGTTTATTAATTTTTTTCTCTTTTAAACCTTCTAAAATACCTTCATGTAGCTTCATATCTTTAAAAGTTCGTAGAGGAGGAGGTATTTCGTCTCCTTCAACTAATATTCTTAGTTCAACTCTTATTTTTTCATGTCTTGTGTGAGGCATTGCCAAAATATATCTAGGCGGTCTCCAACTATAAAAATAAGTCATTGATAAACAACAACTTCATTATTTTAAGCTTAATTTACCTGGTTTTTATTGGATCATTATACTGTATACCTTTGGCAAGTTCAGATACACCCATTAGAGCTTTCTTTTCGGCAACAATCTCCAAAATTTCTTCTTCCTTCTTCAATTGCCTTTCCACAGCACTTACCTTCTTGGCTGAAGATATTTTATACGTTTATACATGAGAAACAATAAATATAATAGTCAAAAACCGTACCTTCAGCCAGTTTTCTAAGTTCTGTATGCTGATCCAGCAATGGTATGTTATTTTTTCTGCCCCAAATTTCATCCTCTTCGTCGTCCTCTGCAGTTTCATTTTCACTGGAAGATTTCGCCTTATTTTGTTCGGATTCTTTCAGCTAAAATCATTCTCGATTAATAATCTAAGCAAAAAAAAAATGTTTAAAATAAACTAAAACCTGGCCTAAACGTCCTAGCTTTAGCAATTGTTGCTTTTTCCGTTCTTTTACTGGAACGTAGGGTACGTAATTATCGTCCTCTGACTCTGAACCATTTTTATTGTCATCTTTTCGATATCTCTATAAAAGAAAATAATTATTTTCCTAGATAAAACGTTAAAATATACCTACTTTTACTGGTGGATGGTTCATGTTTGTTTACTTCTATCTGTCAGAAACATCAGCTGATTTTACTTCTTGATTCAGTGTTACCAATAGTATAAATTAAATTCGAAATTTATATAGGAAATATTTATTGAAATACTTAAAAGAAATTATTCGCAAGGCTTTAATTAGTATATTTTAGATATTTTGATCTATATTTATCAATTTAAACGATGGAATTTCATTGAAAAAATTATTATTTCTATGGCAGACATGGCCACTATTTTTTTTTAACTCTCTGCGGCTAACTTCATAATCAACAGTTCCAACTGTCAGTAGATTTAAATTTAGAAATCAGCGTCCGATTTTACTATTTTAAGTTATCGAATAGGACAATTTTCGTAACATAAATGTGATATTTTCAAGTTAGAATTAGATAGAGCACGATGGCACCTTCCAAATCCTTAAAGACGTACAGCAGAGGCGGCAATTCGAGCATTAGTTGCGTCGATGCCGTCAACATACTCTTCGCTAAGAACCTGGCTGCACGTAAATTGAATGGAAGAGTTGTTAAGAAAAAGAACAAGAACAAGATTCAGCTCAAAGAACTGCCCAAACAAATTAAGACTGTACTTTCTGACGAGTCCTCACTTCACGTCAACTTTAACGATACTTTTGATAAACTTTTAAAAGGCTCAAATAACTATAATAATAATAGAAGAAAACCTAGAGATATCTCAGTCAAAATATACACAAACAACCTTTCGAAATCTGTGATACATCACCGAAGTGTAGATAATTCTTCTATGTTAAGTAAACTACGTTCATACTCGAGCAAAAGCAAAACAGAAATAAGCCAACAAACCTTATCGTGGTTTAAACAACCTAGTTTATCTAGAGAGAGAATTACCAACGAATTAGAGATAGAAGTAGTAGGAAAAGATGGGCAATTGGTTAGGAAAAAGAGTACAAATGATTCTTCCAGATCACCCATAATGCTTAGATCTCGTTCAAGAATCCCTGAAATCGTTGTGACAGGAGAAAAAACAGTTAATAACTCAAGTTCATTGGGTGGAAACAATAATGGCAAAGTTGTAATGCAACCAAATGAAACAAGCATTTTGAATTCTAGTCTTTCGTTTAATCCTCTCTTCACAAATTCAGTCAGAGAACAGATTTTAGTACATTGCAGTACTCCTTTAGTTTCTAAAAAGACTAAATCTTTAGTAAAACAGCCTCTATCACCTATCAAAGGCATTAACGAAGAAATAAAGGATTCTATAATCGAGTCCTTGGAAGAAATAAAGTCTTGGGATACTTCCTTGAATGTTAAGTCAGATGATTTAGATACTAGTTTAAGTAAACAAGAACCCTTTAAAGGATTTGATAAAAGGAACAGTTTTATAACGGTACGGGGCAAATTTAGTGAGAGAAATTCAAATAATCGACGAAAAGTACAAACCAACACCACTGCCAGTAACAGATATTTTTCTTTAGAAGACTTTGAGTTGTTTTATAGCAAAGTTTCTCATGAGACTGAAGTGAACAATTTTGCTTCATTCTCCTTAAAAGATTTTGAAGAGTTTCATGCCAAACACATGTCGAAGTTTTCTAATGGGGAAACTAAGAACAATAAAAGTACTAGTATTAATTTTGTAACTAGCCGTAGACAGAAAATAGCTGTTCAGACAGGTTCAAATTCGGTTAGTACAAATAATAAATTAGATCTAAAATCCCTAGTAGTACTTTTAGATAAGGTATTGGTTAATAATGTATCTTCAGACCTAACAAAACGGAAATCTCACAGTTTAGATAACTATAATTCTAGTAGGAGAATGACAAGGTTATCTCTCAGATCTCAAAATAATAGTACAAATGGTTTTAAAGCCTGTAGGAAATTTTCCAGGAATTCTACACCAAATTATTTTAGGAATTCGGAGGAGAAAAGTTTGGCTAAACCTGATTTTTTCAGTCTAAAAGAACTGTTTTGTGAATTGACAAGGTTACCCCTTCAATCAAACAATTCTCTGTGCACTATCACCGAGGTTAATGACAGTTCTGACAAGAAAAAAGGAAAAACAAGTTTGATAAACGACAAAGAGAAAAGTGTTTGTAAATATGAATCAAAGAAATCACCCAAAAGGCCACAAGACAGCATAGAAAAGTCTACGAGAGTTTTGAGGTCTTCAGACTACAACAAAATAGAGGAAACCAGTTATTCTAAAATCGAAAAAACCAGCCTAGAAATTCGTTTTTCACCTGATAAATCTGAGAGAAAATCTCAGAAAAACAGCAGTATCAGGATTGAGCAAAATGAAGAACTCAAACTTGAAATTCAATCGAGATTCAGCAAAATATTTGCAGATCACAACGATCTTTACTCTGTGCAAGATCTCAGCAACTCAATCGTTGAAAAAACTCCGAAAAAGGACTCGCCAATAATTATTAAAGATATTGTTATTGACTTGACTTTGGATGATTTGGATTTGCTTAGTCGTAGAACTAGTAATAGACAGTCTCAGAGGTGTTCGGGAAGACTCGCGAGGGCTAGTAACAATATTGACACCCCTGAGGTGGATGTTGTAGATTCTTCTTTAACCACGCCTCAGAGGGACAATTTTTTGATGCCGGTGGCGAACAGTAAATGGAAGAATAAGATTTTGAAACTGAAGGCTGGGAAATCGTGGCGTAGATCGCTGTTGGCACAGAAGAAGGATGGTTTTGTGGATCTGACTGAGTCATATGTGGGAGATAGTAAGTATATGTTGCCTATAGGTCATGTAGAATAGTATTATCAATCAATTGTATGAATGAACATACACTCAAGAGATCAAAAAACTGAAGTTGTAAAGATATTCTTCACCACAGTACAGAATTCGGCCTTTAGAGGTCTCTGGTCATACTGTCCTTAAATTTGTATTTGCTCCTGATATCCTGATGTCTTGGTATTTCTTATGAGTTCTTCTATTCTTCAAGGGTTCTATGGGCTCCTGATATGGTGGTTCTGTACTTTCCTAGTACGAGTTTCTTTCAGCTGTTGAATGGTAGTGTAGTTCTGGTCATACTGTTGTTAGTTTTGATTGCCTTATTATTAATGATTTTTCCTGAAATTCTCTTAAAAGAAATTTTGTTTTTCTAGTAGGTTTGGTTTGGACAGATACTGATGTTTCTTTTAGCTCTTGGTTGTTTTGTGTCCCTCTGACACCTTAAAGTCTTATGCAAGTAGAGTTCTTCTATTCTTCTTGGCCTAGGATGTTGTTATAGGCGGTTATGTAGCTCTGGTTATACAGTTTTTTCTCTTGTGTCTGTGCTCCTGATACCTGTGGTCTTACTGTTATTGATATTTTTTATAGTACTGATGTTTCAGCTATTGATACTTCTGTGCTCCTGATACCTGACGGTCTCAGTGCTTCTAGATTTCTTGTATTCTTGTGATGTAGCAGTTCATAACGGTAGTACAGTTCTTAATTTTTATTGTAATACAATTAAAATCTTTTTTCTGTTGTTTTTGAGCTCCTGGTATCTGTGGTCCTACTGTCTTTGAAATGCTGTCTTTCTACTACTGATATTTCTCTTAGCTTTTGGTATTTTTGTGCTCCTGATACCTTGCTGCCTTGCTGCATTTAGAGTTCTTCTATTCTTAGCCTAGGATGATTCTTATGTTGTTGTCTTTGGGCTCCTGATACCGATGGTCCTGGTATTTCTGAAGTCTCTAAGTTGCTTTCAGATTTAAGTAGTTTTGTGCTCCTAAAGTCTTGGTGCTTTTAAAGTTTTTCAATTTTTAGCCTAGGATGATTTTTGTGTGGTTTTGGTGCTCCTGATACCTGTGGTCTTACTGTTATCAGTATTTTGCCTTTCTAGTACCGATGTTTCTTTCAGATCGTGGTATTTTTGTGCTTCTGGTACCCTAAAGTCTTGCTGCTTCTAGAATTCTTCAATATTTAGCCTTTTGTTTTTCGAGTAGGTAGATACTGGTATTTTTTTCAGTATTTAGTTGTTTTGTGCTCCTAATAAGACCTTAAAATCTTGATGCGTCTAAAGTTCTTGTATGCTTCTTGGTCTAGAATGATGTTCTTATTATTGATGAGGAAAACTCGAAAAATTGACCTCTTATCTGTTTTTGCCTAAATTATTGATATATTCTTCAGTTTATGCTGCTAGTTCTTAATTTTTTGAAAATTTTATCGCTATTAATTAAATATATTATTATATAAGTATTATTTTGTAGATGATACGTTTTCTACTCCGGTACTTTCTTCTAAACCCGCCAATCCACGCCAATCCATCAAAATAGTTCCAGTTTCAAACGAGAGCGTGTGTTCTAGACGGAAAACGAATTTACAGAACTACGCCAGAACGAATTTGAGTAAGTACCAATATTATTCTTGAATATTTCATATTTTTTTCTTATAAAAAAATCATTCTTAGGTTTGGTGTTGGATGAAAGTTTGGAGGAAATTATTGGTATTGTGTCTCCAGTGAAAACCAAAGTGTCGTTACCTAAAGAAAAACCTTTAGTCACTGCCAAAGAAATTGTGTTACAGTACTGCAAGCAGTCGGATATAGTACCGTTTGAGAAAGCCTATCCTAACAGGTATGGAAATATAGTTTTATTTTTTATAGTTTTGAGAAATTGATATTTATATAATAAAATATATATATGCACCTGCGATATGTATTTGAAATGCTTAACTAATTATATTGTATAGTCTGACCAACGTTTAGAGGATCCATGTCAGTCCCAGTTGTGTCTGTTAGTTTAATTCGCGGGTAAATTGTATTTTCTGTCATTTTTTGGATGTCTGTTAAAATCTTCTCTCACTTGTTGGACAGCCTATATATTAGTTCAGGTAGATAGAAATAAAGTAGATTTTTGATCCAGATATAACTGATGTTTTTAAATTATAAGTAAAATTTTTGTTTTTTAAAAAAAACTTTGATTCATTGGGATTTCATCAAGTTTATTGTTGCAGTGTTTTGAAAAATTGTACGAAAATCGGCGAAGGAGTGTATGGAGAAGTGTTTTTGTACACTAAATGGAATAAATCCTCTGTTATGAAGATAATACCTATCGAAGGAGACAAGATTATCAACGGGGAAAAACAGAAGAAATATCACGAGATTATATCGGAAGTTGTGATAGCCTCGTAAGTTAGGGTTTTAGGATTTGATTATAATTATTTTATTTAAATTTTTGAAAGGCAGAAAGATGTACAGTACATCTGCTGGATCTGTGTCTATGAAAGGAATGCGGGCAAAAAACGTTTAAATAAACAGCAATATATTTTATACGTCGATTTGACGAGTGCGTCACCGCAAATCGCTCCGCCCACTCATTTTATTGGCTACTTGCAAATTTGTTGAATTTTTATTGATGGGACGCGCCGTCTATTTTTTTACGAAAAACATCGAGAGAATATCGTTTCCCCTCTCACGGATACCCCGTAGCTACAGAACGGACAGACGTACTCTATATTTTATTTTTTGTAGGCAATTGTCAGATCTGAGAAAAAATTCTTACAATGGCAGTGCAGGTTTCTGCGAAGTTCAAAGCATTTGTTGCGTTAGGGGAAAGTACCCTAAAATTTTACAGGATCGCTGGCACGAATTTGACAATATGAAAGGTATTATCATATTATACAGGGTTTTTCTTATATTAGTAACAGTGGCAACATAGGTAGTTCATTTAATTTAAAACAAAAAAAAAATAAAAATAGAAAATATACTTCTTTTGTATTTGGATGAAAGTTTGGAGTTGTGTATTTTTTAATTTGTACTTGTGTCTTTATAATCTTGTCATCCAGGAGAGCATAACAAGAATTTTTCTTCATAATTATTTTTTGTAGGTTCAGAAAATGACCCGCCCGAAGTTTTTACCCAAGAACAACTCTATATTATTTTATCCTTGGCCCACGCAGGGCAGGACTTGGAAAGTTTCGTCTTCAACAACTCCGTTTGCGCTGTTTCCATGTTTAAACAGGTTTTTATATTTGATTTACTTAAATAAATCTATAGTAGTTCAAAAGTACCATCTGGTCAGTATTTAAGTACAGTTTGTCTGACGAAAGAGTGTATGATATTAGTGACAGTTCTCTGTCATTTTAATTCCAATATAGATTGTTCCTCTGTCCGGTTATTCTTTATCCACTCTGTATATACAGGGTGATTCCTGTAAGTCGGTCATGCTTTCGGGGAATGATAGGAGACGTCGAAATATTAATTTTGATATAGCACACTATAGGTCGGAACTGCCTCTTACGCAAGATACAGGGTGTTAAAGTTTTAGAAAAATTAAAAATATTCTTTAATGGCTTTTTAACAGTTGAAGGTATCGTTGTAAAAATTCATTATAGAGGTCTACCGAACAGAGACACTTTAAATGTAAAAAGAAGAGGTTTTAGTTTCAACCAGTGGCGTAGATGTGATACGCATCGGGTGATTTTTCCAAAAAAAAAATAGTACGCCACTGATAAAAATAAAAATTTCGGAGTTTTTTTATTTACTCGGTTTATTTCCAAGAAAAAATGTCTCTTGCAACTTTCTCCTATATAACACCATTTTGTCACAATTTAAAAATAAATAAATTTTTAAGGAGAATCTTAAATACAGCGAATTATTATAACTAGAGGGCAGAAACACATGTGCATCGTTAGGTCCCTTCATCTTCTTTAACTTTGGTACTTTTTACTATTAGCTCTAAATAAATTTTTAAAAAATTATAAATTTAAACTAGAATTTTTTTTTATTGTTAATATTAAAATTCTTAGTTTTACGGTATTTACAATAATTCGCATATTTAAGATTCTCATTAAAAAAAATATTTATTTTTAAATTGTGACAAAATGGTGTTAGATAGAAGAAAGTTGCAAGAGACATTTTTTCTTGGAAATAAACCAAGTAAATAAAAAAACTCCGAAATTTTTATTTTTATCAGTGGCGTACTATTTTTCTTTTGAAAATATTACCCGATGCCTATCACAGCTACGCCACTGGTTGAAACTAAAACCTCTTCTCTTTACATTTAAAGTGTCTCTGTTAGGTAGACTCCTATAATAAAATTTTATAACGATACCTTCAATTGTTAAAAAACTATTATAGAATATCTTTAATTTTTCAAAAACTTTAACACCCTGTATCTTGCGTAAGAGGTATTTCCGACCCATAGTGTGCTATATCAAAATTAATATTTCGACGTCGCCCACCATTCCCCGAAAGCATGACCGACTTCTAGGAATCACCCTGTATACTGTATTCATGTTTAAACATGTTTTTATATGCTTTATTTTCTATGTTTATTCTACATTAATTCACTTAAATGCAAACTAGTAGTTCAAATTTACCAATGTATGATCAGTATTTATGTATAGTTTGTCTCTCAAAAGAGTATAGATTTTAGTGGGTGTTATTTGTCATTTTCAATTCAAAAGTAGATTGTTTTGTGATTTTTTTATTTTATTAATAGAGTGTGTCTGATTTTAGGTGGCCTATTCGTTGGCCATAGCTGAACAACAACTAAAATTCGAACATAGAGACTTGCATTGGGGCAATGTACTTCTCAAGCCTGCAGAAAAAAATAAGAAAATCTTATGTAAACATAAAGGTACTTTTTAATTTCTTCCCAGCAAAGTTTTGAGGTAATCTTACAATTTTGTTTTGCTTTTTTTGATAAAATCAGGTGAAGAAATATCAATTCCTGCTCAAGGCGTCGAAGCTACTGTGATAGACTTCACTCTATCCAGGATAGAACATGATGGAGTTGTCATTTTCAATGATTTGGGGCTGGATCCTGATCTGTTCGTCGCTGAAGGTGATTACCAATTCGAAATATACAGACTGATGAGGAATAAAAACAAGTAAGTAGCCTTTTTTCGCTTTAATATACCATAAAAACTGATTTGGAAGCATAAAGTTTTTTTTTAAATTATCAGTAACAAAAAATAATGATCTGTCAAAAATGACAGATTGTAGATTTTATTGGAGGTAGGATATTAATCACCGCGATTTTATAGATCTATTGTGTCCTCTTTCTTGAGTTATAACTCATCATATAGTCTCAGGGCTTTGACAAAAGCTAGTATATGAGACAGTCTTGCATAGATTAGTTCTCCTGGTTGTCGTTTTGGCGCACTCAGTGATGACATGTTCTGGCGTTTCCTCATAGAATCTGCATTTGTAAACAATGAAAATGGCTGAAATCTTAGCGGGCCTGTTTCAAGAGATACACAAATAACCTGCGCAGATTTGTCTGCACGTATTTTGCGGTTTATGATTAAAATTAACGTAAATTCTTTTCAGTAATGACTGGGAACGATTCGAACCCTATACCAATGTTCTTTGGCTGCACTATATCGTAAAAAAAGCGATCAAAGAATTGAGATACAAGAATACTAAGACAAAGGTGCACGCGAAAGGCTTAGAAGACTTACAGAGCATAGAAGAGGAGATTCTGAGCTACAAAAGCGCCTCAGAATTTGTAGAATCGTATTATTAAAACATTTCACATATCTCTGACTGACCAGCATCATTTATTTCGATTTTACCACTAAAATATTATAAGAAATGACTGCAATATTATTTTTCAATCTCATTATTTCGATGATTATGATAATGTATATATGATTTTTTTTGTATATTGTATAAGATTTATTTTATTTGTTGTTTATTTTGTCATGTATATTAACGTGCCATTGTCGTCCGTTTATCATCACCAGTTTTTCATTGAAATAAAAGTTCCTTTAATTTAGGAATGAGTATTTTTTAATTGTCTACAGCTACTATGATACTCTTTTTTTTCGCGGCTTCGATATTTCCAATTTCCATCGATAAGAGGTAAATCACTGATATCTTTGTCACAAACAGTCACAAATGAGCGAGATTATGCGAGTTGTATTTGATTTATTCTTTCATAAAAAGATTATATTCAAAATTCAAATTAATTTATTTACTATTTCTATACTTGTTTATTTTTGTTGTTGTCTTTGTCTATTACTTAACCATAGATTATAATTGAAGAAGAAAATTTATGCCAAATCTGTGGTTGCTCATGGTTAGAGCCATAATTATTAAAAAAGAAGAAGAACGTTACTTATCTTCTGTGGTTGCCGTTCTTTTCGGACCTGAAAAACAAAAATGAAGAAGAAACTATGCCAAATCTGTGGTTGCTTATGGTTAGGGTCATAATTATGAAAAAGAAGAAGAACATTAGTTTTCTTCTGTGGTTATCGTTCATTTTAGACCTGAAAAACGAAAAAGAAGAAGAACGCTGGTGGCGCCATTGTGGAAAAAGTGGGAGAATTTTAAACTAAATCGTTTCCGTGGTTGCCAAGATGTTAGCGAAATCCTGAAATTAATCTTAAACAATATTTTTGTTTAGGTCTGAAATGAATTGAACCAGTACAAAATCATGATAAATCTAATAAACATGTAACACAAACTTTGTTTTAGTAGAGTAAATAATATATTTTCTTATAGACACAACATTGTTTATGCAACAAAAAATTATCATTCTGTTTTACATGTGCTCAATCTGACAACGTTGCCACACGACATTTTCCTTTGTTTGCAGACGTCGTTATGTCGCTCTTACAATTTTTCTTATTTTTTGGTAGAAAAAGTGATTTTTCTGTACACTATTTGAGTATATTCTGTTCCTTAAGGCCTGTTTAATCTTCTAAAAATGTAAGTACCCATTAGTTTGTCGGATTTCTATAGTTTCTTTCACTTTCAAGTATTTCAATTACATCATTAAAAGCTGATACATTTTTCCTATTTTCATAATTTTCTTTTTCTAAATTGATTATATGGAAATATAGATACTCTCACTGATATTCCTATTGTACATTAAACATACACTTACTTAAAATAATGCTCCATATTTAGAGATATTTGGTATCTTTTGGATCATTTTTTTTGCATAGAGTTTAAAGATGTTTTTTACTCGTAATTTTTTAGGCGTTTATTCGTGCAGGCAAACAAGTATTTTCTACGTCTTTAAATAAGTCGGTGTTAGTATACCTAAACAGGCCCCCGTTCTTAATAATTATGTATAATACTTTCAGATAAAATAAAACGTGTGTGCACACATGTATAATACTACCCCCAGCCAACTGGACGCCGTTTTTTTTCGATCATACGGTATTTCATTGTCGTCATATATTTCTAACAATTTTGTATTGTTTTAATATAATGTTTAATTATAATTTTCTTTTTTAGAAGCGTTACCTATTCATAATACACACCAGCACATAAAGACCACCTAAAAGAAGAGACTTGGATCACCTCTTGCCTTTTGTATAATCCTGATTCTCCCAATGTTTTGCCATCGTTCTGTTTTACGAGTTGGTCTTTCATTATCTCTTTAAAAGTAAGTTCAATTTATTTTTTAAAAATAACTTTAATAAATTTATTAAATGTTTATTAACAGGCTAACTATATTCTTTAAGATTTATTTAATATTAATATGAAACAAAAAATAAACACAGTTATTATAGCATAATTAATAAAATCTAATAATATTTCGTCCTATTGCTGCCAAAAGTCACTAACTTACTTTTTATTACTTCCGAGAACAATGCGTCTAAAGATGAATTGCATTGCATAAAGATGTTATAGTTAGGAACTATTCGGTATTAAAATAAAACATAAATAGCCAGAAATCGTAGTCAATGACATTTTCAATCGATTCTCCGATTCAAAACATTTAGTGATTGAATTTGGTTGTTCGGAAAAATGTTAGTTAGTGAGTTTTGGCAGCAATAGGACGATTTTTTTCTTTTTTACAGATTTTCTACAACAAATCGATGAATGTATACAGTTCCAGGGCAGTACATTTATCCTTTTCATGAATGTTACCAACAATGCATCAGGACTTATAAGTATATCTAAAATTTTATTTCTTTTGGGTAAATAAATATATATTTTTACTGGTTTTTAATGTTCATCAGTAGATTTCATAATTTTGAAATTTAATTAAGAAAAATTTTTAACGGTTTTCTGAGTTATATTCTTGTCTGTATAATCAAGGGTTATATTTTTTATGGTTCCTCATTATCATCTCTATTATAGCTTCACTCCCTCGTTTTCTTGATTATGGAAATAATTTTATTTATCATTTTTATAAAATATTTGATCCATTACCTGTATTTCTATAGGTTTTGTTTGGTACAATATTCCATCTACTTAGAATTTGACTTCATTTTGTTTATGGTTAACGGTCATTTTTCTATAACAGCTCGACTCTCATATTTTCTTCATTGTGGGAAACATATCATTCATCAATTCTATAAAATCTTCCATTGATTGTAGGTATTTCAATAAGTCTTTTTTTATTTGTATTATTTTTCTTATGGTGTCATTTTTCTAATACTTTTTTTGCTTGTGTAATTCCTTGTACAGATTTTCAGTTTTAATGGATTCATTTCCATGTCATTTTCCTCAAATCATATGCCATGAATCTCTGTAATTTTACGGATTTTATTTGTTTATTTTGTATGTGTTTAAATATAATTTAAACACCATAACACACTTAAAAATCTCACAATAAGGACTAATTTCCGATCAATTCCTGGCGCATTCGCCATTTAGTAAAAAACTGACGTCCACTTCTGGCTTTTCTAGCATTTTGCTAATGCATTTTCCTGAGTCACATCGACTCCAGAGCATCATAGCTAGCCTTCCCAAAGAGGAGGAGACCCGGGTCACCCCCTAATCCTGATGTTCGGCCATCGATGACCTATGTAGCATGCATAGGTACCCAAGGGAGTCACCACCCTCTGGTTTACGAGCTAGGTGTTCTAACGCTAGAGGCTTCGGCCGGATACGACCTGGCACCCAAGCTACGAGACTTCTTCGTGCACGTATCCCGTGACGTCTCGACAGTAGAGGGGGCGGGATATCGGACACATTGAAGATGATGAGGGGGGTCCGCCTGTAGGGGGTCCCGGTGGATGTCCGCTCGATGGGTGTCGAGGGTGACCCGAGACGAGGCTGCTTAGCTCGGATGGGAACTGACTGGTGAGGCTTAATTGTCGGCCAAGGGTTAAATCTGATGAAGGGGGGCGAATCTATATGCTCTGGAGGATTTTTTTATATGTGCTTTATGTCATATATTGACCAGATATTTCTGAGAGGAGGCTAAGCGTAGCTTTTTATCAATTCCCCATTTCTTATTGACCACATATTTCTTTACTTTTTTCTCTGGCTTTTGGCCTACCTCTGTTATAAAATTTTTGCCTCTCATATTTTCTTTATTAATGCAATATCATTCATTCTTCTTAGACACATATTTCATCAATTCTATTGTCTGTTTAGCATTATAGCTTTTTATTTATTTTCATGCCATTTTTTTCCAATTCAACCTCCATGTTTATGCCATTTTATCCAATTCATCATATCCCTATTTAATTTTTTCACTCATATTTTCTTTATTATTGGAGTATCATTCATTAATTCTGTATAATACTCTTCCAATAATTGTCTTATATATTAGTAGATTTTTTGTGATTTGTTCATTTTTATGCCATTTGACTCAATATATCCACCATTTATTTTTTTCAGTGCATCATATATTATCTATTTCACTATTTGTCTCATATATTCTTCTTATGGGAATACCATCATTCAATTCTATGCACTCTTTTATTGGTTGCATTTCTAAGTCTTCTTATATGTATAATTTTTTGTGTCATTCTTCTGAGACTTCTCTAAGTTATGCATTTTTTTATTTCCCCATACCTCTATTTCTTTATTTTTCTCTCACATTATCTTCAATCTATGAACTATATAATTTCTATGTACTCCTCATTTTGTTTCTAAATCCATTTAAAATTAAGTTTTTGTATGGGATATTGTACTGCTTTGGAACAAGGTTTTTTTGGGACAGCTGCACCTCAACAACCCCCTTCAAGATGCCATTAGGTGGATTAAAATCAACATTCAACAGTGGATTGAAAAGAAAATTCATCATTCAAGAGGAAATTAAATAATTTTAGGTAAATTATACTCAAAGGTATATTTTTAAGTCCAATATGTTTAATAAAAACGTAGGTAATAATTATTGTATTTTGTAAAATATGTAGCTATAAATGATTAACTTCAAATGACACATTTTGGCGCTCATTTTATTTCAGTTTTATGCCACCATAAATACCTTAACGTGTATATAGAGTTCCCTATAAAAAGGCTAATTTTTTTAATTTAGTTTTTAACAGTTTTTTAATTATTATAACTAAAATATTTCTTAATAACAAGTACAGGTAATTGGACCGTGTTTTTTCCCTTGTATTTCATTTAAAAAAAGTTATTTGATATGAAGATTCTTATATATTTTATAATATTGTTCGCCAATTTAAGCCATTAAAATCGATATTCCTGACAAAATGGTGAAGGCGCTTAATTAAAAAATTTGGTAAATAAAAATAAAATAAAAAAATATAATTTCTCATTAACTAATTATTAATATACAGATAAATTATATCCTATTAATTTACTGGTTATAAAATTATATCGTATGATCGAAAAAAAAATCTTCATATCATAGCCATTGCTGACGCCTTATGATCAAAAAAAAAAGAGGGGACCTAGTTGGCTTGGAAATGACGATCGATGACATTTCCCATATAATTTTGCATATAAAATGACAGCGATCTTTATTTCATAACCATCGCAGACGCCGTTTTTTTTTCGTCATATTGTACGGTATGATCGAAAAAAGCGGCGTCTAATTGACTTGGAAATGAACATCGATGACATTCCCCATATAATTTTACATGTAAAGTGATAGCCATCTTCATTTCATAGCCATCGCAGACGCCGTTTTTTTTTCATCGTATTGTACCGTATGATCGAAAAAAGCGGCGTCTAGTTGACTTGGAAATGAACATCGATGACATTCTCCATATAATTTTACATGTAAAATGATAGCGATCTTCATTTCATAGCCATCGCAGACGCCGGTTTTTTTTCATCGTATTGTACCGTATAATCGAAAAAAGCGGCGTCTAGTTGACTTGGAAATGAACATCGGTAACATTCTCCGTATAATTTTACATGTAAAGTGATAGCGATCTTTATTTCATAGCCATCGCAGACGCCGTTTTTTTTTTCATTATATTGTACCGTATGATCGAAAAAAACGGCGTCTAGTTGACTTGGAAATGAACATCGATGACATTCCCCACATAATTTTACATGTAAAGTGATGGCGATCTTTATTTCATAGTCATCGCAGACGCCATATTTTTTTCCATCATATTGTACCGTATGATCGAAAAAAGCGGCGTCTAGTTGACTTGGAAATGAACATTGATGACATTCCCCATATAATTTTACATGTAAAGTGATAGCGATCTTCATTTCATAGCCATCGCAGACGCCGTTTTTTTCATCGTATTGTACCGTATGATCGAAAAAGCGGCGTCTAGTTGACTTGAAATGAACATCGATGACATTCCCCATATAATTTTACATGTAAAATGATAGCGATCTTTATTTCATAGCCATCGCAGACGCCGTTTTTTTTTTCATTATATTGTACCGTATGATCGAAAAAACGGCGTCTAGTTGACTTGGAAATGAACATCGATGACATTCCCCACATAATTTTACATGTAAAGTGATAGCGATCTTTATTTCATAGTCATCGCAGACGCCATATTTTTTTCCATCATATTGTACCGTATGATCGAAAAAAAGCGGCGTCTAGTTGACTTGGAAATGAACATTGATGACATTCCCCATATAATTTTACATGTAAAGTGATAGCGATCTTCATTTCATAGCCATCGCAGACGCTGTTTTTTTTTTTCATCGTATTGTACCGTATAATCGAAAAAAAGCGGCGTCTAGTTGACTTGAAATGAACATCGGTAACATTCTCCGTATAATTTTACATGTAAAGTGATAGCGATCTTTATTTCATAGCCATCGCAGACGCCGTTTTTTTTTGATCATATTATTGAAGTTATAGTTTTTAATCAACATTGTTAGTGAACAATCAATTAATTTTTCTTTATATTTTTCTTACAGAACGAAGACTTTCCAGAAGGGTAGCCAGAAGATTTATTTACCTCAACATAGACATCCACATGTTCATCAGCACCTTGGATTTTAATATTATACTTTTTATGTTATTATTGTTAATAAAAAATGATATGTTAATAAACAGTAATTAATATTAAATGAGTTTTATTGAACTAAAATATATTAGAAATACTGTCTAATCATGAACAAATAGAAAGTTATTTAATTATGACAAAAATAATGTATTCTAATACTAAGAAACCAAACAAGTTGTTCAGGAACAGACAGTATTTTTAATGAAAAAATACCAACCTTTACCTCTTCGCTCTTATGCACTCCTGATACAAATCTGAGAAAATTCAACTTTTGATAAAAATTGAACGAACATTTTTAATCGTAGTCCAAAATCACCGATTTCTATCAAGAGCACATAAGTGTGAAGAGGTAAAGAGCAAATTTAGTACCAATATTTACCTCCTCGCTCTTATGTACTCCTGATACATATCCGAGAAAATTCAATTTTTGGCAAAGACCGCACGAAAATTTTTAAACCGTGTCTAAAATCGCCGATTTCTATCAGGATAGCATAAGCGTGAGGAGGTAAGGAGCAAATTTAGTACCACACGTAAATAAAGCATTTTTCAACGATATTTCTGCTATCTCTAGCACTTCGAACTCGTTTCCAAACTTCAACCCTTAATATCTCGGAAACTATAAGGGCTAGAGAGGAACGGAGGGCGGCTTTCGATAGGCATTTCAACCCTCTATAAGGGCGCAAAACGAGGGCGCGATCGGAAACAAAAAAAAGTTTTGGCGAAAAATGAGGTAAGGGGTTAACCTTACTTCATTTTCGCCAAAAAAAATTTTTTGTCTCCGATCATCCCCTAAATTTGCACCCTTATAGAGAATTGAATTCCCTATCGATTGCCGAGTTCCGTTCCTCGATATCTCTTATAGTTTGGAAGTTATAGCCGTTTTTCGAAAAAATCTAACTCGTTCGAACTCGTTGGTCGGGTACTCAGTTTTTTGTCAGGTCGAAATTATTTTGCACAGCTTTTGTTAAAAGTGAGACGCCTTGAATTTATTTTTCGGTACCAGGAGTAAAAAGTTACATTCACTATTTTGTCAAGAATTTTTGATCTAAATATCTGATTATTTAGCAGGTCAAATATATTCTGAATAATTATATCTGTATCTGAATATGCTGGATTTTAATCAGGAATATATATAGAATACTGTCTATTCCAGAACAACTTGTAAGTTGGTTAGTATTAGGATATATTATTTGTTATAATTAAATGCAATTTTCTTGTTGTTCACGAATAAACGGTATAATATATTTTAGTCCAATAAAACTCATTTATTATTAATCATTATTTATTTATTAACATAATATAAATATATATTATTAACAATATTAATATTAAAAGTACATTAAAATCCAAGGTGCTGATGGACATGCTGATGTCTATGTTGAGGTAAATAAATCTTCTGACTACCCTTCTAGAAAGTGTTGGTTCTGGAAGAAAAATACAGAAATAATTCATTAATTGTTCAATAAAAAGCTTGATTAAAAAATATTACTTCTACTGTATGATCGAAAAAAAAATACGGCGTCTGCGATGGCAATGAAATAAAGATCGCTCTCATTTTATATGCAAAATTATATGGGAAATGTAACCGATCGTCATTTCCAAGCCAACTGGGCCCCCTCTTAAAAAAAGGCGTCAGCGATGGCTGTGAAATGAAGATCGCTGTCATTTTATATGTAAATTTATATGGGAAATGTCATCAATTGGTGATTTTGCCACTGCGGGGACCTGGTGGTTTTGCCACTGCGGGGACCTGGTGATTTTGCTACTGCGGGGAAATGGTGATTTTGCCACTGCGGGCACCTGGTGATTTTGTCACCGCGGGCACCTGGTGATATTGCCACTACGGGAACCTGGCGATTTTGCCACTGCGGGGACCTGGTGATTTTGCCACCGCGGGGGCCTGGTGATATTGCCACTACGGGGACCTGGTGATTTTGTCACCGCGGGGACCTGGTGATATTGCCACTACGGGGACCTAGTGATTTTGACACCGCGGGGACCTGGTGATATTGCCACTACGGGGACCTGGTGATTTTGCTACTGCGGGGAAATGGTGATTTTGCCACTGCGGGGACCTGGTGATTTTGTCACCGCGGGCACCTGGTGATATTGCCACTACGGGAACCTGGCGATTTTGCCACTGCGGGGACCTGGTGATTTTGCCACCGCGGGGGCCTGGTGATATTGCCACTACGGGGACCTGGTGATTTTGTCACCGCGGGGACCTGGTGATATTGCCACTACGGGGACCTAGTGATTTTGACACCGCGGGGACCTGGTGATATTGCCACTACGGGGACCTGGTGATTTTGCTACTGCGGGGACCTGGTGATTTTGCTACTGCGGGGAAATGGTGATTTTGTCACTGCGGGGACCTGGTGATTTTGTCACCGCGGGGACCTGGTGATTTTGCCACCGCGGGAACCTGGTGATTTTGCCACCGCGGGGACCTGGTGATTTTTCCACTACAGGGACCTGGTGATTTTGCTACTGCGGGGACCTGGTGATTTTGCCACTGCGCGGACCTAGTGCATTATATCCTTCAAATCCTTCAATTTAATAGCTGTTCGTAAGAAGTTTCACTTCAAATATACATAGTAAACACACTGTTGTTTCATATTACAAAAAGCGATGTCCTCTAAAGAGCGGTATGATGTTAGATTTTTTTTAGCTATGATTTGTTCTCTCATGTGGTGTTTTTTGCATTAGCAGCATTAGGTGCATATTGGCAGGTAGGGCATTGGCTATGGGAAAACTAACTAACCTTATTTTATTTTTTTTTTCTGCTTTTTATTATACTGAAATGTAATATACAAATATTTATACAGTAAAATATAAAGCTATGTGTATTTTCTACCATTATTAATACATATTTTATTCACGTTGTTTTTACTTAGACAAAAATTGTAATAAATAAAAGATCCACTGAAACAACACAAAAAATATAGTTTACCTTATTCACTGCATCTCCTCATAACAATAATACATTTCTAGCAGTGTGGAACAACCATTAAGAATAAAATTATCTTTATATCATCGAAAAAAGCAGATTTGGGATGTACAGCATAGCTTCCATGGATCTGAATGTTCGGAAGTATAATTTTCTGAAGAGGTATTTGCAGAAATGATTTGAAGCAAAGTTTGAAGGCAACAATAATTATAAGCAGAAACCATTTGGCGGATCCGTGTTTTCAACAGGATTCCGATCTTGTAACTCCAGCTTTACTTTTACTTGGCCCACACTTTCATTGAAAAGCCGGGTACAATCGGTGAGATTTTCTTATGAAATTCTATGCAAGTACACATCTTCCCAAGAGAAAATCTTATTCCTCTCCATTTTTCTTGGCGTATTCTCCACTTTATCTTCATAAACAGCACTTATCACTGCATTATTTCATATCTGTATCTGTAACAAAAATTGTTTACGTCTATATACTTTTGACTTCAAAGATTACACATAAAAATACGAGCTGTAGATAAATAATATTAAAAATTAGTTGTAATGTACATATATTATATATATCGCACATTTTAATTTGTACTTTTATGTAACAAATATAAATAAATATATATTTTCTGGGGTTAGAATCAAATTTAGTATAAAATTTTATTCATAGATGGCTCTCACTTAAAACGGTTTGGGAATTAAAAATTGCAGATTTCTTTAAAATTCAAAGAAAATTTTTACCGAAGTTCAGCTATTTAATGTTAGATAGCAATAGTAGTGTTTTTTTTTATACAGAAATCTGTAAATGACTAGTTTAAATACTTAATATATGATGGCGCCACCCATACATAGTAAAAACAGCAACCTGTATTTAATTAGTTCTAAAACTTTCCGTATGGTGGCGCCATAATCGTTTTCACGTTAGTGCCAAAAATTCTCACTAAATAAGAATGGCGCTGTAATCAATTAAACGCGCCAAAGGAAAAATTTGAATGCTTTTTAATAAGTAAAGTACAATTTTCTTGTTATTTCTTCACTGTAGACATGCATAGCAGCATAAAATACCAAACTTACCAATTGTAGAAGTCGTTTTTTCGCTTTTTCCTATAGATTCGTCGTTAATAAGCCAAGTCTAAAGAATAAATAAATCAGTATAAGTAAAATCAAACTCTAAATAGTATATTAAACCTCATTTCTTTTAACAGTTAGTATATTTATAATTAATATATAATTTTAACGAAATAAAACATCACAGTACCTAAAATTAATATGATTTATTAATTAAAATTTATATAACACTAGTTGAAGCCTGGCGCATTCGCCACGACATCAGAAAAAAAAACCTTTTTATTTTTTTTTAATTAAATGAAAAACAAAAAATCCAGCGACGACAGTTTTTAGAAGAGCCAATTAACTATCTTTTAGTAAAAAAGCAACTTTCTAGAACAAGTCGTTACATCAGTAGAGACGACACAGATAAACATTAGCATTTTATATAAATATGTAGATGTTTGTGATGCAATGTTTGTGCTCAAATGAAATATTCCCCATTTTATGTCATAAATACCGTATGATCGAGAAAAAACGGAGTCCAGTTGGCTGGGAAATGAAGATCGCTGTCATTTTATATGTAAATTTATATGGGAAATGTCATCGATCGTCATTTCCCAACCAACTGGACGCCATTTTTTTTCGATCATACGGTATAAACAAAGCTTTTATCTAACTTTATGTTTTGATAAACAAATTTTGATAGAATATTAAATGAACAGAAATTTTAGTACAAAAATATTTCAAAAACTACTAGGTATAAATTGTTATGGTATTTTCAAATGGAACTTCTTATGACAAATCTACTGTGCAAGAAAAAATATAGCAGGTAAAAACTACAATTCTAAAGTAAAAATATATTTCACTCACCTTGTATGATTCCAAAATTATTTTTAAAATGCTTGCTACTATTGTCTCTATATCTTATAAAAAATGAGAGTGAAGACATCAATAGAAAACCTAAAATATAGTAGATTTTAAAAAAAGATACACGTCAGTTATATAATATAAATACGAAAAAAATACATGTATGGTTAAATTTTTCAATTAAAAACTAGTTTTCTTTAAAATATATATGAAGTAACAATTATTATACTGAAATGTAATATACAAATATTTATACAGTAAAATATAAAGCGATGTGTATTTTCTTTCTTTATTCATATTTCATTTACGTTGTTTTTACTTAGACAAAAATTATAACAAATAAAAGATCCACTAAAACAACACAAAAAATATAGTTTACCTTATTTACTGCATCTCCTTATAACAATAACACATTTCTACCAGTGTGGAACAACCATTAAAAATAAAATTATCTTTATATCATCGAAATAAGCAGATTTGGGAGGTACAGCATAGCTTCCATGGATCTGAATATTCGAAAGTATAATTTTCTGAAAAGGTATTTGCAGAAATGAGTTGAAGACAACAAATATCCTACTTTATAAGCAGAAACCATTTGACGGATTCGTTTTTTCAACAGGATTCCAATCTTGTTGCTCCAGCTTTACTCTTTCTTGGCCCACACTCTCATTGAAAATACAGTACAATCGGTGAGATTTTGTTATGAAATTCTATTAAAGTACACATCTTCGCAAAAGAAAATCTTATTTCTCTCCATTTTTCTTGGTGTTTTCTCCATTTTATCTTCGTAAAAAGCTCTTATCACTGTCTTATTTCATATCTGTATCCTATATCTGTAACAAAAAATGTTAAGGCTATATACTTTGACTTCACAAATTACGCTTAAAAATACGAATTGTAGATAAATAATATCAAAAATTAGTTGTAAACTATATTATATAGATCGCACATTTTAATTTAACCAGTAGATTTGATAACAAACTGAAAATAAACTAATTTATTGTACTTTTATGTAACAAATATAAAAAAAAAATTATATTTTCTGGGGTTAGAATCAAATTTAGTACAAAATTTTATTCGTAGATGGCTCTGACTTAAAATGGTTTTGGGAATTAAAATTGCAGATTTCTTTAAAATTCAAAGAAAATTTTTACTAAAGTTCAGTTACTTAACGTTAGATAGCAATAGTAGTGTTTTTTTATACAGAAATCTATAAATGGCTAGTTTAAATACTTAATACATGATGGCACCACCCATATATAGTAAAAAAACAGAAACCTGCATTTAACTAGTTTTAGAACTCTCCGTACGGTGGCGCCATAATCGTTTTTTCACGTTAGTTCTAAAAAATCTCACTATATAAGAACGGCGCTGTAATCAATTAAACGCGCCAAAGAAAAAATTTGAATGCTTTTTAATAAGTAAAGTACGATTTTCTTGTTATTTCTTCACTGTAGACATGCATAGTAGCATAAAATACCAAACTTACCAATTGCAGAAGTCGTTTTTTCGCTTTTTCCTATAGAATCTTCGTTAATAAGCCAAGTCTAAAGAATAAATAAATCAATATAAGTAAAATCAAACTCTAAATAGTATATTACACCCTACACCTCATTTCTTTTAACAGTTAGTATATTATAATTAATATATAATTTTAACGAAATAAAACAACATCACAGTACCTAAAATTAATATGATTTATAATTTATAATAATTATTAATAATTATATATATTATTAATAATTTATAATAATTATTAAAATTTATATATTTTCAAATGAAATATTCTCCATTTTATATCATAACGTCCTATTGCTGCCAAAAGTAACTGACTAACATTTTTCCGAACAACCAAATTCAATCACTAACTATGTTTTGAAGCGGAGAATCGATTGCAAGTCATTAACTACAATTTCTGGCTATTTATGTTTTATTTTAATACCGAATAGTTACTAACTATAACATCTTTATGCAATGCAATTCATCTTTAGACACATTTTTCTGGGAAGTGATAAAAGTAAGTTAGTGACTTTTGGCAGCAATGGGATGATAAATAAACACAGCTTTTATCTAACTTTGTTTTGATTTACAAATTTTGATAGAATATTAAATGAAAAGAAAATTTAGTACAAAAATGGTAATACATATTTCAAAAACTAATAGGTATCAATTATGTTATGGTGTTTTTCAAATGGGACTTCTTATGACAAATCTACTGTGCAAAAAAAATACAGCACACCATTTAAAAACTACAATTTTAAGGTAAAAATATATTTCACTCACCTTGTATGATTCCAAAATTATTTTTAAAATGATTGCTACTATTGTCTCTATAAGTATCTTATAAAAAATGAGAGTGAAGACATCAATAGAAAACCTAAAATAAAGTTGATTTTGAAAAAAGATACATGTCAGTCATAATAAATACAAGGTAAATACTAAAAACAAATGTAAGGTTAAATGTTTCTATTAAAAACTACTTTTCTTTAAAATATACCTATATAAATTAACAATTATTATACTGAAATATGTAATATACAAATATTTAGACAGTAAGATATAAAACTATGTGTATTTTCTAGCATTATTATTTTGTTTACGTTATTTTTACTTAGACAAAAATGGTAACAAATAAAAGAGCCACTGAAACAACACAAAAAATATAGTTTACCTTATTCACTACATCTCCTCATAACAATAATACATTTCTACCAGTGTGGAACAACCATTAAGAATAAAATTATCTTTATATCATCGAAATAAGTAGATTTGGGAGGTACAGCATATCATTCTCTGAAGAGGTATTTGCAGAAATGATTTGAAGGCAACAATTATATGCAGAAACCATTTGGCGGATCCAATCTTGTTGCTCCAGCTTACTCTTTCTTGGCACACACTTTCATTGAAAAGCAAGGTACAATCGGTGAGATTCTCTTATGAAATTCTATGCAAGTACACATGTTCCCAAAGGAAAATCTTATTTCTCTCCATTTTTCTTGTCGTATTCTCCATTTTATCTTCATAAAAAGCTCTTATCATTCTCTTATTTCATATCTGTATACTGTATCTATAACAAAAAATGTTAGGGCTATATACCATTGACTTAAAAATTGCGCTTAAAAATACGAATTGAAGATAAATTATATCAAAAATTAGTTGTTAAGTATATTACATAGATCGTACATTTTAATTTAACCAGTAGATTTGTTAATAAACTAATTTATTGTACTTTTATATAACAAATATAAAAAATATATATTATCGTAGGTTAGAATTAAATTTAGTATAAGATTTTATCCATAGATGGCTCTCACTTAAAACGGTTTTGGGAATTAAAAATTGCAGATTTCTTTAAAATTCAAAGAAAATTTTTATCGAAGTTCAGCTATTTAACGTTAGATAGCAAAAGCAGTGTTTTTTATACAGAAATCTGTAAATGACTAGTTATTTAATAGCATGATGGCGCCACACATACATAGTAAAAGCAGAAACCTGCATTTAATTACTTTGAGAACTTTCCGTACGGTGGCGCCATAATCGTTTTGAAGTTAGTTTCAAAAATTCCCACTAAATAAGAATGGCGCTGTAATAAATTAAACCCGCCAAAGGAAAAATTTGAATAGACGGGACGCTTTTTAATAAGTAAATGTACGATTTTCTTGTGATTTCTTCACTGTAGACATGCATAGTAGTATAAAATACCAAACTTACGCATTGTAGAAAAGGTTTTGTGCCTCCTGAAGTCACGGAAGCATCTGTGTAGACTGCTATATTATAATTAATATACAATTTTGTCAAATATATAATTTTAACGAAATAAAACAACATCGCAGTACCTAAAATTAATATGATTTATTTACAATAATAACTATTAAAATTTATATAACATGTTTGTGATGCGTGGCAATAAGAGAGGAAATAACTGAAAATTAGGGTCAAAACAAAACAATTCTTTTTAAAGTTAAAAATCTCTTGAATATACAACTAAAACGAGATTTACTAGAGAACATTCAGAGTAAAATATTTCACATTATACCAGGCACTATTTTAAGAAAAAAAAACATACTTTTTTTAACTCAGAGTAGGTAGTGCTACCAGTAAAATTAAGGAATGTAGTACACACAATATATTATATGAGAAAACTTGAGTAATTTTGCCTTGAAAATATATTTTTTTTATTCAATATACCATGGGATTGAATTAAAACGGCATCACAGTAGGCACAGAAATAATCATTTCAGTTCAAACCATTTATATTTTTTTCTATAACAGTTTTGACAATATATCTCTCAATGCTTACTGTAACGGCATTTTTTTTCGACCACACGATACATTGTGGTTATGTTCACATTGTACTCTACTTACCACAGAGCAAATAAATGTTTTATCGATGTGAAATGTCATGGATATGTGAAATGCATATACATATCAAAGAATATACTGCAGGTACCGGAAAAATTCTTGTCCGAATATAGAAGCATAGATACAGAATATAAATGCGTTTCCCAACTAAGTCTATCCTTGAACTGTCATAATTTTTCTGCGCTTGCTCGAAAGTTCCAAATCGTATATTTGAAATTGAAATTGAAGTCGTTCAAATAACACCAGGGATACAGAGAGGCTATAACAAGCTTAGTATCTCTGAATAAAGCAAAATTTAATCGATAGTCGATCGATGCCACTAGGAAAACATCGACCAATAGGAAAACAACATTAGGACGCAAGCATATTACTTCTATCTGCTAGACAAGGACGAACATATGTTTCTAAACCATATAAACTCGATTTTCCCTCCTTCACTACTGGAACAAAAATCTTTTGCTTATTTGGGAAGGCTGCAGTATATTCTTTTATATCTATACACCAGATTACGCATCAGCTCAGGACATATAGTCAATCCCATGTAAATTTTAAAAAACTTTTAATAAAATTTTTCAAACTCATGGTATAAATCAGGCTACCTATTACTTTGAAACTCTTCCACCATGCCGTTTTTTTAATTATTTGCAAAATTAGATCCTTAAAAAAAGTAATTCATACAACAATGATCTAATCAAGTACTTTAAAAAGGATATCCTATATATCCTTAGCCGGAGCATGCATAACCTAGTATGGTGACATGACTTGATGGTTTCCCAATCACCAAAACAAATTAAATATTATTTTCTTTTCTCGATAAATGCAAAATTGAGCTATTTTCCTTGTCTAAGATTTTAGTTGATTAGAACAAATCATAACATAACCTAAAAGTAAATTCCTACAGACTATCACGTAAAACGGGTACAAAAAACAATAATAATAATAAATAAAAATTTTCAGTCTCACGTAAATAATATAATATATTAATATTGGAAATATTGAAGTCCTAGTTTTTATTTGGTTACGTCGTGTTAGGTTAGAATTAGCACCGTATTATAGAGACGTAAAAAAATAAAAACTTACAAAAGAGAGTGAAGGTACAACATTTAATAACAAACCCAGTCAAGGTTTGTAGGAATTATTTGTTGAAAATTGTCTAAAAGTTGTTCATTCAAAGGATAGAAGTAAGACATTTTGATTCAAACTTAATATACAGGGTGGTCCAAATTGTATTCTAGAAAATTAGAGGCAGCATATTCTGCAGATAAAAATAAGTAAAAAAGTTCGTATAAATGTATATCAAGTGCTTAGTTTTGGAGACACCTACAGAGTATAGATGTTTCATTTTAATTTCGATTTTTCCCAAATAATTTCTGAATTAATGTTGAAAATTGTTGTCTGGGTGTTTTTTTACATGAGAAATTCAATTTCCACGTTACTATAACGTGGAAATACAACTTTTAAATTATGATGATATAAAAAATAAATCTTATTTTTATGTGAGGAATATTCCAATTACACCCTGTATAGATACAACTATTTTTTGTTTTAATTGAAATTCCAATGTCTTACCACTTTCATTTTAATGAAAAACTTCAGAAACTTGTTTAAATATCAATCAAAACCAAATCTGACCTTTACATAGTATGTATGCTTCAATATCATAAAAAATAATAATAAGCAATATCTGGAGAGATTACTTCCTTGGGGCGTTATATTTTCAAGCAAAGGATGTACATTTATATATTTAATTCCTTTGGTATGTTTCCTGGTTGCCTATATATCGGGTGTTTCAATATCTTAGTTCCAATGGAATACTTTAATTATTGGATCATAGGTAAAACACCCAGTATTAAAGAAAACACCGCTCGACTTTGATCACTAATAAAAATATTTATAAGACAATAATTTTTTTTGTTAACGTATGCATATATATTTATATAGTTTTATTATTTATCCTGTCTAATATCATTTTAAGTTAAATATAGTTTCATAAATACTTTTTTCAACTTAAAACTTCATTCTAAATCTTCAAATTAGTGGTTTCAATTAGTGTAGAGGTTTGTTGCGTAGAAGATGGTAGTAATTAGTAGAAAAATTGATAAAACTTTTAACTTTTTCTTCTAATCTTCTACCACTAATTTCTACTCTTTCTTCAACCACTAATTTCGACGATTCAGAACGTCGAAATTAGTGGTAGAAGAAAAGCTTACATTGGAATTAGAGGAACAAACTTCTATGTTAAATGAAACCACTAATTTCCAGGTTCTGAATGAAGCTTAAAACAGAATTTAAATAACTTTTCTTTCTATACATATATGAGAAAATATCTTGGACAGATCTGTTCACCCATCACACATCAGTATGACGTGTTGATTCCCTGTACCCTCATTTTTATCGAAAAATCGTTTCAAAATACAGTTATTAGTGTTATTACTGCGTTATTACTACACTTCAGTAAGCTACAGGTTATTTTATCAAATGTAACCACCAAAAAAATAAGTAAAAAGAAGCACATATTTGTCAGACATGTGTCTAAATTTCGAATTATATATCATCAGTTTATTATGGCTACAGAATAAAAAAATATAACAGAAATGACAGTTTGATTTTACCATTTTTTTTCTTTATTCATTTTGTCATTAACTGTCACTGTTCTTGTCAAAAACAACAGCGAATGACAGATGTTCCTACGTCTATTGTGACTGTTATCGCCCTGTATATCAAATTATTCTGTAACAGGATATTTCTTCTAATAAACTTGATTCTGTATTTATTTGGGAAAAATAACATTCAAGTAAGCTCATGAACAGCTACTTAGTTACCTATTGCACTCGAGTGTACTTCATATATCGGAATGTATAGGTTGTCTTAAAATATATATATAGTGTTTTTTTATATTCAGTTTGATACGGTGAAGGACTAGAACAATATTTTTCTAAAATTGTATAACGTGTATTGAACGATCAGAAGTAAATATACTTACACATAGTAAAAAAAAAGTTAAATTATTCTTACCACGGAGTTTAACTAACAACTGTTTGAGAACCACTGAATCTCATTCTATATCAGTGATCTGAAGTAGTATTTCCCAATTTTTCTTAAACCATCTCAAGAGTAACACTGTCCTATAAACTCCACACGAATAAGTATACAGTCTGTCATTTTAATTTCAAAGCAAATTATGTTTCCTGTCAACTTTTATTTTTTTTATAAATGTCTTGTCCTATCTGATCGTCCAATACAAGTTCACAGATACCTTACTTGTTCTTCATTTCCACTCCAGTCAACACAAATTAACCGAAGACTCGCTGTGAATCCCACACAAAACTATAACGCCCATTTAAATACAACTATCTGGATGCTGACTCTGATTCTTTCTGGACTTCCCCGTCTTGGTGTCGGTCGTTTTCATTTGATCTATACTGAGTCTCCTGGGATTCCCCAGCGTAACCAAAGCGCTGGCTATAGACAGTCCAGCCGATTGTCCCGCCACAGTGTAGGGCTCACCTCCAGTGGGCAATCTGATCAGGAGACTCAGAACTGCAGCCCTGCTACCTGCGCAAGGCTCCAGTGCTATGGGACTAGGGGCATCACGTTTTTTACGTTCTCTACTGTTCAGTTCTTTCAGATCTATGGGTTTCTGTTGCTCCAGTTCCACCAGAACCTAAAAAATTATAAAGGAAGCTACCAAAAAACTGTCCAAGCATGGAGGAAAATTGATTTTAAGACTGGCCAAAGGGTTTTAGATCCTGCAAAATATTTTTTAGAGTCCGCCAAGTGTGCAATACATTTTTAGACACCAACAAGTATTTTTAGAAAGTCCCATACATTATTTAAATACCCCTGAATATTTTTGAGATACTTCCAATATTTTTTGGGACATTACAAAGTATTTTTAGACAGCAACAAGTATTTTCAATGCTGCCAAGTATTTTTAGATAGCACTAAATATTTTTTAGATGCTGCCAAGCATTTTATATTCCTAACAAAGTATTTTTAGAAACTGACAAGCGTTTTTAGACGGTAAAAATATTTTTAAACACTGCAAAATATTTTAAAAGAGTTCCACATATTTTTAGATTGCATTAAAAATTCTTTAGATACTTCAAAATATTTTTGAACATTATAAAGCATTTTTAGAAACTGGCAAGCATTGACACCAAATATTTTTATAGAGTGCCAGATACTTTTAAATAGCGCTAAATATTTTTAGATATTGCCAAGAATTTTTTGAACATTACAAGAGTGCAAGAGATTTTTAGATAGCACGAAATATCGTTTGGATAGTTACAATCATTATTTAGGTTTTATAATTATTTTTAGAAAATAGCAACCATTTTTAGACACCAAACAGTATTTTTAAATATTGCCAAGTATATTAAGCGAGTGCCGGGTATTTTTAGATACATCCAAGCATTTTTTGGACAGCACAAAATATTTTTTAAAAATTATAAGCATTTTTAGATAGCAACAAGTATTTTTAGGAAGTGCCGCCTATTTTTTAGACATTACAAAATATTTTTAGAAACTGGCAAGCATTTTTAGAGAGTATCAGGCATTTTTAGCTAGCTCTAAATATTTTTTAGAAGCTGCCAAGAATTTTTAGACAGAAACAAGTATTTTTAAATATTGCAAAGTACTTTAAAAGAGTGCCAGACATTTCTAGATCGCATTAAAATTTTTTTAGATACTTCCAAATACCGTATGATCGAATAAAAACGGCGTCAGCGATGGCTATGAAATGAAGATCGCTGTCATTTTATATGTAAAATTATATGGGAAATGTCATCGATCGTCATTTCCAAGCCAACTGAACGCCATTTTTTTTCGATCATACGGTATTTTTGAACATTATATTAAAGTTAGGAAGTATTTTTAGAAACTGGCAAGCATGACACCAAACATTTTCAGTGCCAGAGACTCAAGAGAAGAACTATAGTTCTTCTCGTAAAATATGTCTCTATATTACCTGTGAGAAAGGCCTAGAAGCCATCTGTTCCATCTCCACAAAAAGTCTTCTTCTACGTCTGGATACGTCGTATCTTTGTTTCGCTTTCCACAAGATCGCTGCGAAGAAGAGCAACATCAGGAAACACCTAAGGGAGAAAAAAAAACAATTTTTTTGGTCCAAAAAAAATTATGGTGCCGTCGGAAAGTAATTATAACTTACGTGGAAAAAGTTATAAAGAACTGTTGCAAGTTCAGTTTAGGGTATTGCGAAAAGGATATTTGGATCACTAGCGGCGGTTGGAAATCGTAGACATAGACGTAGAAGGTTGTCAGAGTAATGTTGTTCTCGCTGCCAAAGGCGTAGTCCGACTTAGCAAACCGATACCTTAAAAAGATGATTAAAAAGTTTATTTTTAAAATGTTCCTTTTTCTGTGCTTCTTTAAATATTTCCAAGCAGTTTTAGACAGTGACAAATATTTTCAGATACCGCCAATTACTGTTAGACATCCCTAATGAGTTTTTAATCACGCCACAGGTCTTTTTTAGACACAACTAAGCACTCTTAGCTAAAAGAAATATGAGAATATAAGGAAATATTTTTAGATACCGCCATGTATTGCTAGATACTGCCAAGTATTTTTAGAATAAACTAGCGAATATTTTTAGATGCCGCTAAATGTTTTTCACATACCGCAAAGCACTTTTTAGACTGCCAAGTTCATTTAGGTACTGCCAAGTATTTTTAGAGATTAGAAAATAATTTTAAAAAGTGTCAAGTATTTTTAGACACTACCAAATATTTTTAGAAAGTGTGTACCATATTTAGTCTATATCAAATATTTTTAGACACATTTCTTATACACTGCCAAGTATTTTAGATACTACCAAGAATTTTTAGAAAGTGTGTACCATTTTTAGACAATATCAAATATTTTTAGAGACTGCCAAACATTTTTTATATACTGTCAAGTATTTTTAGACACAGCCAAACATTTTTTATATACTACCAAGTATTTTTAGACACAGCCAGACATTTTTATATACCGTCAAGTATTTTTAGACACCACCAAGTATTCTTTAGCTACAGTCAAGTATTTTTAGATACTGCCAAATATTTTTTATATACTGTCCAGTGTTTTTATACACAGCCAAATATTTTTTATATATTACCAAGTATTTTTAGACACATCCAACATTTTTATATATACTCAAGTACTTTTAGACACTGCCAAACATTTTTAATATACTACCAAGTATTTTTAGACACTGCCAGATATTTTTACGTCTTCTTGACTGTACTTACCTAAAATTAGAACAATTGTGGACGGTAAAAATTAGTTTTTCTTCAGGCGAGTTATATTTCCTAATAGTTATGTTCATCCTTGACGGCGGTTGACACAACACTGAAAAATCCACGTCAACATCAGCCTTTTGAGGGGAATTTCGAAAATTTATCTGCGTAAAATGTCTGTCTTCTTTCTTCGACAGGTTGAAGGTGAACTGATAGTCTATAGTCAAGTCATCTGAGGGAGGAAAAGCATAGAGTATTTTAGATACTTTTAGATATTCAAAAATCTTAAGACTTACAATAACAGGATCCGTTGTTCCATGGATCAGGTCTGTAATGATTTGCAGCGTCACACTTCTCACACTGATCACCAATCAGACCCTTGGTTTTACAGTGACACTTCCCGGTTTCTCTGTGACAGTCATCGGCGTAACCTTTACACTCACATTTTTGACATTTGCCTCCGTTCACTGGGGATCCCCAGTAGCCTTTCTTGCAGTGCTCACAGTGGGGCCCAGTAGTGAGATTCTGTGAGAAAAAAGAGGTAGATTTTTATTTTATTTCTTATTAATAATTCCTTTTAAACATAAATAACTAATGGTATTTTTTACCTGACAGTTATCACAGGTACTAGAGTTTCCTCGACATTTAGCGTGTCCATTACACTGACATAATGGACATGTAGTAAAGTGCCATCTTTCAGGTGGACAAGTGTCAGAAGGTAGAGATTGTTCATGTAGGTTAGGTCCTAAAAATACAATTGTTGAGGTTAGGAAGCAATTAATAATTAAGGAATTATATTATTAATAATTAAAGAATTATTAAAACTAAAAGAATGTCGGACTAATTTGCTAGGTTGCAATCATGCTGTTATCATGACAAGATGGCAAGTGACGGATCCATTCTATAGAGAAACCAAAAGAGGAGAACCGTACATAAGTATCAATATGGACAAATTTGAATCGGGTAAAGTCGGATTTACACTATTATGCCAGTCACGGTTTTTTCTAGGTCCGGTAAAACCTAATTACGTTCATATTATGAACAAAGTGTCTTAATTATTCAACAAAAATGACTTTGATATAGCGGTTTGTCTTCTAAAAGTAGATTTAGTTTTGGCGCCCAACGTGGGGCACCAAAAATGAGTTTACACATGTCGTATGATCGAAAAGAACGGCGTCAGGGACCACTGGGGAATGACAATTGATGATAATTTTGGCGAGGTAAATCTCTACAAGTTATTTACTTGTCTTTATCTATTTTAAAGACTTTTTTTATAAAGACAATGGAAGTCCGAAATTATTTTCAAGAACGCTATTTCCTCATGTTATTTATAGACTATCCCTTAATGACCGAGCATTTCTTATAATTTTAATGTTTTATACATACCAGCGTAGCCTCCAGGCATACATACACCCAAGCCTGTTTTAGATCCATCGTCGCACCATCCGCAAGCAGGGTCGTCGCGACATTTGCCGCATGTCTTATAGAAACTAAAAACCCCAGAGTGAAATAAAAAAAAATTAGTTACTTTAACGCCAAATGGAAGTTAAAACATGTTCCAACCTGCACTGGGAGTTTTCATCTCCTTTGGTACGACATTTTGAACCAATGGTAGTCCATTCCCTGCACTGGCCATATGGAAAACTCGAAGTATAGGCGTTCTATATCAAATTTACATAGATAAATTGAGTATATTCAATATTCATTTCATTGTGTCAACTGATTATTATTTATCATCAATTATTAGCAATCGACAATTCACAGTTCTGATATTTATGTACTATCAAATGTTTTTAAGATACTGTGTGATATTTTTTAATACCCGAATTTTTAACACCGAAATATGAAGTTTCTGAAGCTATATAACACTTATCAGATATAGACAAGCATTTTTAGATTCTCTGTAAGCATTTAGAAACTGCTAAATATTTGTAGATAGTGCTACACATTTTTTATACAGCGCAAAGCGTTTTAAAGACACTATTATATATTTTATAGACATTTTTTAAATATCAACATGCATATTCTGAAGTTCTCAACATTCTATATTTTTTTTAGAATCCGTAAAACACTTTTAGATACAGCTTTTTTTATTACAGACACTAATAAATATTTTTCAGGTATTTTAAAGGATTTTTTGAGAACGTCAAGGTTTCAACATTCAAGTAAAAAGTTTTTAGAATGCGCTAAACAGTTTTTAGATACACCCAAGATTTTTTTAATGCCAGCAAACATTTTAACAATCATATTATTTACTTTACTTAACATATAACGATCATATTATTTACTTTACTCAGGACTTTGTTCTTGATTTTAAAATTAAGATTTTTGCCATGGGCCACCACTTTGTGATAATGAACAAACTCTATAAATCATATTATTTTTAAGTTTTATTTTATTATAATCTAATACTGGTTAAAAAAATACCCACCTTATCTACACATCTTCCTTCATTCTGACACCATATACACTCTTCCTGAGTGCAGTTGACACAAGAAGTGAACTCAGAACAGACCTTCTGGCACTGCGCAGGCTCATTGGCCTCGGCCGTCGCATTTGACTGAGGATAAGTCACGCATTTGGCATGTTCATACCTCCACCTGTCAATTAATAGTAGTTTTAGAAGCTTTAGACACATTTTTTTATCATATAAAATCTATAATATGGATATATATCATTATATTGACAGTTACCTGCAAAAAGGTTGATAAGTGCAGGCTGTGCACGTATGCAGTTGCCTACAAATTGGTTTAGGATCGGGTGGACATAGATCACCCTTCCCGTAACTAGCCAATGCAGTCTCGGTCGAATTAGAACCGCTGTTGCCGGTTCTACAACGCTTATGATGCATACAACCTCCGCCGCACCAAATACATTCGGCCGTGGTGTGAGCACAACTCAGACAATCCTAAAATAAACATAATCATTCCAAAAATAAAGATATATACAGAGATATATAGATCAGATTTGAACCATTTCTATAGCGGCACATTTGAACTACTCAAATTTTAAAGCAGTATAATTCATTTTTATCAACAACTGTGTTACCACTCATCTAAATTCATTTATTTTTGTGAGATTTGAAACATTTCTATAGCGGGACATTCGAACTACTCGTATTTAAAAGCAGTACAATTCACTTTTATCAACAAATATGTTATGACTCGTCTAGATTCACTTATTTATTGAGATTTTAACCATTTTTATAGCGGTACATTTGAACTACTCGTATTTTAAACCGGTAAAATTTATTTTTCGATCACTTTCCCGCTGTTTAGGCGCTTTCTTCATCAAAAAACGTCTTTTCGCCCATCTCAGAGCTGTATGTTATGTAAGATCCTAAGTTAAAATCACGATTTTTTTTACTCACCTCCATCCTTTGACACTTCTCGGTATTCCCCACTATCGCCTGCTGTATACTGCTCCTGTTCTTCTCCGCACACCTCGCCAAAGGACTCTCCTCCCTCAGAACCTCCTTGGGCACCCTCATAGCGGGCAGACACCTCAAATTCTTAATATCCCAAACGCATTTAATCCCAGGCTTGGCAGTCAGACAACTACTGGAACTGTTAAAGTACAGGCAATCCCCCGGGGTGTATTTGAGCATGTCGCTGAGCATCTGGCCGTCGAAACCGCCGTAAATGTACAGGGTGTCCTCGAAAGTGACGGCGGAATGGCCGTAACGGGATAGGTCGACGCGGAGGTCGGATTTGACGGGCATGGCGTGCCAGTCGTCGCAGAGGACGTCGTAGGCTAAAAGGTCACTGACGTAGCATTTGGCACCGTAGCTGTGGGAGGTGTCGTTGTGGGGGTTACCCCCAAAAACTAGCATTAGGCCACCGGAGATGAAGGTGGAGGTATGGAGAAACCTATAAGAGCAAAATAACACTAATCTGCTTTGGTATAAGCCATTTTGTGATAAATACACTCACCGATAAGAAAAACCTTAGGGTACCTTAAAATTTTCAAATATTTTAAAGTTATATACGGGGTGTTCCGAACTGTATTCTGGAAGTTTCGGCAGCATATTCTGTAGATAAAAATAAGTAAAAAAGTTCGTATAAATGTGTGTCCTAAAATGCTTAGTTTCGGAGATACACGGTTTTCTCCGAAACTAACTATTTTCGGAATACATTTATACGAACATTTTTAGTTATTTTTATCTGTATATGCTGCCGAAGTTTCCGGAATACAGTTCGGACCACCCTATATATTGTGTTCTAGTGGACCGATTTTGATTATTTTTTAAGCAATTTGTAGCTAAATTATTTGACTTTTAGTACCTCTTTCTAAATTAAAAATGAAAGTTGCCGTCTGTCAATTATACGAGGGAAAACTAAATGTTGATATTTTGATGAAAGTTTGAAATTTGATTTCAAAACATACTGTATGTATATTTGAAGTAAAGTTGTTACCTAGCCATTGGAGCGTCAGCAAGCAATGTCCAAACACGATCATTTGGCTCATACGAGTACAGACTCTTGCTCAGAATCTGGGACGATTCGCTCTCAGAAATAACTCCACCAAAAACGTAGATTTTTTCAGTTAGTGGATCCCAGGAAGCCGTGTGACCATAACCTCCTTTCACGGGATAACCTATAAAAATCGGAAATGTCATGATTGTTACTTGGATTATACTACACAATATGTGCAATTACCTCCAGTGTTGACAATGTGCCACTCTCTAGTACCAAAATAATATTCCTGCACCGTATTTAAGTAACCAAAATGCGGAGAATGACCGAATATAATGACCATTTTATCGGCTTTTTTATTGGTGTTGTTGTTGACAACAGTGGCGGTATGTCCTGCTGATTTTAACGGTCCACACATCAGGTAACTAACGTTACAGGATTCTGCTTTGACAGTGACATTCTCCCACGTTTTGGCGCTGATGTCGAAAGCCCAAAGTTCTGATGTAGGACCCCTGTCAAAAAATATGCGCTCCAAGATACTATCTTTAGCTCCAAGATATATCATACCAAGTATGATCCAAAAGTTCTATGACCAAGCTGGACATGGATAAAAATTATTCAGCTGGCATTGTCTGTAGCTAACTTGTTCATATAACTTTTTGATCACACTGTATATTATAAGTAATGTAATGTACAGGTTGGTTCGAGCAGTTAAAAATAAGTAAAAAAAATCGTATAAATTCAAGTCTTCAGTATTTATACAATCTTTTTAATTATTTTTATCTGCAGGATATGTTGCTGAAGTTTGTCGATTACAATTCAGTCCACCCTGTATACAGGGTGTTTCAAATTCAAAAGAAAAAAAATCGAGAAAAGCAGAATCGGACCTATGTTGATATGAAAAATGAATCTTATTTTTACAAGAGGAATCTTCCCAGGAGAGACGGCACATGTTTTTTAAACACCCTATACATATAGGGTGAGCAAAAATCACATTATACACAAAAATAACATTATTTACGTACCTATTTCCTACTACGCCTCCGTAAATAAAGATCTTATCTCCGTAAATCACCGTAGAATGGCCGTATCTCATCACGGGACCCTCGTTGATGTGCGGGGTTTCCCACACGTTCCCATTAAAATCGTAGATGTATAAAACAGGGATCCTATCGTATCTGTGTTCTCTATATCTCTCATATCGCTCACCGGCAATGACGTACATGGAATCCTTCCATACCACAGCTCCGTGAGACGCTGATCCAGGTGGAACGAAACTCTGGACCTGGACAGTTTCCCAGTAGCCTCGGCTAGCCAGCTATAATGAAATGACATATTACCCACCACAAAAACGCTTTCCGTACGAGCATTAGTTTTCGGAGAACAAAAAAAAATTCAATAATTTTTTGTTCTAATTATTACAGCTTCTTTTTTCGCCATATTAGGAAATATTTTCAATCGTTTCAATGAACAATTCTAACCTTTAATATTTAGTCAGAGCTTACCCGTTTGATGAATTATCAGTATTTTTATCCAGCATATACGCATACACATATATACTCTAAATATCTATTAAACTAAACATCACAAATCTATCACTCTTGTAAAATATTATTTAAAATTCTTATTCTTATTTAAAATATTATTATCTCACCTGGCTGCAGTCGTCTCCCTTGTATTCTCCGATGCAATGACAGCCATTTTCTGGCTCGCAAACGCCTCTATTTTCGCTGGCACCGCAATCGTCAGGGCATTTTCTTAAGTGACAGGCTGCTCCATCCCATTTTCCGTCGCAAGTACAGATACCATCAATGCAAATACCATTTCCCGAACAATCTATTCCTGATATCTATAAAAACGCAAAAAAAATACTAACCAGTGTATAAGACTTCGACAGATGATGACAGAAAAAAAGGCAGATAACGTATATACCAATGCATTTATTTCACTAAAACATTCTCTAACATTTTTTAAGTTAACTATAGTTTTAAGTTAACATAAATCCGTCATGAGTCGTCTCTTGTTTTTAACCAGTTTTGTTTCAAAAATAACAGATCATATTTCAATAAGATTGGAGTGACGGAACGATGAACGACACACGGACGCAGATGAGTATGAACTCGATTTAAGATTTTTCAAACTTGTCAAACTCTTGTCAAATTAAAGGTTATTATTTGTGCCAAATTATGTGAAATAACCAGCGTTTTGGAAAATGATAAATATTTGTAATATTGCTTTTGAATTTTAGTTTGTTATTACACGTCTTTTTTAAAATTAAGTGTAGACCCAGAGAGTTTTATTAGCTACAAATGAAGTTTGTATACCATCTTGTATATGGTACTAAAAACTGGTGTAGCTGCAAAATAAAGACATCACATGATAGATAAATAATAATACCTTTTAGTAATGTAGAGAGATAATTTAAAAAGATACCGGTTTAAAAAAACTGGGATTAAACTTAATTAATCAACTATTAAAGTATAAAATACAGTGATTGTAAAGATTAAAATTATCAACAATGAAATATTTTGTTCTATTTTTTCCTGTGCAATATTATTTTTTTATTTGTACATAAGTTATATTAATAAATATAATAATAAATGCAGGAAGGTTTCTTGAAGTTTGAAAGTAATAAATAGACTTTTTTTTATAGATTTTTTGCATGTGATGTTTTGTTTAACACACACACTAATATACAGGTTGTTAATTTGTTTATTAGTCGCGGCAAGAGCTTTATGATTGAAATATGACATGCATTCTCAATAGGCAGTGTTGCCATTCGGTTCCCCTATAAGTAACTGTCCAGTTAACAATCTGTATATATTTTTAAACAAAATAACTCGATTAGAGTTTTTCGAGAATTTTAGAGATTTTCAGTTTTATATAGTTTTTTTTCATAACATTTAGAAGTAATCATTTGTCACTAAAATTTGAAATATAATAATTTCCCGCCTTGCATTCCAGTTGTACCAACTTACCTTCATTGTAAAATGAAATAAACTACTTTGAAATTAAAATGACAGACACATCTATCACTGTCAAGGATTTTATCATTAGACAGAACTACTTGACTATAATATATATACTAACCACCGATGGACAAGCTAAAAATAAATGTACTAACCATAGATGGACAAGCATTCAGTCTGTAGGTAATGTTAAATCCAGACATATTATAAGCATCATCACTGAAAAAATGCACCAAAGCTGACCCAGACGTCGCAGTCACTTCAGGAATTTTTCTAACACTAAAAAAACATTATTTAAATAAACACTGAACACCCAGTGTTTCTAAGCTTCCTTTACCTATAACCGTCCTTGTACATCAAGCCACTATAAACAGCTAACAATGGCGAGTTGACAGAATCACCATCAAAGACATACAAGTGATCCCACCCGCATTCTGTGGCGAATTCTTCTATGTGCAACGTTATCGTTTGGTTCGGAGCGTCGATCAGCCAGCTACATTTCGAGGTTAGGGAATAGTTACCAGGTCCATCGTGAATGGTACCCCTGGAAGTACCCAGTCTGCGAAAAAAATATTTTTAATTTTGCCTTTTATTGGTTGGTAAAAAAATCATTTACCGTATTAATTAATTAATTATTAATTTATTTAATTAATTATTAAATTATTTAATTAATTAATAATTTAATTAATTATTAATTTAATTAATTATAAGATTAATTACATTATTAATAATTAATTTTTATAAACCAATAATTTAATTAATTATTAAATTAATTAATTAATTACTTATTAAATTGCTTAATTATCTTATTATTAAACTAATTAATTCATTATTTGAATTTGAAATACCCTGTACAGAATTATTTATTAAAAAAAAATATAAATACAGCAAATTAACACTGTATTAATAGTAATCAAAATTAAATTAATCATAATAATTAAGTACTTATAATCCCAATATTAATTAACGACAATAAGACGCAATTTCACGTTATTAATTGGTTGTGGATACAGGCACATTATAAACAGTTTAATAATTTTAATTGCTAATGCTTAAATAAATATTTTGACGACATAAATTCTTATAATAAAACAGCTGTCATTAGAAAAGGCGACATGATAAAAATATCTGATTAATTTATTGTTTTTACTTGTGACAATGAGAATTATATACATCCACTTAGTCATATAATTACTAATCGATCTTTACAAATAAATACAGAGGATGTCCCAATATTCCGTGGACATAGAACTACTACGTATTTTTGGAATCAAAATCAGTTCATTGGACACAATTTATTACAAAAGTGCTTCGTTTGTCCGCTAGAGGGCATCAAACTTTAAAAAAATAAACACATTTTTTCAAATATGTTAAGAGCTGTTATTTCAATTTGAATGAGATTTTGAGTGTCTATGTTTTTTTAGCATTGACTGCTACATAATACACATTCTTCATAATTATGAAGATGGCATAATAAATTATAGTTCATTATGTCCTTACAGTGGTTGAGTAAATCCGCATTTAGCTATCATGAGCTCCCTTACTAATAAAAATTTAAATAATTTAGAAAAGAATGGCTTGAAAGATCCATTATTATTTAATGCTAGTTTACATAGGCATCATTATATAAAGGAACAAAAAAAACTGTTACACAATGAGAAAGGATGTTGTGATGACCTCGATAACAATGTACCTTACTTTTGGAAAGTGTCTAGCTTTGTTATCAGCGAATGCAGTTTAATATTTGAACAAAATACTGTAAAGATAATATTTTATTTCTCAAAAATGAAGCAACATCGATAAACAATCATGAAATATGTACAGGGTGTCCCATTTTCGTGTGTTTTACAGTGTTTCCTGTTTATAAGCAGAGATACAAAGATGCGGTTTTCACATTACTATATTACTTTTTAAGAAACTAAAGATGCTATATACAAATTTGTTCTAGCCCTCTTAGTTTCTGAAATACAGGGCAATTTGAAAATATTGCATTTTTTGACCACCTTTGTATCTCAGTTATAACTTATCAGAAAACTGAGAGTTTTTCATTTTTAAGTGGTGACACATTATTTTTTTATTTTATCTATTTTATTATGAGCTTTCTTAAAATATACAATGCTCTATACTTATTTTAAATATAAATGAGGTAAAAAAATGCATTATATATTTAACTTTTTAACATAAATATATCAACCTAGTTTAAAATAGTATTATTATTTCATTTAATTTAATATAACCAGACAATAATTTTGCTTTCCATCGTGCTTCAGCATCTAGTACCAGTCTTATTATACATTATAATGATGTATTATATTGGAAATTATACTTTCGTAATGGTAATATTCATTTAAACTAAATAAATATATACATTTGAGTGAAATAAAAGTATTTACCTGACTTTTCCACCACAGAACTGACAGTGTGGCCCCTGCCAACCGTCGTAACATATACAAGTCTCATTCCTACACACACCGTTCCCTCCACACTGGACATCTTCAACACAACTACCCGATACAAAGTCTACAGAAAACGCTACAAACAAGAACACCCCGAACAACAAATAACCCGGATATTTTCGCCTGTATTTCGATTTAAACAGGAATAGAAACATTTGTAAAGGTTCCAGCATAGTTATTAAGCTTTCATTTCTTCAAACCCTCTGTATATTTACAGTTGTTTTATAGCACACGTCAAAAGTTTTTCGTTTTTCTGTTGATTCCTTTCGCGCAAACTGTTTGTAGGTATTATTTGCTACGTTATGGGTGAACTAAAAATTGCTAAACATGATTCGAATAAAGGGTTTCATTTAAAAACTATTTTAAATTGTATTATTTTTTAGCCAGAGACATATTTCTAAAATTTCTGACAGGAATGTCACTCATACGTCACTCAAAGATATGTAGATAACTTCAGACTGCAAGATGTCCAATAAGAAAAAATAAAATCAACAGTGATTTTAAAAGAAAATATTTTAGGACGCTTAAAACAATTCATTTAAAAATAAACTACTACTTATGTTACAATTAATTGAGAACAAAACATATTAAAATAGTTTATTAATTACATTTATTTCTATTAATTAAAGTAAAAAACGTGTGGTATGGTAGCCCTGCTTACAGCTGATTTAAACGTCAAAATAGTATATTTAGGTTAAGCGAATACAAAATAAAAACAATTTAAATTATGGAAGAATAGGAATAATAAAATATGTTTTTAATAAAAGAATAACAAATTAAGAATGGAGGTCAGTCCGCTGTGTGTTATATTAGTCAAATCTGACAGTAAAGGCGACAGACTACTGTTTCGGTATCCATTTCAAAACTGTGAAAACAAAGAAATTTTGAACAAATCTAGAAGAAATCCGTATACTTTACCGATAGTTGAAGATCTTTTACAAAGCCCTACAGTGTCTAGTTCGAACATTAGTAAAGGGGTACTGGTAGGATTCAGTGACGAAGTACTATCTTCATTGTTTGCAGTTAAACCAGATTTATCAAACAGAAAATTTGAACTTAAGGTACTTCAGTGATTTGAAATTGTATTTTTTCGAATGTATTTAATTAAGGGTTATTACAGGTGAATGATGTAAGATTTGTAAGCCATCCAACCTCTCTGCAACTGAGAAATAAGCAGTCACATAAAGATGAGTCAGGTTTGATGTTGATTAATATTGTTTTTTCTTTGTCTGCCCTAGCCAGTCATTCTGTTGGTAAGATATTGAGTTAAGTATGATTTTTATATTAAATAACTATAATTTAAGTAAAATGTTACCATGATTTGAGTGAGCGTATCGGGATTATACTGAGACATGAAGAAAAAAGAAGAGGGTATGTCTCAGAACAGACACAAACAATGATGGCTGCTCATGATGACGGTTACACAAATAATAATGGGTCTGCCTTTAGAGTTATTTTAGAAAAATGTACCTTGGCTAACAATATTAAGAAATTGTACGAAGATCTCTGTAGTTCAGGTTGATTTTTTTTAATTAATTTTTTTGAATATAATTTTTATAATGACTATAGAATACTAGGACTAATAACACTAGAAATCAATTAGAGAATGATTTTTTTTAGGGTTGGTAAGTATAAGACTGAATAGATGGATACCTTTTAGCTTTTGTTTGCCACAAAAAGCACACCAGTGGCATTTGAGAGGGAAAATTGTTGAACCTGAAGATATTGACAGGTATTTTAGTTATTATATCTTTAAAAAAGAAGTATAATAATACTGTTTTATTCAAGATGTTTACTGGCATTGAGGCCGTATCATAGTCTGTTACTACTTTACCCTGTTGAGCACTTGGTGGATTTCACAGCCTTGGATGGTTCACCCTCATTGGTCCGCATGTTATCACAGTATTCACCAATGAAAAACCTCCAAACTTTAGCAGCTGATTCTGATTTGACATTGTCTCATGTAAGAACTGTTTTTTTCTATTAACTATGTTTTTTATAATGTTTTTTAAGGTGTTTCAACTGACTGCTCACTTAGTTTACTGGGCTAAGGCTACAGTTATTTTTCCTGTATGTTCAAAAAATAAATATGTGATAGCTCCTAACGCGTCCATCCATCTCAATTCTCCATTGATGGAAAAATACAGTATGTCTTTCAAGGGAGGTAATCTTATGAGGTACATATAAAAAATAATTACAATCACACAGTAGTCTGTTGACAGTTCCATGATTTTTTTCAGAGCTCTTAACGAATTTTCGCTTCCAACATCTTTAGGACAAAAAACTAACCCACTGTGTTACCCTTCCCAGCAATCAGCCCTAGTCAAGTCAATTATATGGATGCTCCAGCATCATTTACTAGTACAATTACACACCTATATACAATACATGCCCACAGGAAACGGATTATCTACTTCCAGAAGGTACAAAGTAGTTTATATGCATCAAATAAAAAAATTGTCTATTACATAAAATATTTTAGTTTTAAAAAGTACCTAAAAACTCCGTCTCCACGTACAAGTTCGGTGCTATCCACGTCATTTCCAGAGCCATCCAGAACGGAGTCTGAGAGTGGAGCGTCTACAGTTTCGGAAGCGCCGGATTTCATGAGGAATTTCAAGTGAGTAGTTCAAATGTACCGAAATATAAATAGTAGTTAAAAAGTCCCGAAAGTGGTATAGTGTAGTTCAAATGTACCGATCTATAATTTCATACTTCTTTGAGTAGTTCAAATATGCTGAACAAATAGGTAGTAGTTCAAACGTCTCGAAATCGTTATGGAGTAGCTCAAAAGTAACTAAGCATAATTTAGGATTATAAAGCGAGTAGTTCAAATGTACCAAAACAGTTACATGGTAGTTTAAATGTCCCACCATTGATTTTATTTTCTAGATCATAAACAACACAAAACACAGTTATTTGATTTTTTTGGACTTAAAAGCACTATTTTACTGAAGTAGTTAAAATACACCTACCATATTTTATAGATTTCTTTTATTAATTTTTCAGTTTGGAAAACGTAAGTTTTACGTCCACGGAAGACGACAAGCAAGAATATCAGGAAGAGCTGCTTCTGGACTTCCCCGACGACGAGCGAAGTCAAATATTCAAAATTCCCGCCACCAACACGCCGGAAGACCTCAAACTGTTTGCCAGATTGTGCAGGAAGGGGTATTTTCAGGGAAGTCATCACGTTGAAGAGATTATGTACCTGGAAAATTTGAGGAGGAGTCAGCTATTGCAACTTCTGGATAAATTCAGGGATGTTCTTGTTACCTATGAGACAGAAGATCCAGCGATAGCAATGTTTTCATCTTCGTGTTCTTAGAAAATGAAAAAATAATGTGATTTTGGTTGTTTAAAGAGGTTAATATGAACAAAAAAATATAAATTGTGTATAAAAAGCTAGTCTAATATTATATTCCTTTTAAACTATTTTAATACTTTAATTTTGTAATAATTATATGAAGTCTATAATAATTTTTAGAGGTATATTTTAGCAGTTTAAAGAAATTGTTAGTGGACTAAAAGATGCTGTTATGTTTGTACTTTTTTATTGAAATAAATATATGTACTGTATATTTTTTCGTGCGTGTTTTATATTCCTACTTACCTACCCTATATACAGGGCGTGACAATAAGCTTGCAACAAATTGGATTTTTATAAAGTCCCTGTATATTTATGAAACTTAGTACGTCGACGTAAAATCTATAAGGAATTTCAAGTGAGTAGTTCAATTGTACCGATATAATAAATAGTAGTTTAAACGTCCCAAAAGTAATATCGAGTAGTTCAAATGTATCGACCTATAATTTTGGATACTGAAAATAATTATTCTCTTGAATTGTTAAAATGTCCTTTCCAATGGTCTTTATAAAATTTCATTCTAAAAAAAATAAAAATTATTAATAATTTAATATCATCTTAAGATACAGGGTGTATAAAAGATATTTAAAGACAGTTTTTAGAAATAAATATCAAAATGTGTATTTTCAAATACAGGGGTTCAAATTTAAGTTAATATTAGTACAAATTTAGGAGATTCCCTTCTATATGTACCAGAGGATTCAAAAGTATCCCAGAAATATCTTAAAATAAAAAAAAATACCTTTTATGAACGTAGACTTCCAAAATGAGGACGATTATTGAAGCTATCATTCCACCTGCTAGAATCACAGCTGCTGAATAACAATCAATGATACCAACACTAATAAAAGTTGATGTTTTCGATGTACACACTGGTTTCCTAGTGTAGATAAGTATGTTTTCTCGTTCTTGCATACCGTTTTCTTGCAAAAGCCTCAAGCTAGAAGCATACAGAGTTTTTTGAATAAGTCCAATTATTTTAACTTGACTGTATAATAATGTACTAAAGTCTTTAAAATAATGGAAATAATATTTGCAATATAACTTAATGAAAAACTACATCAAAAAAGTAATAAAGAAATATAATAACTTTAAAATACCCAATTTTCAGCATTTCTTTGTAAGAAGAGTTTTTCTGAATGGCAAACCAAGGATCCACGACTTGAATATAGGCTATTTCCTGCAGTCCACATTTTTCATCTTCTCTGAATATCTCACCTGTAAAAAAATAAAAATATATTGTGTCTTTTGAAGAGATGTATTGAAAAAAACAACCAAACATATTTATTTTAAAAATTATATGGTTCTTACTGACTAGCTTGTATCCAGATCCAGTCTCCATGTGGAAAGCAAATAGTCCTTCTCTCATTTTTCTTACACCAACTTCCAGAGGCATATAATTTGCTGGTTTACCAGGAGGGGCTACTTTTTTTTCATATATTGCCTTCCTTATTGGTTCCTCTGCGGTCTACAATCATTTAATAACTTTGTAAGTTTTTAAAACTAAGTTCTCAGTGCTCATTAATCTCAGAAATTGATACTTTATGTCTTTAGGCTCAGACGTTTCCATACAGTTTTTTTTAACTCCTATTGTTCCTTTTTAAGGGATGAAAGTGTCTGGTGATATATAAAGTCATGCTTTTATATTTCATGATCCTAGACTCAGGATTTTACCTCTCAAAGAGATAATTTTCCAAAAAATTCTTGCATGGTTCTTATAAAGTTACTCGAAAAACCTTTGTTTAAAATTTCATACTTTAAAACCTGATAGTAAGGAATTTTTTATAAACTTTTATTTCCCACTTTACTCTTTAAAATGATGAATTTAACGCTTTTCATAATTTTAGAAAATATGATATACTTTTATTTCCTAATTAACTCCTTAAGGCTACAAATTTAATATCATTTAAATCTATTTTTCATAATTGTAGAAAACATGATATACACTGTCTTATAGAAGTAAAAGTTTCTTTTAAAAGTAAGTACTAGCTTTACCATCTTTACACGAACCAGAGCTAAGTACTTGTCTTTAAAAACATATTTATTTCGTGAACACAGTCGTATACAAATAATAAAATAACTAAAGATAATATGGTTATATACCAGCAATCTACACACAGAGATTTTTCAATTTCTGAAAATTGTCAATTAGTCTAAAAACCATATTTTGTTTAATATATTCGTCACTATCTAAATATATTAATCCTTTAAAATTTAAAAGCACAATTTCTTAGATTTGCCACTTTACCTACAGGAATTTTAGTTTATAAATACATACAGAAAAGTAGAAATGATTGTAGACAGTATCGTCCACTCCAATCGTGATTCTAGAGTTCAGCAAATCCTCTAGAGTCTTTATACTATTTGAAGATGTTTGCAGCAATGCTACTATGTTAGCTGAGTAAGATACGTACATGAACATCAGTGCTATTAAGAGCACTATCGTAGCTATTCTACCAGGTGTACTGAAATAGTAAATAAATATTTCATACATCTTTATTGCAAATCGTTGATATTTTTGAATGTATAATCATAGCAGTGTTTAATGATCTAACCTAGAGGGCATAGCTGCAGCTCCTTGTTGAGACAAAGCTGCCAAAGTTAACAACACTATTTCCATGAATGAATCACTCAATTCAATACTGTTAGAAGTGTTCTGAAAAATTGTATAATATTATTTAAATATAAAAACATAAAAAAAACACATGCGGACCCAGAAACTTTTAATTCTTTCAATCATAATGTTATGAAATTATTTTAAAATTATGTTTTGGAGTTTTGTTTTAATACTGGATCACCCTGTATAATACTGAGTAAAAAACGACGTTGATTTACTTGGACGGTGGTTATAGTTTTCTTCTTCCATTCCCACTTCATCAAAACAAAAAGGGAGACTATCATAATTATGATCAGTACTGCTGTCGAGATCCAAACTTTTGTGTCAAAAGGTAGTACGAAAACGTTGGTAATATATGACAGTTTGGGCTGTCTAAACACGAACTTTGATCTTGTTGGAGTGATCATAGCTATATAATCAATCAGATCAACTCTTTCTCTTGTTAGAAATAATGAAGTACCTAGAATAAGAGTACTGGGTTTTTAGAGATATTTATTATGATATCTAGTTGCACGTAGTGAAAAAGAAACGACAATCGGAAAGTTAAGAAAACATTTTAAATTCACTTTTTAAACACCCTGTATATTTTAAGTTTTTTTTTGAAACATTTTTTATTTTCAAATGGTCAATTATTAAACTTTCTAAACTCAATTCACTCTGTATATATTTTTTTTAACTTCCTTAAAAAAATTCTTATTTTAAAAAATAATGGTATACAGGGTGTTTCAAAAAACATGTGCCATCTCTTGTAAAAATAAGATTTATTTTTCATATCAAGATAGGTCCGATTTTGTTTTGTTTTGTAGCTACAGGGTGTTAAAGTGTTAATAATCTTTCGATTTATTACAATTTTCTCCCAAAGTACTTTTAACGATTCGAATGAAATTTTGAGGGTAAAAGTTACCCTAACTGCTACATATTTTAATAGTAAAAAAGTGTCGATAAATTCATCAGGGACGTGCATATGGGTTATCACTGGAATATTTTTCAAAAAAAATAATATGCGCCACTGTCTTTTTTTCTTTTGATATCAAAATTGGGTAGGCCCCAAAAATATTCCAGTGATAACCCATATGCACGTCCCTGGTGAATATGCCGACACTTTTTTAGCTCTGAAATATGTCGCATTTATAGTAATTTCTATTTGGAAAAAACTTATAATAAATCGAAAAAATATTAAGACTCTAACACCCTGTAGCTACGAAACAAAGCAGAATCGGACTGTTCTTGATATGAAAAATCAATCTTATTTTTCCGAGAGGAATCTCCCCACGAGAGATGGCACATGTTTTTTGAAACACCCTGTATACTTACCACCAATATCAGCTTCCTTACGAGTTAACATGCCCATCATGCCTGACCATTCGGACTTGTTATTTTTGTAGCCCCATGTATCTTTGTAAGTAATATTTAAAGAAATATTATAAATGGATGCCAAATCAATCACTAGAACGTAGCATACTTTTGAAATACTGTCTATATGTTTATCTCTGTAACAAAAATATTAACTTTTACTAGGGATGTGCTTCAAATAATATCGATACTTCTAATCGATTATTGGATTTACTTATTGGATTATTTTTTTTATTTATACTAAACCTTTTATCAGTGAGATGATTCAGAGAATCCTGGTGAGTGATAACCACAGAAGTATCCAGTTGAATATTCAATTTTTTCCGTCTTCTAGCTGTTATAATTTCAAAATTTTCATTTTTTCGAAACTTAAGTCCTTTTTCCCAACTACCATAATCTTCTACTAAAAATTCAGAGCTCTTGATGTGTTTTTTGTATATTTTACGTATAATTATCCTGTCATCTTGCATTGTTTCGGCTAAATTCAAGTCACTATCGACCAAAATTGACAGATTTCTCATATTATCGATTATATTTTTTAAAATTGCGTTATCAGAAAGCAATAGCCAACGAAATGGGGATGAAAACAAATGAAATTCATCCACCTGAAAAATATGGTGAAAATAGGGATGTGTAAACATATCGATATTTTAAAATATCGATATTTAAAAAAGTATCGTTATTTTTTTACGTACGATTTGTAGTAATTTCGGAGAACCCTGTAGACACGAAGTTGGTAAAACGAAATACATGCCGTAGGGTGGTATAGGATATTCTAGGTTTTTAATATTTGCAGGTAGCATTCTGTTTGGGAATCCATTTTTTGTTAAATCTTTTGACGTTTTCAAAATATCTAAAATACCATAAAACAATCATAAAATTTATGTATAATTTTGTATATACCCATGCACAGTTCTTTTTGTTTTGTCAAGTAACAAAATATTCTGTGAAAATATATTGAAAAAAGTAATTGCTCAAAATTATTACTAAATATTTTTTTTAAACTGAATCTCCTGTATTTTAAGCTGTTTGTCTTTAAGTAATAGAGAAAAGTAATAGGATCCAAATAATGTACTTTTTTCTTAATACAAATTAAATGTATTAGAGTACCTACTTCTAAAAAAATATTGTAAATAAATAATATTACTATTAACCACAAAGCCAAAAAAAAATATTATTTTATTGTTATTACCTGTTTTATTACAATAAAATAAAGTGATTCTCAAGTGGTCACTGTGAAACTGCAGAAAATCAATTAGAAATTCTGATCTGTATGAGTCAATAATTTGAAATTTAAATAAAAATACTAAAAAATATCCATACAACTTCATGGTTTCAAAACAACCCCAAAACAGAGTCAGTAAACAATTTAAACAACGTTGTATTAATTTCTCTAAAGAATATAGAACAATAGCAAGTCAAAATCGTGTTTTTCTGGTTATAATCCTGTAATTTTCGGACATTATCTTTGCCAAACAAATCAAACGTAATTTTCAAATTTTCTTCTTAAATCAATACTATAAATATGCAAATTTGTTTGTTTTGTGCTCTTCTAATATTAAGATTACCGATGATTTCAGTATCGGGCAGAAATACGGATAAAATAGATTATAATTTAATTTTTGAGAATAGTTTATGTTAAAATAACACTAATTTTAAAGTGTATTTATTATTATTAACTTTCACAGACCTGTACAAAATATAGACTAACCATAGACCGCATGATCGAAAAAAAAAGGCGTTAAAGACGGCTGGGGAATGACAATAGATGGTAATTTTGGCGTGGTCAAACCCTAGATATATTTTATTTGCCCGTATACTTCTTTATTTTTTAATCGTGCTTATACGTGTAATAATAAGTTAAATTTGTATTTATTATTTTGTTAGAAGACGTCAGCAATGCTTATGGAATTAAAAAACAAAACAAATAAAAGATTCTACAAATTATATTAAGTTAAAAAAAACAATACCTATAATAACTATTACATCAATTACATTAAATATTTCTTTTATTAAACTAAAAACTATCTAGTGATTTAAATTCTAAATGCATTCATTTTTTAAATAGCAAAATCAAAGTGCTGTTGCTGTTCATTTGGACCATCTTCTAATTCATCTTCTTCTCTATAACTCTCTCTGCCTTCTTCGTCATCGATAAAATTCAGTATTTCTTCTCTTTTCATTTTGAAATACTTCTGCCAAGCCAGTTCAATGAGAAATAGGAATAAGCTCAAACCTATACCAACACCCATAACTGAAGAAAAATAATCTCAAAATACATTAAATAAATTAATATTATTAAAACTAAAAACTAAAGCATTCTATAATAGTTAATAATAATACATACACTCCCATACAATCTAATTAATTAATTAATAATTTTTTATCACAAAATATAAGCTTACATACACAAAAAAGCTCCATAACTGTCAGCCAATCCGACACTTTCAAAATTCCCGCCCTCGCTATCACATTTCGGTTTGCCGGTGAAGATTCTGTGGTGTTCGCGACTGCGCAAGCCCACTTCGTGGATTTTCTGCATTCTGTCAACAACATATTAGAACTTTTTCTACCGGACTATATTATACACTTACCCACTGCGATACAGATCAATCAAACTTGTATTTTTCCTGGCAACCAACCAGTAATCTACATAGCTATTCTTGAAAGGAATTTCCCTCAATCCACATTTTTCATTTTCCAGAAAAGAGTCGCTAATGTACTTGTAAACGCTAGTAGTGTCAGCGTAGAACCCAAAAAATTCCTCCTTGATTTTTTTAACACCCTCTTCAATGCCATAAAACACGGGCTTGTAGATTTTGTTGTAGAAATCTTTGGTTTTCTTGTCAAAATTGATGTCCTAAAAATGTTAAACATATTATATATACTTTTGGAAACATAGGTTCGTATCCTACCGACTGCGCCGTGTCTTAAAGTTGTTTATTTTGACTTTATTTATTATTGTTTATAAAAACAAAGATTAAACTTCAATATTATACCTCGAAATACTTCATAGATACGTTCTGTTCAAAACCGACGGGAATTCTTGAATCTAGAAGATGTTCCAAGGTGTTCAGTCTTTCTGTCGTTGATTGTAGCAAAGCCACAATGTTGGCAGAAAAAGAAGTGTACAAGAACATCAAAGAAATCAACGTGAAGATAAAAACAATTCTACCAGCGTTGCTTCTAGGCTCAGATTCGAACCCTTGCTGAGCTGCTGAGCCGACCTCCATCAGAAATATGTCAACCGGATCAGGTCTGAAAAACATTAAAGATATACACTGCCTAACAGTAAATTCGGGACATAGTGTATTAAAATTCAAAATCTGTTTTGAATCTGTTTGAAGAAGAGTATTACCCAATTCATACATTAAAAAAGGTAGATTGGTGGGTTGGAGTTACCTCAAAGCAAATCTGGGTATTAAATACTTCCTGAAAACTGGGTCCTTCCATTCCCAATACACTACCAAGTAAGCTACAAGGAAAATAGCTACCATGAGACCAAAACAACTGTACCAGACGTATGTATCAAATGGTAGTGTGAAAACGTTGCTTATATATGAATGCGGAGTTGCTCTAAATATGAATTTTTTCTCCATTTTTCTCGTGTGAGCCACAAAATCAAATTCATCCACTGTGTTTGATAAAAATTCAATAGGATTGCCTAGAAAAAAAAACAATATTTTACTAAAGGCACGTTTTAGGAGTTAAGTCATTCTGGAAATGACGATCGATGACATTCCCCATATAATTTTACATATAAAATGACAGCGACCTTCATTTCGTAGTCATCGCTGACGCCGATTTTTTTTTTCGATCACATTGCATCATATACAGTGTGTGACTGCATAAAACTGGCAATTCTTCAATCTTTCAGAAAATATACTCTGTCAAAATTACCTCCAATTTCACATATTCCACTCTTGAGATCTTCTACCATACCGATCACGTGTTTACCATCGATATCTTTACTATACAGGGTGTCCCTAAACAATTCAACTTTAGAAGCGTTCAGGAGATAGTACAGGTGTTGTAGAACAGCGTAGTTATATTTTGTTACAGAATCTATTAGAATTTTATACCTAAAAATAAGTTATTTGTTAGAATTTTTTGGATAACTGATTTTTGTCACTCTGCATGCGTGTTTCCCTTATTTTTTGACTCTACCTCAGAGATATAAAGGTAGAGGGAGAATTAGCATGAACGTGCGCAGATATTTTAATCTTAGATTATACAGGGTTAGTCTTAAATCAGTGCAAATATTTTTACGGTTGGTATATTTTGACCCCAGAAATACGTCTATGAGAAAATTTTTTGGGTTTCTTTAAATTTTTAGTTAAAAAACATAATATCTTGATATTATGGCAACATCGGTAGTAGAATAAATTTACAAAAAAAGAAAACCCAGAAAAAAACTAAAGTCAAATAACGTGGTTATTTTGAAAAACGGCAAAAAATATGTTTTTTTTTATCGAGATCTATCAACCCTAAAAATATTTGCACTTATTTAAGACTCATCCTGTATATCTTTGCTTTTACCTATAGTCATCCAAATGAGTCAAAGTTTCCTGATCTTCAACAACGTAAGATACAGTTATATCAGTGTCTATAAATTTTCTATCTTTATTCTGATCAAATTTTCCAATTATTTCTACATATCCATTGTCCAATGTCCAATATCCAACAAAAGATTGGTTTAGATATTGGATTTTACTTGATGGACTGTACACTTTTTTGATTGAAAACCCATAATAGTTTTGATCCAAAAAGTACACATTGCTGGTTATTGGAAAATAAATGTTTTGCAAAAAGTCGTCCAAGTCCGAGCCAGTTTTTAGAATCATCCAGTATTGTGATGGTGTAAACAAATTTAATTCTTCTATCTAAAAAGTATTTTGTGAAATTACTGAATTAAAAGTGGTCTTGGACCAAGACCAAGAAGATTTCAAGACGTTCTGATTTAGAATCAAATTTTTAAGTAACTATATCAAACCTTTTGCAATATTAGTTGAGTTTTAGTACAAGACGCATCCAAAAAAATATTATCTGAATAAATCAACTTATCCAAACTTTTTTCAGAAACACTGGAGTGCAAGATCTCATCCTGAAGAGTTTTCTTGAACGAAATCTCAGTTTCTGAAATTTATTTTTCTATATTTTTCTCATATTTCCACCTGGTATATAGTTACGTACCTTTACCCCAGCAAGTGTAAGTGGCAAGCTTATCAGATCGAACATGTTGCTTTAAAAAGTCTTTTAGAAATAAAGATATTTCGGTATTTTTCGAAATATTTGCATATAGATTTTCAGTAAAAATAAAGAAAATTCCTATAGTAAATACTTGAAGTCTTTTTCCAAGCATTATTGAGGTTTCTCTGGTGGAAAATCGGACCAAGAAAGGAAAATACTGAATTTTTAACAAAGAAAATCGGGTCTGGGGCCTAATAGAAGCCTTAGTGCACCAATAATTATAGATTAAACTGGTTGTTACTGTGTAATTTTGTAAAGAGGGGCATTTTCTTAATTATACGATACTCCGGAGTTATTTTATAGGATTATAATGGATTTTGTAAGAGTTCTGTGGTTTTGTAATAAAATTAAGGGTTAGATTTTAAGAAACAAGCTTTGTAAATTTCAGGAAAATATGTTTAATTGTATAGGGTGTCTCAAAAAGTGTAAATTGAATTTTTTAAATGTACATCCTGCATATTACTTTTCTTTTGGAAGCAGAATTAATAAAATAATAATTTTTATTTAAAGTGCGTAAGTATTATTACAGTAAATTTTTATCCAAACAACCTAAAATACTTTTTTATCTTGTATTTTACCGTTGAAAGGGCAATATGTAACAAAACCCTGAATATCTGCGAAACCGTTAAAAATATTGAAACAGTCCATATACAAAAAATGTTCATTTTTTAATTCTGCATCTGATAGAAAAATAATATATAGCGTGTTCCATTCGAAAAATCCAAGAAAAAATACTGTTTGTGTTTTAACAATTTCTACATTAAACTTTGCGCACCCTGTAGAATTTAAAACTACGATATCTATAGCAGGGGAAGTACAGACTATCTGTAGTTAGCGTTGTTTTGATATCAGGACCTTTATTTGTATTTTTAATTATTTTTTACTCTTTACCGCGCGTTGGGAATAAAAAAAATATAGGTAATATATTATGTATAAATAGTGCACACAATTTTTTTTATTTAATAATTTATTTCTCTATCAGAAACGAACTAAACAATTCAATAATATACAGGATGTTCCGTTTAAGAACATCATCCTCATTCACATAAACTTTTATGAGACACCCTATACAAATGAACATATTTTTCTGAAATTCACAGGTCTGTATTTAAAAAAGAAATTCCTACATACTTTATTACATGATCTATAGATGCCCGAAGAACTACTTCAGCACCTTGTATATTGGTATAATAAAACATTTAGTTTTTTTGTACAATATTTTATTTATCTATTTAAAATGTTTGAAAATTTATACAATTACTAAATTTTTAAAATGTCAAGTATCCAGCGCAGTCGTTGACATTTTGAGCGCAGAATTTCGGAATAACAGCTGACGTTCTGATTCCTCTTTTATTTAATCTGTCATAATGGATAAAAAATCTTCCATCAGCTGTTTCTGAACTTGTCTGAGGATTAGACCATAGTCTTTCAGCTGCAGCTGCTGCTCTAGGCCACACTCTAGGCTCTACATTGTTGTCATTCACTAATTCACCCCACATACATATCTAAAAATTCAATTTAATCATTCAAAAACAACTGTCATCTAACTATCTATCATCAACTACTATCTAAAATATTTAAACATACTTCACCACCTAAAACAGCATCACCAGAGAGTATTTGGTTATCGTAGACTTGCCTCCAAGTATAGTAAGAAGTACTGCCCCAGAAACCATGGTCTAGGTACCATTTATCCTTGGTAGAGACGATTATTTTGTACCCTAGATCGATGAGTTCCTGGGGAACAGTGTTGGTAGATGGTACCCAAGTCTGAATGACGTATCTGTTAAAATTCAAAGTCAAAGTTTATAAAAAGGCGTCAATTTAGGAAAAATAAGTTCAATATATCTTAAATTCACTGAATGATCACTGAGTTTCAAAAAATCTTACCTATCTTTGGGTAAATTGTTTTCTATAATAGCTGGATCAGTAAGTGAACTGGTCCAGACGATTAAAGAAGTACCGTTATTTCCTTTGGCTGTATCGAAAGCTTGGGTTGCTTTTGACTGAAATTCAGCCCACAAGTTCAAAAACACTTCCTCCGAACGATTTTTAGTTCCGATGTATTGTAATATCTCCTCGCTAGAGTTCCAACAAGGTATATAAACCTAAAAAAAATATATTATAATATATATTCAAATCTTTCTGGGTGTTCTTCAAGAGTATGAATTCGAGAGACAGCCTGTATAGATTGTACCTCGTCACCACCCATGTGAAAAGCATCAATACCCTCCCATAAATCAGTTATATCATTGTAAATATTCCTTAAAACCTCGTATATCCAAGGATTGGCTGGGTTTAATTGTCCTAAAATAAAATATATAATCCTTATCCATCAGCAGCTGAATTTCAGCGAAAAATTATTTAAAATATACAAATTCAACTATAACAGAACTATTACAGTGGTATAATTGTCAAGATACTGGGACACACCAAATATAATCATGAAACTAATATTTCTTTGTTAAAATACAAACCACAGGGAGGTTGTATACAATATGATCTATATGGTTGTTGATTTTGACAAACAACCAAATTCCCTAAGCCCGACTCTGCACTCCATTGCCATCCACTGCCCACATGGGCAGGACCATCAATTTCTGGAATAATTCGTACACCTCTAATTTTGGCAAATTTTATTAAATCTGCTACATCCGTAGGGTTGTAGACCTCCCTGTCACTATACGCTCCATACCTAAAAAAAAGAAAAAAAACACTAAATAACAAAAAAGAAAAAGAAAAAAGATATAGACACCTGGACATATTTGGTTCTCTGGATGACACAAATGGAAAGCTCTGGGAATCACTCAAGTGCCAGTGGAGTACGTTCATTTTCGATGACGCCATAGCAATAATATTTTTCTTAATGATGTCTACAGATAAATAGTTTCGACCAGAATCCAATAACAACCTAACAGAAAACATGAAACATGATAATAAAATTAAAAAAGTATATTTATATAGACACCATCACAATTATTGTATACTAGGTAGTTTACTATACTAATATAGTAGTTAGGTATACTAATATCCATCTTTTCTTTGAAACCCTGTATTTTCTTTAATAATTCAGATATCAAAGCAAATAAAACAAGAAAATGTTCGTAAAGAATCAGGCTACAATCCAAGTCAGTTGTTCACTCTACAGTGTGTCTCAAAAAACACTGAAAATTCTTTACTTCTTTTTCATCCCTGTATGAGATATAAAAACAAATCATTCAAAAATGGGAATAAGTTATTTGTATTCGTAAAGAAACAAGATACAAAGGAGTAAATTTGTGTTAAATTTTTTGACTTGAGTGTAAATTTTGTCTTAATACCTTATACTCACCCTCTATGTTTGTAAAATGGCTTGTCCTTGATCTGAACTGACTTCAACATGACATAACACAAATCATCAGGCACAATCAATTGTAACAAACTTTCCAGACCATGTCTCACACCAAAAACCGTTTCTGCTGTTATGTTTATAGTCACCTGATTGGTTTGATCTAAAAAAAAACTATCAAAAACCCCAAAAAATTCACAAAAGAAATATTAATACCATCAGTGTATGTAACTAATTCGTATGATTCGTCTGTATCCCAGTTTAGAACCAAAGAACTAGACTTTGCTTCTAAGTTTATTTGGACTGTGTATGTTTGTTTGGTACAAAAATCAATGTATGAAGAGGTATTGGTGAAATATGTTATCAAATCTTCTAGGAAGGTATAGGTGGGTTCATCAGAGGCTTTAGTGTTGAACCATGCAGTGCTGTTAATATAAAATTGCGAATTATTAAGTCATGTCATGTAGATTTACACACCTGATGTTCACTGTAACTAGACTTTTATCAATCACACTGTAACTGTAGGGTAGAGGCCAGATGATGCCATCTGATCCACAAACCAGTCTGCAAAGTTCTACAGAAGAGTATAGTGTAGACGTTTGTTCTATAGTAAATGTTCTTTCGCATGCATAGTCAGGTTCTGTACAATTCCAAACCCATCTACGAAAAATACGAATATCCCTCAAAAATTATTTGTTTGAATAATATATCATTATGAATATATGTTGCATTGGCAACAAAGGATTAAAAATAGCTGGAGAATAGCCAATAGTCCTGAAGAATAATATAATTAATTTAATCCGGGTGTTGCATCGTCGGACGGGACATAGGAAATCCCATGTAAATTTTAATGGGGTCAATTATTGGCTTCCCTAATTATTTTAGAGAATAATTCTATTTAGGTTTATTGAAGAGCACTAAAACCCACATTCAAAAGAATAACTTTAGATATTTTTGATTAGCTCGTTTACGAGTTATCGCCGATTTCTTTTTAAATATTTCTCCTTCCTTATGGCCCTGTATTTACTTATGAGCACCAGTCAAGGTAAAAGATAACTGTCAAATGAAGTTGTCATTCAGAAATTTACCTATTTAGTGCTTTATTATTATTGAAAACTCATTCCTACATCGGAAATCTTAAAGATGTATTTATAAATACAAATTAATATGAATTAAAGTAAAATAAAGTAATTAATTACAAGGTTAATTATAGTATGATTACAATATTCAGTAACTTATTAATTTAGGTACTATTAAATTGTTAGAACTTTAGGATTTAAGAAGACGTTCAAATATTCCTCCATCGACTGCTAGACAATAACCCACAGGCGATCATAAAATTCTCTTCTTACATTCGTTAGTTGGTAAACTGAAATTCTATTGCATTCGGTAGAAATAGCATTTTTTAACTCGTCTAGATTTGGGTATTTTTTATCCTTGTATATCCTGTTTTTTAAATGGCTCCAGAGAAAGAAATTATTTGGCGAAATATCAGGAGACCTTGCTGGCCAATTTACTGTATGATTTAGGCCAATAACGTTTCCGTTAAAACTATTGTCTAAATATTCCCGAACAGCCGGGGTACTATGTGCCGGGCAGCCATCCATTTGGTACCAAACTTCCTGATTTTCCCTAGCGGCATCATGTAAAGTAGGTAAAATATGATTTTCGAGTAGTTCCAAATAATATTCTGCATTTAAATTTCGCGTAAGAAATTATGGCCCGATAATATTGTGTCCGAATATCCCTGCCCAAACATTTACTTTCTGTGGATATTGCGTCCTTGTATCGACAAACCTGTGTTGGTTTTCTTTGTTCCAATATCGATAATTTTGAACATTTGGTTCATTATTTAAGGTAAACGTGCATTCGTCAGTGAAACATATATGTTTTTTAAAAATTCCCTATCCGTGTTTGCTCTTTCCATCATATCAAATCAAAACGCCTGCCGCCGTATTTCGTCCCCATCTCGTGGTGCTTTTCATATTTGAAGGAATAGTATTTATGTCGTTTCAAAATTCGAAACGCTGTAGTGTGATCTATTCCTATTTCATCCTCAAGTTTCCTTGTGCTGATCTTTCCATCGTTCTCTTCCACGCACAATAAAACTTCCAAGTCGGTATCATTTCTTGCATCTTCTCTTTGTTCCTGCCTTGCTTCACATCTGCAGTTAGTTATTAGGGTACCTTTGGTCTCAAATCTCTGGATATTCCTTGCGATTGTAGATTTTCCAGGTATCGGTCTATTCGGATACAGAGCAACAAACATGTCCGACACCTTTTGATAACTATTTCCTTGATAATATCATTTAATCATCAATATTTTTTCTTCGGTAGTGTAATTCATGGCTAATATTTTTGATGTAGGTATGAGTTTTTAATAATAATAATAATAATAAAGCACTAAATAAATAAGAAATAAATAAATTTCTGAAACGACAACTTGATTTGACAGTTATCTTTTACCTTGACTGGTGCTCATAAGTAAATACAGGACAATAAGAAAGGAGAATGTTTAAAAAGAAATCGGCGATAACTCGTAAACGGGCTATATAATCAAAAATATCTAAAGTTATTCTTTTGAATGTGGGTTTTAGTGCTCTTCAATAAACCTAAATAGAATTATTCTCTAAAATAATTAGGGAAGCCAATAATTGACCCCATTAAAATTTACATGGGAGTTCCTATGTATTTCCTCGACGATGCTACACCCGGTATAAGAATATATAATTTAATATCTTCATATCGTTATCAAAATGCACAAATATTATGATACTTCTTAATATTGATAAAAAAATATTGAAAATATTACTTTTTATTAATATCAATTATTTGTATAAAATAGTATAAATAAATTCTTTATTAATGTACCGAATGTATTATACTTATTTCGAAATATTGGAAACTGTGAAAAATAAAGTGAAATAACAAGTATTTTAGTGAGTCTCTGCTTTCAGTATAATTATTAATAATTATGATCACTTACTTGGCAGAATTTTCTTTAAAACACACTCCAAAAATAAGTATAAAATATATCCAAACCTGTGAAGTTACTAAAAGAAAAAATATTCTTCAAAATTATTTATTTTTTGTTATTAATTCATAATATCTCAAATACCTTTCATGTTTTAATATATTTTGGCTTGATGTACTGTAAATTCAAGACTAGAAAATTATAAACTACACTATTTATTATTCTATTTTAAGTTCTAGACACTTGTAGCTTTTTCAGAGATAAAACAATAAAAGTCTGAATAAATTTGTTTTATCAATTGAATTGATTACATTAGGAGGGCTAGCTAAAAACAAGGTCAATGCATTTGGCATATAAAGTGGGATCCTGTTGTAAAAAAGCATCACAGAATAAAAAATAATCGTTTTTATTTTGAGCAAAATTAAACAGTATGGTACCTATTCAAATACCATACGATATCACAGAGAGAAAAAAAAAAAATAAAGGTTGTTATTATAGATTTGGATGAAGGCAAATTAATAAAATTACGTTTATCTCATCAAGAAGACCGAATTTTTAATTGGAAGTAAACGGTTTACACAATTTTGCTAACAAAAGAAAAAAGTCAGTGGCGCACATATTTTTTTTAGAAAAATATTCCTCTGATAATCCATACGCACGTTCCTGGTGAATATCGACACTTTTTTATCATTAAAATATGTCGCACTTATAGTAACTTATACCCTCAAAATTTCATTCAAATCGCTAAAAGCACTTGGAAAAAATTTAAGACACTTCTAGCCACCTGTAGATACGAAATAAAACAGAATCGGACCTATGTTGATGTCAAAAATTAAATTGATTTTTGAAACACCCTGTATACAGGTCTTTTAACAAATGCATGGAATTCTTACAATTTTAAAAGTAAGAAATATGTTAGAATATTATTATTTATTTGTCAAAATTATGTATTAAAAAATAAACGCACTGTACAAGACTAGAAAAAATATGTATGTATTATTACAGATAACTTGTTTTTTGAATGGTTCAAAAGTGTAATTAATATAAATATTTCAATTCATTCAACTTTTCTAAACGCCTTTTAATGAATTATTAATTATATTTGTCCTTGGAATTTTACCGGTCTCGACGCAAATCAGTGGCGTATCAGTTTATTTTACTAATTTTAATTTATATTGACGAGTTATAACTCGTCAATAGTCTCAGGGCTTTGACAAAAGCCAGTATTTGAGATGATTAGCCCTTATTTATTACCTGTCAAAAATAATTAGGAAGTCAATTTTACTTAGGTGTTTCAGTAGCGTAACTGATACTTTTTTATTAAATAATTATTTTAACTTATATATATTTTTATTAGAAATAAATTTTTTGATATATTTTTTATTTTTCCTTTTAAAAATTTTTCGGCTCAGACTGACAAAAAAATAAGTTACACTCAGAGCAATAAATAAATAAAACACAAACAATTAAACAGCTATCGTTTTATTTATCACAGATCTTTTTTATTAATATCCAATCGATAAAAAATGACTCCACTTAAGTGAAAAGCTAACAACATAACAACTATTAAAAAATTTCTTACATTTTTTTTAGAAAAATTAAATATTCATGATTTTTTTTAAAAATGATAAAATTTTTTGAAACCTTAAAAATATACATTAAAAAGACATGAGTTGATTCAAAGTAAGAAGTTTCTGTATTTGTTTACTTTATTATACACCTCTCTGACAGCCTCTGAGCTGTCAAAATTCTCTTTCAGATAGTACAGGCGTAATTTTCCTTCGTTGTGACATTCGAGGACGTCCCACTTTTGGAACAGCTTCAACGCGTTTTTTATGGGATCCACAGAGACACTTTCATCTAAAATTAACAAAAAAAAAATTATACTGCGTGACATAAGACACTGGAATACCCAGTATATGCTTAGCAATATTTACAAGGTTTTATCGGTTGATTGCAATATACAGGGTGTCTCAGGCTGAACGTACATTAGAAGTTTCTAAAGAACTACAATATCTAGATCGGCGATTTTTGCACATCATTGTTTCGCAATCAGATATATCGATTAAATTGACAACGAGTTTCTTATTTTAAACGGGTACCCCCATTTTTTATTACATTCTTAAATTCTCTGTAAAATTTTATGAATTTTGATATCAAACACTCTATACCTAAGATTAACCGTTTTTGGGAAAAAAATATTTAAAATTTTTGGAGGAAAAACACTGCCTGTCCTGTTTTTTTATTTCACTAGTGAAAAAGTTTTTTTAATTCGTTACTTTTTGATTATACATGTTCCAATACCTAAAATAGATCGTAACTTTGAATTTTGACCGTTATTTTTTACCAACATGGCAAATATAAAATCCCTCTATCCAAAAAGTTACTGATATTCTTTAAAATGAGTCCCGGAACGAATCAGATAGGTAACTCTTTTTACTTTCGTGAAATAGAAAAGGAAAATAACAAAACAAGTGACAGTTCTTCCTCTTCTTGCAAAAATCAATGCGAAACTTATGTGAAATGTCATAATTGACAAAAGTAAAATGTCATCAGCCTTTGACATTTCTAAATATCAGACCAATGCCGTCTCTAATAGAACAGCCTCGGAGTGAGATTTGTGACGTCACGTTAGTTAGATACCACGGATTAATAAATATGTTGTAGAATACATGGAAAAGATAATTATTCCTCGTATTTTTGGTTTGTATTTTAAAACTGATATAGTTTACATGATATATACAAAATATACATTTAATAAATACAATATATATATATATATATATATATATATATATATATATATATATATATATATATATATATATATATATATATATATATATATATATATATATATATATATATATATATATATATATATATATATATTTTATATTTATATATATGGGTTTGAAAATCGATCTAATTTAATAAAAACATTCAATATCTACTAATAGTGATGTATTATTATTTGCATTCACAAAATTTATATGTATATTTTGCAAGCATTAATGTTCGAAAAATTATATTTGCAAATAATACAATATCATAGAAAAAAAGGCGTCAGCGATGGATATGAAATAAAGATCGCTGTCATTTTATATGTAAAATTATTCTAAAATTTTTGATTTTCTTGGGATTTAGGTTCGGGAAAAACGCTGATTAAATTTTCATTTGGTTTTTCATTATTTTTTTGGTTTAAAAAAACGTTATAGCCTAAAATATATAAAATAAATTAAAAAAATAAACGTTTATAGCCTTCATCAGTGTTGTGTAATATGAAAAAAATAGTGTCGAAGATAATCCAAAAAATTACATATACGAGGAATAATAATTATGTTTTCCATGTATTCTACAACATAATTAATCCGTAGTATCTAACTAGGGTGACGTCATACATCTCGCTCAGAGGCTGTTCTATTAGAGACGGCATTGCATCAGCATGGCCGCAAGTTGCTAACCTAATAAAATTTACACTAGAAAAGCCCGCGGGAACTGTCAAATTCAAAGTTATTCGTTTCACAGACTATACTAGATATATTTTTATGAATACATTTTATAAAGTTTTAGCAGCAGTATTTATGATATACGATATTCAAATAATCAATTTTTTGACAGAAGGAATTACATTTTCTGATTGTTTGATACTTCTTAATGTCAAAGGAAGCTAAATAAAATCTAAAAAAATTTAGTCAGCTATAATAATAATTTTAAGGCAAAAAATCACTTACCATAGTCAATAGACCCTCTACTAAGTTGATTTTTAAGTTCAATCAACACCTCTTCAACTAATTCATTTTCCAAGAGCTGTCTTTGAACCAGCTTGTCCAAGACAAAAGCAGTGACAGCATACGTTTCAACTAAGGGCAGCAATATGTTCCTCAGGTCCTTCAAAAAATCTACCGTCTCTTTGGTAGCGTTTAGTTTGTAGAGTTTCTGGAAAAATCTCTCGTTTTCTTCTTCTTCATTTTCGTCCTCAAACTGTGAGGCTATCCGTTTGCTTCTTTGTACGAGTTCAGATTCATCTTCCTAGAAATTAGGGATGTGCAAACTATATCGATAAGTTAAACAATTATAAATCTACAATCAAACATTACTTAAAAAAATACGTGGTAAACAAAAAAGTAATATTTTCACATATTTTTATACTTGCAGCCATTTAAACATATTTTTCTTGAGCACTGTAGACAAATGTTTTTTTTACAAACTGTACAGAGATACTGGATGTTTCTTTTTATTTTGTAAGAGCATAAAGAGCAAAGACTCATTGCCTAGTCACTCCTCTTCAGCGGTTGTTTCGCATACCATAGTGTCTTCCAATCTTAACCCTATGTCTTAGTTTTCTTGGTATTTTTTGGTTCTAATAGCTTTAGCTAGATGTTTATCGATCATTTGAAAAAAAATTGTCAATGAATTTTTTATTTAAAACCCTACGTTTACTAATTTCTCTAATATTTCTCTCTATATGTTTCTATAAAAATAACTATAAATCGGCTACTTCTAAGAAGCGTTTCCACCTTTTTATTTATTGTTCTGAATCATTGATATAAACAAAGAATCCTGTATTTATTAATGTTAATTTGGTTGGTTTATATTATTCTGCATCCGCGTTAAATAAACCTTTTAATTTATCATAATTGTATATATAATTTCGGGTCTAAATTATTTATATTGGAAATAATATAATATTTATTCGGATCTTTTAAGTTTTTTGTGTAAACACCTCACACGGATGTTTGAACATTTTGAACTTAATATAGGTACATTTCTATCTCTTTGTACACAAAGTTTTAATGCAAATAATTTATTAAAAGATCTAACTTATTGGAAAATAAAGGATCATATGCATGTCAACTTTCATTGATTTCTCTAGAGATATTCTTTCTATATATTATAAAAAGATATTTAAGACTGTAAAATCGACTAGAGCTGTTTGAAATAATTTTATGTTAATGTATACAACGTCTTATTAGAAAAACAGTTGTTTTTTATTTAATCCCGATTAAAAAAATAATTTAAACTGAAAGAATTAATAAACATTTTTATTGGAATCAAATTTATATATATCTGTTAATGTAAAAAAACTGATCAGTAAATTATACAAGGTGTTTAATAAGTAATGACATGTTATATTTATTTGAATTATTCTCTTACAAATTTAAAAAATAGCAATGTACCGCTATAGAAATAGTTTAAATCGTACAGAAATAAGTAAAACTAGATGTTTCTTAATGTATCCGTTGAGAAAAATAAGTTTTAATGTTTCAAAATAAGAGTAATACAAATGCTCCACTATAAAAATGGTTCAAGTTCCGCAGAAATAAAAAAAATTAGATGAATTTATTGTTAAAACTGAGATATAAACCTTTAAAGATGAGTAGTTCAAATGTACCGCTATAAAAATTGTTTAAATAAATCCTGTAGAAATAAGTATATCTAGATGAGATGTAAGATATTTGTTAATAAATATAAGTTTCGATGCTTTAAAATAAGATTAGTTCAAATGTACCACTATAGAATTGGTTCAAATATCACAGAAATAAAAAAATCAGATGAATTTATTGTTAATTAATATTAAGCTTTAAAATACGAGTAGTTCAAATGTACTGCCATAGAAATAATTTAAATTCCACAGTAATAAAAAAATCTAGATAAGTTAATTATTTTATTAACTTATCTAGATTTATTTATTTTTTTATTAAAAAAAATGAGTTTCGATGCTTTAAAATGGGTAGTACTAATGTACCACCGAAAATCGCCAACTATGAAACTATGAACCCTTCTCGGACACAAACGGTACATTGTGAGACAGGAAATTGTAGAGAGAAACAAGCCCTATAACATAGGATACAACATTTTAATGAACAGTGCTTTCCATAAAATCAATAAAATGAAAAATAAACGAAATAATATGCATTTACTGATTTCTTTCGAAAATCGACAACTATGAAACTATGAACTCTTCCTGGACACAAACGGTACACTGTGAGACAGGAAATTGTAGAGAGAAACAAGCCCTATAACATAGGATACAACATTTTAATGAACAGTGCTTTCCATAAAATCAATAAAATGAAAAATAAACGAAATAATATGCATGTACTGATTTCTTTCGAAAATCGACAACTATGAAACTATGAACTCTTCCTGGACACAAACGGTACACTGTGAGACAGAAAATTGTAGAGAGAAACAAGCCCTATAACATAGGATACAACATTTTAATGAACAGAAAAAAATTCAGTAAAAGTTTTTAACATTTTTTTCTGCAATAAACATCATAGGCGTGCTTCTGGAGTTCGAAATATAATACTGAGGTATAAATATATGTATTTTTTTTTAAAAAATCATGTATAATCCAAAATTCCTCAAACTTACCACTAAAAATATTTCTTTTCTCGATGCTAAATCGTCAATGGCACCAGTAACAACCTGTTCCAACACCTGACAAGGCTTGCAAAACAAGAATTCATACTGGAAAATGTCGCAAAGTCCCAGAGCGTTCTCGAGCAGATCGTCGTGCGACACCGTACTCAAACGCATCTCCGTCACGCTGAGAGATATGGCAACAACGGACTCTATGGCAAAATGGCCGACGACAGTGTTGCTGTAATATGACAGCTCGATGACGTTAGGTAATATGGCTACGGGTTTTATTATGTCTTCTGTTTTTTGTTTTTCTCTTTTGATTAGACCTGGACCCAAAATATATATCTAAAAAAAATAAAATTGGTTTTTATTAATTATAAAAAATATACAGGATGTAGTGACATAACATTTTGTGTAAATATAAAATAAAATAAAATATGGGTCTTACGGCATAATTAATCACATCTACAGGGTCCCCAGTAAAACCGACGTTTCTTCTGGAATAGATCAGTTCTTTCCTGAGTTCCTCCAAGGCCACTGCAAGGTCTTGCAGGCTTACCCCGTTTCTGTATTTGGTTAGCAGTAAAAAGGCTAAAGCGTTGGTAGACATGACTGTCGTTGCTTGCGAACAATCTGATAAAAAAATACATCAAATCTAAATATAGTAGTTCAAATGTACCGACAGTTTAAATAATAGTTCAAATGAACTATGGGTAAAAACTATAGAATACCTCAGCTATATTGAAGCGACAATACATTGAAGTGTGTGTCCGAAAAATTTTATTATTTTTTTAAATTTTTTCATGTTTTATTTTTTACTAAGTACATTTATTAACTCAGAATAAATATCGAGTTACAACAAAATTGTTCAACTTTATTATAAAATTTTTTTAAAAAAATTGCTTACCAAAAATTACGTGTTTTGAGACATTTTCAACCAAATTTTTGTGTTCATCTGATATAATATCGGTTCCATACAAACTATTAGTGGACGGATTTGACTTCAAAACCCTATTTTGTATACTAGGCTTGTCTGGCTTAGAACTAGTATTTATACTTGATATAAGTTCCTAAAATTTAACATAAAAATCTGTATTTCTGTAAAAGAAAATCATTTCTTACTCTTAACGAAAACGGTTGATTAAAATCGATCCTCATCATACCGTAATTACTATTCAACACACCCCAAATCCCTTTCAAAGTCTGCCCAAAGGTCTCCATCTTTTTCGGCTGTCCCAGTTGCTCAGTTATAAAATTCCCATCAACCAATTTCTCGTAGTTCACGCTAACAGGCACCAAAAGAGCATCTTCGACTGTCCCGTCCAAAAAACTCTCTACAATCACACTCAAAACCCCATATTTTGGCATGCAAGGTTTCCCAGTTCTAGTCCTACCACCTTCCAGGAAAAACTCAATATTGTGACCGGCTTTAAGGCACAAATTCATGTAAGTGTGTAGGACGGCTTTGTAGACGTAGTCTTTACCGCCCTCGGGGGTCGGATGAAGACGTCTCCTGATAAAGAAAGCGCCCAAACCACGTAGGAGGGAGCTAAAAACGAGTTTTAATGCCTTAAAATAGGAGTAGTTCAAATGTGCCGCAATAAAAATAGTTCAAATCTCAAAAAAAATTAATAAAACCCGATCAATTTTAACGAACTTGTTGATAAAAACGATTTTAAATGCTATAAAATGCGAGTAGTTCAAATGTAACACTATAGAAATGGTTAAAAAATCACGGAAATAGATATTTTTAGACGAATCCCTTGATAAAAATATTTTTTATGTTCTAAAATAGGAGTAGTTCAAATATACCATTATAGAAATGGTTCAAATCCCAAGTAAATAAAATTTAGATGGATTCTAATATATTTGTTGATAAAAAACACATTTTACGGCTTTAAAATAAAAATAGTTCAAATGCCCCGCTATAGAAATGGATCAAATCCTATAGAAATTAATAATTTTAGACATATTTGTCAATAAAAATAATATTTAATGCCTTAAAAATTTATCGCCATGGAAACCATTGAAATCCCACGGAAATAAGTAAACCTAGATTATATCTAAATATTTGTTGAGAACTTTGTTGAGAAAAGTTAGTTAAATATTTAAAATGAAAGTAGTTTAAATGTACCACTATAGAAATGGCTCAGATTCAACTGAAATAAAAAATTTTAGAAGAATAAATGGGATTGGATGATATAAAATAGGAGTAGTTCAAATGTACTACTATAGAAATGTTTTAAATTCCACAGAAATAAGTAAATCTAGATGAGTTATATCATATTTCATGATAAAACGATTTAAATAAGAGTAGTTCAAATGTATCACACTATAGCAGTGGTTCAACTTACCCAAAAAATGGTATTCTAAGATTGTCTCCCGCTGCAACCAGAGGTGAACGAATATTATTATTTAACAAAATAAATGAAATTAAGATATAATCCAAATGCGATCTGTGCAAGGGAAGAAATATCAAGGGTAGGTTAGACTTGGAAGCTTCTTTCAGCATCTCAACCTGACCTGGATGCACTATGACAGATCCCAGGAAGCATGGAAGCAGTTTATACAAAATCCATGACGTAAATCTTCAAAAATATATCATTAATTTTCTCAAATTTATAAAATCATCATCATAAATACCTTAAAAGAAAATCTGAAAGGGTTGATCTCATCCCAAGCAACAAACTCTGAGCCCTCTTCTGGTTTTTCTTCATCAACTGCATGTAGAACTCATCTTCACTATTGTCAGAAGCTTGGAACTGTTGAATTGCTGTTTTTTCAATTGCTTTGATCACTCGATCATCTTTTAAAACTAAGTGAGATACTTGAGGGTATCTGTATCTTCTCAACTCCCATACTTGGTGTAGATGTGAAAAAGCTCTGGTTACCAATCCGTTTCTGCTGATTGGTGGGCTGTAGTTGAGTATGTTGATCAGGGATAGTTGTTCTGTGGTTCTTTTAACCAAAGATTCCTGTAGAAAAAATATGAGGTATACAGGGTCGCTTTTATGAATGGAAACGGTCGATTATTCGGTAAAATATAGGAGGTACCGCAAAACGTTAAATACAAAAGTTATAGGATTTTAAAATATCTATTAGCGAATAATAAATTTAAGTATACAGGGTCGTTCATAAAGTCGTGGTCAAAGTTTCATTTTTTTAAGTAGAACTCCCTGTATATTATTAGAATTAATTAATTAAAACAGCTTTTGCATAAATATTATCTCAAAACAAAATTTTTGGAATAAGACAGTTTTTGCTCAAGTCAATTGTTCTAAAATTTTTAATTCATTGTCTTTACTCAGTTTTAATCATTTTCTGACGATTCTAGCTCAAAGTTCACTATATAAATCAATTATATTTATGACGAGACATAAAATAAGGATTACTAAATTTTATAGAAAATAAAAATATGAATGGAATTACATACCAATACAAAAATAAAAAACAAGTGGACTGAGTCACACACTAATCTAATTGATTGATAAAATTAATTCTCAATGGTACCTGTATATTCAACAGTCAAAAACAGTTTGTTTTAATGTTAAATAAATTGATTTAAAGTGTTGAATATATAAGAGCTACTAGATTACATAATACAGATATAAAAGAATACAGTTATTTAAAAAAAAAGATAAACAATACTATACCTTATCACCAAAATAATAAGTGTATTTATTCAATTCAGTGTTATTATTTAGCAAATGAAAATCAAAACCCATATTTCATCCACTGTTTAAATCAACAACTCTTAGAGGTAAACAATTTACATCAATTTTCAAAATCTACACTATTTTACACATGTTTCATCGCATCCTAATAGAAAATGTTATTTTTACAAATTAAAAAAACCCATTGAAACATGTTAAATAATTTTGAAACCACAAAATTCACCAAAATAAACTAAAAATACACTCCAATCCCAACCTTACAAAATAAAACTTACACTTAAGGTTAAAAATAGACTTTCAATGGCATTCATTAACTGGCTATTCACGAATGATGTTTATGAAAGCTTTTTTATACACTCACCCGACTAGTTAAAGAGCAATTTTGGCAGCAAAGCCCCACGAAAGTAGGCCTCAAAGTAACGTTAAGGTCAGGAACTGCCTCTTTCAAGTGATATAATTGAGATTCTTTAATCTAGAACGTAATCAAAACATGCTTGTTTGTTAACCTTCAAAAGTAACGCAAAGTAACATTTACCTCTCTATCAGCTTCTTTTATAAGACGATTTCTGTATCTTGCATCAGTAGAATGTCTTTTCAGAGTGTTCAAAGAGGCTAAAGTATCATTTTGGTGGTTGTTTGATGGAGAAAAACGATTGTAAGTCTCATAGATCTTGTTTGATATTAAATCAACCATCTTCTTGCATCTAAAATCAATCAGAAATACACTTATTTTCTTGTAAAGTCTTTATAGTTTCTGTAGGATAAATAAAGGTCATGAATCTTACGTCTATTCACCTTACCCTTTGAGAATAAATATAAAATAAGTTAGTTGGAGCACTAGAAACAGCTGTAGAGAGCCGTAAAATGTGTAGAAACCGAAAGAAAATAACAGGACCAGGCTACATAGTAGCCCCCCTAAAATAACATACATTTCTTTGAGACGCACTTAGAACAGAACTAGTCAAACATCGAGGCACATACTGCTGCTTAACTGAGATGTAATAACACTTGATAACAGCTTGTAACACTTTAATGGAAATATATTTGAAAAAGAGCATGACCTTTAGTACTGTAAAGATAAAAATTCTATCGATTACATTTAGAAAATTTGGGAACGCCGCTATCACAAAATAATAAACAACAAAGTAGCTAGTTCATTGAAATTCAAATTTTTGGACGCTAAAAATTCCCTTGTATTGTCACCTAATTATAGAGGCAGGGTTCATCGATACCTTTCGAAAAGTTGTTGAACTTTGACTTACTTCTAAATTTTATTCTGATAAAAATTTATTGAAAAGCACTAAAAAATTTACGAAAACAAAAAAGTGAGGTTGGAATTTAATGTGACAGATGGACACGTGATCGGATGGTTTCTTAAGCTTGGTACAGACGCAACGACTTTACGATTTGCTTGCGTCAACAAAACGTAAAGAAAGTTTGAACAAATTTTAGAACTACACATACCTGGAAGACTGGGTAGAAAGTTTGAGCTCCTGGGCATAGATTTCGGTCGTTTGCACAGACAAATTGTAGCGTGTGGACACTCACAAATATTTCTTTGTGGTTTTATTTTAATTTGTCAGTCTAAACGATAAGTCGTTGCGTGTGGGCCGAACTTTAAGTATGACATAGAGGGCGCTTTTTGTGGTTTTCTGATGTCATTAATATGGACGCGCGAATATGATTTTTGTAAAATTACGCATTTGAAGACAGGAAATTGTACTTTATTTATAATAGGCTATTTTTGAATGTAATCTATTTTGATATATTGTGTACCAAGGTGCTTACCTGTTAACGCTCAATTCGCCGCAAGGAATTAGATAAATTTTAAACGGTTTTATATTTAAACTTGTGAATAACATAGAAAGCTCTTAAAGGATTTGATGTATATTTTATTGTTTACGATAGCTTTGATTTAGAGTACTTAATTTTGCTGTATTTATTGTTTTTCACAGTTAATTTGATGGTTAAATTTATGAAGTAAAGATACACACATTTTTAATATGAAATATAAATTATTATGAACTAATGAAATAAATTATATATAATCAAACTAAAGATTATTGATTAATTTTTTGTATTTATTGGACTTTTTGAGTACCTGTACTACCTGTAAGAGATTTTTAAATAATTTTTTAAACTATCTTACCTTTTGCTTTTTTCTACTGCTAGATATGGCTACACAAAGTTCCGGTTTTTGTACTTTTTGGTATGATTATATTTTTAAGGTTGTAGTAGAATAGGGGGTTAAAATGGAAAATAAAATACAGGGTGATGTCTAATTAAAGATCTTTATTCATTTACAATAGTATTTAGGTATTTTTTAGACTGATCCTAGAATTCCTTTAAGCTAAACAACCAATTTTTGTCTCTTTGTCTTTTTGTTATATTGTGTTTTGTTTTGTTTTCTTTTCCTTTTTAGTATAAAAAGCTTATAAATTGACTAGAACAGGAACTAATACATGTTAAAAACACGAAGATAGGTAAAATTTAAGTCGATTGTCACCATGGTCGCACCAATGAAAGAAAACATACGAACTAAATAAAGTCTTTGAGTCCAAACGGTACCACTTTAGTGCACCTGAAAATAAAGCCAAGAAAAAAATTGTTAATATTAATAGTAAATAATAATCCTATCAAAATCATAGTATTCTACAAAAAGTGTTCTATAGAATTTGAGATTGAAACTTACCAAAATCGATCACAGAAAAGATTCGTGCGCAGCGTCAATCTCCTGCACTTTTAGTCCTTCTCCTTCAGCTTCAATGTACTCGACTCCTTCCTCATAGTCCATGTGGTACCTGGTCGCGTTGTGCTCAGGATCACCAAACTGACTATGGTAGAAGTCTTCTCGCATCATGTGATTCAAACTGCCACACCTAGAAGACAAGAAAGATTTTAAAATATATTCTAAACAAAATAAAAATGTTTTAAAAGATGCAGTGTCAGGAAATGTCAATAACTAAAATTAAAGTCGACTTGGGTTTATATTATTTCATATAATTTTATAAAGTCAAGGGGGTATATACAGGGTGGTCCGAACTGTATTCCGGAAACTTCGGCAGCATATTCTGCAGATAAAAATAAGTAAAAAAGTTCGTATAAATGTATGCATTAAAATGCTTAGTTTCGGAGATACAGGGTGTAGAAGTTTCATTTTTATTTCGATTTTTTCCAAATAATTTCTGAAGTAACGTCAATATTTGGATGAAAATTGGCGTCTGGAATATAATATATTATATTTCCGGGTTAAATATTATTCCAAATTGTTGTCAGAGAACAGACCTGAGTATCAAGAACCGCCACAGCCAGAAATAAACATTGAAGGAGAGGAAATCTACGTGGATACCAACAAAATAAAGACCGCTATAATGTCTTTAAAGAATGGAAGAGCATGTGTCCCAGAGGGAGTATATGCGGAACTCTTAGAATGTTAACAAACATAGTTAACCAGTGCTTAAATGGTCATCCAGTACCTGAACAGTGGAAAAAAGCATATATCTCCTCTATATATAAAAAGGGCTCACGGAAGGATCCCCGGTCACCAGCACTATGAGTCGCCTCTATGGAAGGATACTGAGGAACTTAATTGAAGAGGAATACTCCAGCTACGAAGAAGAAGAGCAGAATGGTTTCAGAAGCGGAAGATCATGTACAGATAATATCTTTGCATTGAAACAGATCATCGAGAAGAAATCTGCAATGAACCAGGAAGTTCATATAACATTCATCGATCTACAAAAAGCATATGATACAGTGCCAATAATAAAATTATGGGAAGTATTGCACGAATCAAGAATTAACGCAGCTCTGATAAACGCTGTACAAAATCTTTACCATGGAGAAAAATCACAAATAAAAACGGTCAACGGTCTCTCAGAGGAAATTTCTATCACTAAAGGGCTCCGACAGGATTGCTGTATATCCCCAACACTATTTAAAATTTATATTGCCAAGGCCTTACATCTATGCAAAAGAAAATGTAACGGAATGGGTATAGAACTAAATGACATATGCCTATACACCTTGCAATTTGCAGACGACCAGGCCATAATTGCAAACGACAAAGATGACATGGAATATATGGTCCGGAAAATAATTGAAGAATATGCTAAATGGGGTCTCACAGTAAATACAGAAAAAACAAAATACCTTCCAATTGGAACTAATACAGAAAATCTTATTTTAGACAATAATATAGAAATTAGGGCATGTGAAGATTACAGGTACCTGGGATCGATATTTACAGGAGATGGAACGGACGATAGAGAAATAAACAACAGAGTAATACAGGCACGAAGAGTTATCAGATGCATAAATGGCATTCTATGGAGCACTGAAATTACAAAAAACAGGAAATATAATATATACGAGACACTAGTTAAAAGCATATTACTCTATGGATGTGAAACATGGCGACTCACTGAAAGGAATAAAAGGAAATTAGAGACAACAGAAATGGACGCGATTAGAAGAGCAATGAGAATTTCACGGAGGGATAAGATCAGAAATGAAGACATTAGACAACAGATGGGAATAGAGGGAACAATAGTAAATGATATAGAACAAAAACAATTAATATGGTACGGCCACGTTCAGAGAATGCACAATGAAAGAATTCCAAAACAAGTCATTCATTGGATACCACCTGGTAAACGAAAGAGAGGACGTCCCAAGAAAACATGGATGGAAGGAAAAAGAAGGTCGATGAGCGAGAAAAATCTGACCGAAGATCAATGGGAAAATCGCACAGGGTGGAAGTTAGGCATCGGACAAAGTCGTAGGACGTTCTGACCAAAATTTATATATACATTTCCGAAATCTGCTTTAGGCTTAGTTAACTCCAATCACACGTGCTTTGATTAAGGCTTGATTAAGGTTTGCAGAGCTTCGGCATTTGCCATAAAATAACGAGCAATTTGTTACAAAACCATTATAAATTATATATCACTGTAATCACAAAACTTCAATCCATTTCCGTATTGTAACGGAATTTTAAATTACGTCTTTATTTTCGAAAAAATTTAGTCCAAACATAAGGAATATTTTGTTGATGTTTGACTATCGAAATCTTAAAAATAAAGATGTTGTCCAAAAATGTGCTACAATACGGATATAGTATAATCTTTTATCCTTAATTTCCTTCTTCATTTGTATAAAAATACCTAGCCATCAGTTTCACATAAAACGTTAAATGCCGAAAGCTTATTTTGCTACTTTTTCGGACCAGTGAAATGAACTAAATTCTAGAATCTACAGAATAACTCAGCTTACCTGAAGTACAGAATCGCCTTGAAAGGCTTCCGAAAATCCCTATTCAACGTCGCATAAATAATGGGATTGAGCAGACTGTTGGTGTAGCCCAGCCACAAAAACAAACTGCTCAGAGTGTTCATGAAGTTGATGGTGTCGCTGAGGAAGAACGGCCTGATGAGGGCCAGCACGAAGAAGGGCAGCCAGCAGAAGATGAAGGCGCTCATGATGATGCCCAGCGTGGTGCTGGCCTTCCGCTCCTTGGCCAGCTGGAAGCGCAGTTTTTTCTGGTTGGAGTTGACCACGGGGGATGCCCGCACCACTGCGCTGAGGATGCCTGACTTGGGCTGGCGCAGTTTGGTGCTCCCGGGTGGCTTGGAGGGGAAGGATGAGAGCATGGGGCACTGGGACTCGTTGCTGTGACGCGACTTGAAGCAGCGGCCTAGGGTTGGGTCCAGACTGCACTAAAAATTAATAAAAAAAAGGTTAAAACGTTGTTTTGTAGTTTAATAGTTTGTTGTTCACTAGTATTATTCAAATATACAGGGTGGTCCGAACTGTATTCCGGAAACTTCGGCAGCATATTTTTCAGATAAAAATACGTAAAAAAGTTCGTATAAATCTATGTCCTAAATTGCTTAGTTTCGGAGATACAGTATGTGTAGAAGTTTCATTTTTATTTCGATTTTTTCCAAAGAATTTTTGAATTAACGTCAATATTTGGATGAAAATTGGTGTCTGGAAGTTTTTTGACATGAGAAATTTGATTTTGATGTCAATATAACCCCTATTTGTAGAGGGCGCCACCTACATATTTTTAACTGGTTTGAAGAGTAATAACTTTTAGTCCGTACCTGTATAAAACTACTGAGTAAAAAAATATACATTTTCGTGATTTTGTACGTAAAAAAGGTCTCTTGGTAAAAATCGCTACGAGTAATGGTTCTCGAGATATTTGGAATTGAAATTATCAATAACTGTCGTCATTGACATAAATTAACATGTTGACTAAATACCGCATGATCGAAAAAAAAAAACGGCGTCCAGTTGGCTTGGAAATAACGATAGATGACATTCCTCGTATAATTTTACATATAAAGTTATACATACGGTAGTTATTACACTGAAATCATAAATTTAAAAAGTTTTTGTGCCAAAAATTCACCATTTTTTCGAAGAAAAATTGATGACTTATTTAAAACAATAATCCAAATTTATTATTTCAGTCAAATAACTATCTCTACTCAACATATTTATTTTTTGTCAATAATGACATGTAACGACTATTTCCATTCCAAATATCTTGAGAAAGGTTGCTCGTAGTAATTTTTACCAAGACACATTTTTTATGTAAAAAATCACGGAAATGTATATTTTTCACTCAGTAGTTTTATACAGGTACGGACAAAAAGTTATTACTCTTCAAAATAGTTAAAACACATGTAGGTGGTGTCTTCTAAAAGTAGGAGTCATATTGACATCAAAATCTAATTTCTCTTGTAAAAAAACTCTCAGATACCAATTTTCATCCCAATATTGACGTTATTTCAAAAAATATTTGGAAAAAATCGAAATAAAAATGAAACTTTTACACCCTGTATCTCCAAAAACTAAGCATTTTAGGGCAAACATTTAAAGAACTTTTTTACCTATTTTTATCTGCAGAATATGCTGCCGAAGTTTCTCGACCACCCTGTATATTACTAGTGTCAAAATGCAATATAAATATGCTGCTTAAAATGAGGGTCTCTTGTACTCTTTAGCTTTATACAAGAAAATATAAAATTCTTGTTAAAACATGGAAGCCGGATCGTTTAAAAGTCTTTCCGTGTCTATCGATAAGTAAAATTCGTTTATTTTTTTATTCTTTCTTCGGGGCCCCACTACATTACACTGAAAGTGGAAGCCTCAAAATCAATATTGGTTTAATCTTATATTTCGAGCTCTTAAGCAACCCCCGCCACTCTTTCTATCAAATTTCAGTTGACACCTTTGCGCATCATTAGAACGAAGATGGAGGCGTTGGTATTTTTTTATGGTCGTTTTTTAACGTTTTAAGACAGAAACGAAAATTTCTTGAAGGCAATCGATAACTTTATACAAAAGTTAAATATACCGTGTGGTACATCGGAATACGAGACATAGAAAATCCCATGTAAATTTTGAAAAGGTCAAATAATAAATCTCCCTAGATGATTTTATGCAAAAATTGTGTTAGACTTTTTTGAAGAGGCACTAAAGTTGTACTGTCGTTAATAATTATTATTACTTGTTTATATTAGAAGATGTTCATAAAACATTTAATCACTAGTTGATTAAACAAAGTATACCATTAATAGTTATTTTTTATACAAGACGATAAAATGGTATTAATTTCGGGAGACGATAATGCAATTTTATCGTCGTGTATAAAACAATATTCTTTTCCATAGCGAGTTACGTTTTAAAAAATGTTCAGAAATTATTATTTCAAGGAATTTATTACGTGTGGAAAAAATATTGTGCTGGGTTGGCGTTGGTTTCTATGTAATTTGACAAATAAATAAAGCTGTCTTTTTAGTTGTCAGTTTTGAGTCAATATTTTTTAATTCTCTTTCGTGTCGATTGCTGATTGAATTGGAGCCAGAAATGGCTCAAAACTAAATAAGTAAATTACCAACAGATATTCAGGCTGAGGCCACAAACGCCATATCCAAACTGCTTCCATTTAAATCCCGAATAACTAATGAAAAGGAATACAAAAATTTTCAAAAATGGAAGCAATTAAAAAACGTGCGAGAAGAAATAAAGTTTTTAACCTATCCTCGCTGTTAAAGTATCATTTAATCTACCCTGGCGGTTAAAGTACTATGTTATCAACTATTTTTGATAGATATAAGGCAATTATAACAGTTGCTATGGAAAAATGTTACAAATTATATTTTATCCTCTCATAGATTATGTCTATACTATATTTTTTTTCTCAGGTAAGATTTCGACAGACGATGACAGAAGAAAAGCAGATGACGTCCCATACCAATCTATTTATTTTACTAAAAAAATTTCTAATAATTTTTAAGTTAACTATGGATGGGTTTAAATACAAATTCGTCATGCGTCGTCACTTGTTGTTTTTAACCAGTTTTATTGGTTTATTTCAAAAATGACAGATTGTATTTCAATTTTATTGGTTTGACGGAACGATGTACGACAAACAGACGCCGATGCGTATGAACTCGCCTTTAGATTTTTGACGTTTGTCAAAGTCTTGCCAAATTATAGGTTATAATTTTGTGACAACTTTTGTCAAATACCCTTTGTCAAATACGGAACTAGTTCCTCCCAAGGAACTAGAATTCCCATGTCTACTGTGGTAAATTTATTTGATTTTCGTTCATTTTAAATAACGATTTTTGTCTAATTTTTACCATCCTTCACAAAACTCGTCTCTCATTTAGATAAAACAACAAAAATCCGAGGCTGGCGACGCCGACGTCGGAAAGTTATCTATCCGAAACTTTAATATTTAATCGGCGATTACAGCGGGTTTAATAACTCTTTAGTATTTTATGCAGTTTGTAGAGCATAAATGTTTTATTATTTTATTATGGAATTTATATTCCCGCTGTGTTCCCGTGCCTACGTGTATAAAACTTTAATTTCTACTAAAATTACTTCGGTGTCGAGCGCCTGAAAATATACTTTATCTCCTTTTTTAGTTATTAATTCTAGTAAAATAATACCGAACAAAAAGATTAGTCATTTTAGAAATAGACATCTTATCCCATAGTAAAGCAGTCTTAAGAGCGATCAACTCAGTGAGGTCAACTCAGAAAACGTAAAAACAGTATGTCAAACTAAGTTAGTTTCCAAATTTTACTATAGGCTTAGTGCATTTCAGTTGATTTCATAAAATTCCGACAGCAGCGCTGTATACGACAGAAATCAGAAATTTTACAGTTCATGTTGATCGCATTAAAATAATATTGAAATCTTGTCTTTGTCATAATATTTAAGTACTTTAGTTTTTTGCTATTGCAGTTATTGAAACTATAAAACGTTGTGTGTTTCTGGTAATAAAAATAAGTGAAAAAGAAACCAAACTAGGCGTCGTGTTGTATTGTGTTAATTTCAAATGTTAATAAAATTGCCCAAAAAATGTTAACGCGTAAAGGAGAGCGTAATGAGGGCGTTGTTGAGTGCAATGACGTTCAATAACTCAACTTTCCCGGATTGTGTAGACCGCAGAAGAACCAATTAGGAAGGCAACTTATGAGGAAAAGGTAGCTCTTCCTGGCAATCCAGCAAATTATAACTATGATTAATACTATTAGTACTTACCACCGTGTTGGTGCTGGCCGAACTCGACCTGTGGTTCCCCGCCCTGGAACAGTTGGCCGGCGACTGGCCGGCAATCTTGTTCTCCGGCGGTCCTTCCCCATTTTTCACGCTGATCTCCAGGTAGCAGTGGGGCTCCAGGTGGCTCTGGGCCTTCTTCTCCTCGTTCACTATCCTCCGTGCCGCACGGAAGATCTTGTAGTAGACCAGGATCATCACGGTGAGCGGAATGTAGAAGCTGCACATCGTGGCGTACACCTGGATGGAGAGAGGTATATCGGAATAGGAATTGGATCGTTTTAATCAACGAAATCCAGTTTCTAACTCGAAAACATCGAATTTTGATAAAAAAATCGATTTAAAAAATGTCGATAGCTTTGCCCATCCCTACCTAATAGCCAACATATTAGACACAGGTTCAATTTTATGTTTAAAAATCGATAATCTTGTAATATCGATAATTTGACCCATTTTTTCCTGGTAATCGATATCTTCCGACACAAAGTACATTATGTTCTCTTTAATATTTAAAAATCGATATTTTTAAAGTTAATATACATACAATATCGATATTTTGACACCTCTCTACACGGTAAGAGATATGAAACAACACAACAAACAAAGACAAAAATAACAATTTTATCTCTAAAAATCGATATTTTCGATTCAATATTTTCAAGATATCGATATTACTCCTCACTTCCTGGTAATCCGCATGTTCCGACACTTGACACATCGGTTTTATGTTTAAAAATCGATATTTTGAGAAATTCGACATTTTTACCTCTCCCTATATGGTAACTGATATGTTGCGACACTAAATACAGGTTCAGTTTTATCTTTTAAAATCGGTATTTAAAATATCGATATTTAACTTTATCGATATTTAAACCCATCCCCTTCTGGTAACCGATATGTTTCGACAACAGACACAGTTTCGGTTTTGTTTTTAAAAATCAATATTTTCAAAAGATCGTCGATATTTTTATCCCGTCTCTATTGGATAACCGGTACGTTACGATATCGATATTTTCAATATCGATATTTTTATACGTAATTACCTGGTAACCAATCTGTTGCGACACCAGACACATTTTTCTTTTATTTTTAAATATCGATATTGAAAAATATCAATATGTATCTCCATCTCCTCCTGGTAACTGATATATCGCAACCAAAGACTACTTAGTAGTCTTTGTCGCAACACTGGACAAAAGTTTTGATTTAATTTTCAATATCGATATTTTTAAAAGATCGATATTCTGGCCCGTCCCTGCCTGATAACCGATATGTTGTGTTTTGTCTTTAAAAATCGTTATTTCCTAAAGATCGATATTTTTGTACGTCCCTACCTGGTAACCAATCTGTTGCGACATCAGACACATATTCTTTTTTATTTGTAAATATCGATATTTTTAATAACGATATTTTCAAATAATCGATATTTTTACCGTCACTACCTGAAAATATATATGTTGGGACACTAGACACCTGTTCAATTTTAAGTTTAACAATTGATATTGAAAATTATCGACATCTTATCTACCTCCATCTTCTCCTGATATATCGAGACACTAGGTAAAAGTTCGGTTTTATATTTCAATATCGACATTTTTAAAAAATCGATATTTTGACCCGTCCCTACTTGACAACCAATATGTTACGACCCTGGACCTATGTTGTGTTTTATCTTTAAAAATCGATATCTTAATATCGATATTTCTACGAATCTTTCCCTGGCAACCAATAAGACGATGGTCCGACACTAGCACAGGTTCAGCTTTATCTGTAAAAATCGATATTTAAAATATCGATATTTAAAATTATCGATACCTTTACCCATCCCTTTCTGGTAACCGCTATACCGTGACACTAGAAACACGTTCGATTTTACCTTCAAAAATCGATATTTCAAAAACATCGATATTGGCGACCCCTCCCTACCTGGTAACCGATATGTTGCGACACTAGACACACGTTGGGCGTGGTCCTGCCGCCCTCCTCCGCGATAGAGTGTTCGTTGCCCAGGATGAGGAGGGGCGGCAGGGAGATCATCGCCGCCAAACACCACACCAGCACTATCCAGAGGATCATGCGCCGCGGCGTGCGCTTCACGCCGTACTCCAGCGGCTTCGTGATGGCGTAGTACCGGTCCACGGAGATCATGCACAGGTTCAGGATGGACGAGGTACAGCTCAGGACGTCCAGGCTCACCTGGAAAAGAGAAATCAGACGATTTTAGATTAGATTGTAGGTAAAATCTGGAGAAAATAGGAAAATGAGAGCTATCTGGCAACGCTGTAAAAGAAAAACGAGAAGATATTGTATAAAATACCAGACAATCGAAAAAATACGGCGTCAAAGACGATAATTTTGGCGAGGTAAAGCCCTATACGTGATTTACTAAAAATTGACATAGAACTTGTCAAAATCACTAACACTAATTATACAGGGTGGTCCGAACTGTATTCCAGAAACTTCCAAACACAACCAAACCAATACCCCTCATCATTGACATAAATTAAACATATGTTGACTAAAATAGTTATTAAACTGAAATCATAAATTTGAAATATTTTTGTGCCAAAAGTTCAACAGAAACTGTTTTATCATCATTTTTTCGATGAAAAAATTATGATTAATTTAACAAAATATAAAGTTTCCAAGTTTATCATTTCAGTCAAATAACTACTCAACATGTTTATTTTTTGTCAATAATAACATATATTGACTATTTCCATGACATCAAAATCAAATTTCTCATGTCAAAAAACTCCAAGACACTAATTTTCATCCAAATATTGACGTTACTTCAGAAATTATTTGGAAAAAATCGAAATAAAAATGAAACTTCTACACCCTGTATCTCCGAAACTAAGCATTTTAGGACATACATTTATACGAACTTTTTACTTAGTTTTACCTGCAAAATATGCTGCCGAAGTTTCCGGAATACAGTTCGGATCACCCTGTATAGGTATAAAAAGATTGACAACGCTTGAAAAGAAAAAGCTAGATTAGACCTCTGTAAAAAAAGAAAGGCTTTAATATTATACTCTGTTTATTACTTAGCCGATAAGAACCATTAAAAAAGTTATATCTGGATGATTCATAGAAATTTTAATTATACTATTAATGAGTTATGTATGTGTACTTTCCTATAGTAGCAAAATTTCCACTCCCAAAATCTTCCAAAATATTTTTCAGAATTATTCAATATTATATTTAAAGTATTTATTATTATTCTTTCTCTAAATATATTTTTATACTCCCGTTTATAGGAACGGCCTGCTCTTTATCAAAACTAATAAAAGTTTCAGCGAAGATTTTTTCCCAATTGGAATTTCTGGAGAGAGTCTAAGCCCAAAAGGGATCGCAGGGATAACTGAGGATTTATGGCCTAGGGATCAAAAAGGGATTCGGGATCCTAATAAGGTTATTAGTTGTTATGCCGCTCCAGAAATTGGAAAGCGCCAGAACTATTCTGGATCCAAATCTAACTGTTGTTTGTTAATTTTCCTTTATAATAATAATTATCACTAAATAATATAACAGATAATTCTGGGTTTTAGTGTTTTTGTAATATAATGGTTATTAAGGTAAATAAGTACTGCGAGAATTGTCAGCTCAAGAGCTTGGAACACCCTCAATTACCAAGAGTAACATTATACTCTGAACAAAAGGTTGGTAGATACCTCAAAAGAATTCTCTCCAAGTATGAGCTCTTAATTTTAATAGGAAAGTTTTCCGCTTTTCAGTTTTCTATTTTTTCCTTATTATTAGAAAGAAAAATTCATATCTCGGTATCTACTATTTGGAAAAAATACCTCGTCTCATATGTTTGTAGTAAATTGAATTCTCTACAAAAAAGGGTTCTTACAATTTTTTTGTAAACCTCACCGTTCGAAAGTTATTAAGGCTTGAAGTGTGATTATTTTAAGGCAGATTTCTTTTTTTTTATGAATTTTATAACTCGTTATGATACTGGCTTTTGTCAAAGCCCTAAAACTGTATGATGAATTATTATAACTCAAGAAAGAAGGATACAATAGGAGGATTTCAATCTACAAAGATTTTTCTTGTTTTTTAATCAAAATATTCTTTTCGTCATACTGAATAATAAAAAAACGTAAAAATAGTTAAACTTCAAAGGCACCAGGGTCGTATTTTAATTTTAACCCATATAAAACATTTATTTATTTAAAACAGAGATAAGGCCTTTATGACAAAAGGGAGAAAAAGCAAGAATTCCTACTTAATAATCCTATTAATGTTGACACAGAGACTCAAAAAGGACTTAATTAATTACTAAAACGAAAAGAAGGATTAAAACAGGACCGTACTGTAAATATTTCTGCAAAAACCGTTTCAGTTTTATTAAAATTCTGCGCGCTGTATGCTCGGGATATTAAAAGATTTTTATTTCCTTTTTACAGAACATGTAACAACGTATTTACTAATATTTTATGAGTTTAATTTGATGGAAAATATTATATAGTATAGTTTGTTTTCACAAAAATATGATTCTAAGAAAGATTTTAAACATTTCGATTTATTGAAAGCAGTAATTTTCAATTTATTCCAAATATTTCTATGGATATAAGGAGAAACAACAGGAAGGAAAGAAAAAATAAAACAGCAAATCAATTTATAAGATACAGGGTGTTTCAAAACACACTGTGGAAAAAATGAAACAGGCATTTTGAATAAAAAAAACTGATTTTTAATGAAAGGAGTAAATGGAACAACTTCTTGGAGGACATCCTCAATACAGGGTTGTTCACCACATACGACACGGAATATTGTAGCTAAACGATTAGATTTTTACAAATTGTAAGTTTTGGGTTCGTTGAAGGACTATTAGAGCTACAATTGAAAAATATTTTTACAAGATATAAGTCCCAAATAAATAAAAAATATCAAAGTACATTTTTAAATGGAACACCCTGTATATTATTGCATTTTTAGTTTCTACAATTAAAATAAAGGTAAATTTGATTAAGGTTTATTATACTTAAACCTTACCGTTTTTGAAATATTTTCAATTTTGTGAAATTGCAGTATAAATTTTAAGAATTCATTTCTCCGAGGGTATCAAAGTTTTTAATACTAAATATTTACTGAAGTTTATTTATTGATCAGTTATTGTGTTGCAATAATAAAAATTTTACTACCTTATACAGAGTGTCTAAATATTTATTTTAAATAATTATTAGCTTTAAACGGCAATAACTGGTTTAATTTAAATGGAACACCCTGTATATTTTATGAGAATCAGATGCACAATTTAATTGTCTATCAAATTGTATTATACCATTTTTTACCTATCTCTTCAAGTTTCCGTAGAAAATTCATTTTCTTGTAATTTAGAACTCATTTATCAATATACCCATGGAATACTGACATTTTAGATTACTTTTAAAGATGTACCAAAATTTTAAAGAGTACAGATACTAATATTGTCGATATAGTTCGTTTATTTCAGTAAAAAATAAAAAAACTGTTTAAAATTTATACTGCAATTTCACAAAATTGAAAATATTTCAAAAACGGTAAGGTTTAAGTGTAATAAACCTTAATCAAATTTACCTTTATTTTAATCGTAGAAACTAAAAATGCAATAATATACAGGGTGTTTCATTTAAAAAAATACAACTTTGATATTTTTTATTTATTTGGGACACTCTGTATCTTGTAAAAATATTTTTAAATTGTAGCTCTAATAGCCCTTCAACGAACCCAAAACTTACAATTTGTAAAAATCTAATCGTTTAGCTACAATACTCCGTATCGTATGTGGTGAACAACCCTGTATAATGGTGGGCATTGAGAGCTCCATTTTCAACAAACTCAAGATTGTAAAAATATCGGTACTTTATTTAAAAATGTGTAGCTCATAAAAGAATACAGATAATAGTATAATTCAAAAACTAAATGTTAGGAATACATCTAAGATTACAGGAAAGTGTTTTTTTTTATCTAAGGTGTTCTAAATTTATTGCAGAAAACGAAGTTTTGATTTACCCCGGTATAAACCCACCTAACCGAAATATATAAGAAAATAATAAAAAATAATGGCAACAAATTTATTTACAAACTAATACCATAATCATAAAAGTCGGATTACAAATTAAAAAGTTATGAAACATCAAACTTGGTAAAAATTTTAGGGTGGCCGAATTTTGTACCGGAGAGTTTAGTATTAGATCTCAAAAAAAACCCTAATGCTAGCCCAAAAAAAGGCACCCTGTATATCTACCTCCACCCTTCAGGTTCTTTTATTCCTTTTCAATAAATATTTTCATATTGATTTTGAATTTCCCCTCTGATGGTCGGTATAAGCATAACAAAAGTTGAAATTACCCCAGGCATGTTTTTTATTCTTCGTTCAAATTTTTTTAGGGTCAAAGAGGGGGGAAGGGGGGCACACAGAAGAAAGGGATATCTAAAGATGGGGAAAAGAAATACAGAATTAGCTTTCAGGTTTTATGTATTTTACCTTTGCATTATTTCAAAAATATTAAATAAAATACGGCTCCCTTTTTGTCTTTTTATATTTAATCAAAAATGAAGCTATATACAGTATGTAAAACGATAAAACCAATAATTTTTAGTTATTTTTGTATTAAAAAACGGACATGGTAGAGTCGGACTCGGCCAGAGAGGGTTCCGTAAAAAATTCTATATATACAGGTTGTTAACTCGACAGTTACTTATAGGGGAACAGAATGGCAACACTGTCTATTGAGAACGCATGCATTATTGATTTTTCTGCCGACTCGTCTCGTCGCGTCGTCTATCGACGAGCGGGCCAAGGTTGCCATATTTCAACCATAAAGCACTTGCCGCGAGTAATGAACAAATTAACAACCTGTATATCAGTGGCGTAGCGCTACTACCGCAAATCCCCGCAACTGCGGGGAGGCCCAACTCCAAAGGGGGCCCGAAACCTCTGAGGTCCGGGAATAAAATAATATAAATATAGAATTATTCCCAAAATAGGGAGTAGGGCGGGAGGCCGGGGGGGCCTAACTAAAGTTTTGCGGGGGGGGCCCATAATTTGTTGCTACGCCACTGCTGTATATACTAATATATAAAATCCTTAAGTGACTGACTCACTGATTAATCACGATCCTGCTCAAACCACTCAACGTAAGAAGCTCAATTTTTGGCATACAGGTTGATTCTAGGGTGTAGAGGTTCGATAAGAAGGGATTTTTCGAAATTCCAGTTCCAAGGGGATGAAACTAGCCCTCAAATATTACAATATTTTTTATTTAAAAAACGGCCAAGTTTCCGAAAAAACGCTTAAACACGTATATTTTATTTTGTTTTTTACATATTTTAAGATATTTTAAAAATGTATACAGGGTGTTTCGAAAAATCTGGTCATTGATTAATCACGATGTAAAAAGCTGATTTTGGGAAAACCGATTGACTTTAGGGTGTAGAGGTACGATAAGAAGGGATTTTTTGAAACTTGAATTCTAAGGGGGTGAAACCACCCCTCAAATATTAGAATATTTTTTATTTGAAAAACTCTTAAAAACGTATATTTTATTTTGTTGTTTTATATATCTTAAGATTTTAAAAAAAATTTATACAGGGTGTTTTATAAAATATAACCATTGAGTAATCACGATTCTGCTTAAACTGCTTGACGTTTAAAGCTGATTTTTGGCAAACGAATTGACTATGGGGTATAGACGTTCGATAAGGAGGGGTTTCTCGAATCTCAAATTCCAAGAGAGTGAAAACGCCCCTCAAATATTACAATATTTATTACAGTTGAGGGTTGAAACCTTTGGTGTTACACATCAAAATAAAACACTAAATCACCACAATACACCAAAACACTTTTACTTTTATACTGGACGCGCGTTTCGCTAACCATGTTAGCATCATCAGCAGATGATTATAAACTAAATTTTTAATAATTAAATAATAAGTTTATAATCATCTGCTGATGATGCTAACATGGTTAGCGAAACGCGCGTCCAGTGTAAAAGTGAAAGTGTTTTGGTGTATTGTGGTGATTTAATGTTTTATTTTGTCATTAAAATATTTGATATTTAAAAAACGGTTAGTCTTTCGGAAAAAATGCTTGGACATGCATAATTTATTTTGTTTTTTTACATATTTTGAATTTTTTTAAAAAATCTTACAGGGTGTTCCAAAAAGTTTGGTAATTTCTTAACCACGATTCTGCTTAAACTGTTTGATGTAAAAAGCTTATTTTTGGCAAACGGATTTTTCGAAAGTCAAATTCCAACGAGATGAAACTACCCCTTAAATATTACCAAGTTATATAATAATATCGCCATATTGTTTTTTCTCATGCTGACATAAATGTGAGAAAATGTTATCCACTTTGTATGTTAATGGAAATTCTTGCTTTGCTTTATCATCACCATTATAAATGATTAATTCGACGCGAACGACGTCGCGGACACGTTAGTAAGGTTATATAATTTCTTCCTTTTTGAGGTGAATTAAGGTTAATGTTTATTATTTTCTGGTATTGCTTACCCATAGATTGCATGCGATGTCCCCAAATATCCACTGTCCACAGATTTCGTAAATGAGGGCCATGGGCATGACCAGGATGGCCACGCACAGATCGCTGACAGCCAAACTGACCAGCAAGTAGTTACAGGGCCGTCGCAGTTTCCTCACCAGGAATATACACACGCAAACCAACGTATTTCCTGCAAAAAATCACAATTTATACACTCAGATGCAAAGAAAACGCAACGGAGAAATGTGTTACCTATATTTTTGTTATTTTTAGTCTTATTTTCATGATTTTTTAGCAAGCTGTATATAGGGTTGTTCACCACATACTACACGGAGTGTTGTAGCTAAACGATTAGATTTTTACAAATTTTAAGTTTTGGGTTCGTTGAAGGACTATTAGAGCTACAATTTAAAAATATTTTTACAAGATACAGAGTGTCCCAAATAAGTAAAAAATATTATAGTTGTATTTTTTTAAATGGAGCACCCTGTATATTATTACATTTTCAGTTTCTACGATTAAAATAAAGGTGAATTTGATTAAGTTTTATTACACTTAAACCTTTTTGAAATATTTTCAATTTTGTGAAATTGCAGTATAAATTTTTAGACTTCATTTCTCCGAGGATATCAAAGTTTTTAATACTAAATATTTACTGAAGTTTATTTATTGAGCAGTTAGCGTGTTGCAATAATAAAAATTTTACTACCTTATACAGAGTGTCTAAATATTTATTTTAAATAATTACTAGCTTTAAATGGCAATAACTTTTTTAATTTAAATGGAACACCCTGTATATTTTATGAGAATCAGATGCACAATTTAATTGTCTATCAAATTGTATTATACCATTTTTTACCTATCTCTTCAAGTTTCTGTAGAAGATGCATTTTCTTGTAATTTAGAACTCATTTATCAATATACCCATGGAATACTGACATTTTAGATTATTTTTAAAGATATACCAAATTTTTAAAGAGTACAGATACTAATATTGTCAATATAGTTCGTTTATTTCATTAAGTAAAAAAAATTGTTTAAATATTTGTTAAAGAGAAAAAATTACTATGATTCCAGTATTCAAACTACATTAATTGACTGTTTGCGTTGATTAATAATAATTGCTCCAAATACTAATAAACTGAATTATGTATGTGTATTAGACAGTGTGGTAAAAAGTAACACCTTAAAAATGATATTTAATTTTTTGACAAATGCTTGTTTATAACAGAGACGTTCATTTCATAACTTATTAATATATTGATCTCTGATTCAAATCCACATTTATTTAGAATAATTTATTAATGAACACTAACACAAATTAAATATGTAATTAATTAGTATTTGGGCGGAAATACTGGTGGTATATTTAATTAATGGTATAATCTTTTATAAAGATTTAAATAGTTTTCCTTTTGCATACAAATGGGCTAGTAATATTATCATTTTACTAAAGGCGATAATATTACCAGCCTGTACATTTTGTACATTTGTTGTTTTAAAAATAATCTAAAATGTCAATATTCCATGGGTATATTGATAAATGAGGTCTAAATAAGAAAATGCATTTTCTGCGAAAAATTGAAGGGATAGGTAAAAAGTGGTATAATACAATTTGATAGACAATTAAATTGTGCATGTGATTCTCATAAAATATACAGGGTGTTCCTTTTAAATTAAACAAGTTATTGCCGTTTAAAGCTAGTAATTATTGAAAATAAATTTTTAGACACTCTGTATAAGGTAGTATAATTTTTATTATTGCAACACAATAACTGATCAATAAATAAACTTCAGTAAATATTTAGTATTAAAAAGTTTGATACCCTCGGAGAAATGAAGCCTTAAAATGTATACTGCAATTTCACAAAATTGAAAATATTTCAACAACGGTAAGGTTTAAATGTAATAAACCTTAATCAAATTTACCTTTATTTTAATCGTAGAAACTAAAAATGTAATAATATACAGGGTGTTCCATTTAAAAAAATACAACTTTGATATTTTTTATTTATTTGGGACACTCTGTATCTTGTAAAAATATTTTTAAATTGTGGCCCTAATAGTCCTTTAACGAACCCAAAACTTACAATTTGTAAAAATCTAATCGTTTAGCTACAATACTCCGTGTCGTATGTGGTGAACAACCCTGTATACAGGCTTGCTAAAACATTATGAAAATAGGGCTAAAAATCAAAAAAATATAACACTGTTAATTTTTTTTTCGTTGTTTTGCACATCTGAGTATATTTATTTTGATTTAAACTTACCTATAATTGTGGTGATGATGATCCCGCCCAAAATGATGCACATAGCGATACTTTGCGCCAAATTATAGCCATGATCTGTGGTCGTATAGTTTGTATGATTCGACGACAATTGTCTAGAATAGTTAGCCTCCATACGAAAGGGCACTACTCAGATATACTGATAAGCATTTTAATTTAATTTAATTATTAATTAGTTAATTCTCTACTAATTTGCCTAGAATGTATCGTACAAAATAAGACATTTTAATTTTCCTTGAAATTTTTTTATTTTGGTTAATTTTGTTTTTTTTTTGGTTCACTAGGTAGTTTTTGGTTTGGGTTTCAGTCAGGATTGGGGTAAGGTCCTGTAAAGTCCTGAAAAACAAAAAAAAAATATGTTAAATAACATATACAGGATGTTTTAAATAAGTACTCATTCATTCCTCATCAAAAAATATGAAAAAAAGTTGCTATAAACATGGGTACGGAAATGCATAGTTTTAGAGTTACAGGTATGTTAAATTTTTTTTAAATTATTTTTTTTTGTATTTATCTTTTATTTTTATTTTAATTTTATTATTGTGATTAATAAAATTGCGTTTATCTCACCAAGGAGGCCGAATTCGACAAAATATCAAGAGATAACTTTTAATTGGCATTAAACGGCCTACATGATTTTGATATCGAAAGAAAAAAGTCAGTGATAACCCATATGCACGTCCCCGATAAATTTATAGACACTTTTTTAGCATCGAAATATGTAGCACTTATAGTAACTTTTACCCTAAAAATTTCATTCAAATCATTAAAAGTACTTGGAAGAAAATTATAATAAATCGACATCAAACACCCTGTAGCTACGAAACAAAGCAGAATCGGACCTATGTTGATATGAAAAATAAATCTTATTTTTATGTGAGGAATCTCCTCACGAGAAATGGCACACGTTTTTTGAAACACTCTGTATATTTGAATAAAGAGATTAAAGATATTTGGAACACCATTTAAAAATCATTTTTACTCCATTAAAAAATACAGAAGAAGAGCACGGGCCAAGAAAATGACAGTCTAGGGCTTGACCTCGTCAAAATTATCATCGATTGTCATTCCCTGGCCGTCCTTGACGCCGTTTTTTTATCGTACACTATTTAAAAAAAAATCAAATACTCACTTAAGTTGAATACGTCATTCCATCCGTCAAATCCACTATGAATCACTTAAATATAATTTAAATCCTATAAATCTAAACTGAATGTCTTTATTTTACATATTCTTGTTGTCCTAATACAATTTTTTTATGTGAAATACCACGTAGAGGATGATCACTATCGGCAATAAGAACAGCTTATCCTAGAACAAAGAAAACACAATAAACATACTTAAAAAAATGATATTATATTACATATAAACAATTAAATCTCGTTTAAACGCCTACCGTGACATGTTTTTTTATTCGATGACAGAGTAGACGAGAGTACCCAAATATAGAATAGTGTCGCTAATATGGAATACCGTCATTTCTCGGAAACGAATACGCCTAATAGCAAATATCATTAAACTCATGTGCTGTTTTTGCCTCTCACTGATGGGCTGTGTGGCCACGGTGACGGTGTTTTCTTTCAGTGCTATGAGAAAAGTCTTTAAAATAGTCAGAAAGTAAGTATTTCTTGATACGCGATTGTAAATAATATTGTATATTATGACAATGCATTTGTTACATGTTTATTTGATTGTTTTAGGGGTCTTTTCTTGTCCGAATGTGTTGAAATTTTATAGTTTAAATTAATATATGTAAAGGTGCGTCCACATTGCTCGCGAGCAGGCCGAACGAACACGTCAAACATGAAAAACATGGCAAACAGTCGAAGCGAGATGTTTACGGCGGTTTGATGCACTCGCGTTGTTTGTTTAGTTTTTAGTTTGGTTTCATTTGGGTGGCCTATCGAAAACGTTCCGCAAGGCATAACGGCCAGGGTAATGTTTTTTTCAGAAAATTCAAAAACACGTCAATTTTGTTTGTGAGGGGGACAACTTTTGCCCCAAAAATTATTGCAAAATCTTCAACCCTCTAAGCAGGCGTGTCATCCCCCGATTTTTTTCAAATGGGAAGGAGGGTCAAGGGGTACCGCAATGAAAAGGGCTTTCTATTCTCTATACTTTCCTGCTTCGTTTTTGAAGATCGGTCAAATATGAAGGATTGAAATTTGAAAAGTTTTTCAAACATTTATCAGAGTAAATGTTAAGGATAAATTCCTTCGACTAATTTGCTGGTTTTTCTTATTATTTCTAGATGTTTGCAATCGGGTTGCGCAGATTTTTAATGAACGCCATCCTGACAAACACCTTTATGGTAAAATTGTTCGCCAGTTAATAGCAAAATTTCGCGAAACTGGTTCCGTTATGAATAAAAAAAGGCAGAGGGAAAATCTTGTAGTATATGAAGCTATGGAGGTATTCATATTGGGCCAAGTTGCCATGGACAGTATTCTGAGTACAAGAAAATTAGCCAATGAGACCGGCGTGAATCGTACAAGTGTCCAAAGGATATTAAAAAAAACACAAGTTCCACCCGTACAAAATTCAGTTGGTACAAGAACTCAACGAAGACGATTTTGATCGTCGCTTGCAATTTTATGAAACTATGAGTTAAACGAGTGGCGAATGATAATAATTTCCTATTTAATGTGTGTTTTTTGGATGAGTGTACTTTCTTTTTGAACGGTGTAGTTAATCGGCACAACTGTCGGTACTGGGCTGAGGACAACCCCAGGGTTTTTCACTAGGGACACACACAAAACCCTCAGAAATTGAACGTGTGGGCTGGGATTTTTGGAAACTCTATTGTGGGTCAGTTTAACGATATTGAGAAGACCTTTAACGTACAAGTCACAGAACAGCTATCTAGCAACTACCGATCGTTCAACGTTGTGGCAAGGGAAAAAATGCGTAAACATCTAGAAATAATAAGAAAAACCAGCAAATTGGTCGAATTTATCCTTAATTATCATTTACTCTGATAAATGCTTAAATAAACTTTTCAAATTTCAATCCTTCATATTTTCTCAATGACTCGACCGATTTTCTTGATATTTTGCTCGATTCCTCTTCGAAATATAGAGTATATAAAAATTCGCCCGCTTTAAATGAGTAGGCTTTGAACGGCACCGGCTGTAATGCAAAAAAATCTAGCTACGAGCATCAATTAAAACGAAAATAATATTTGCTATGAGAGATGCAGAATTTTATAACTATTTAAAATATATTTAATCAACATCAACACATTTAAACTATATCTAATAACAAGAAAAATAAATAGCAAACCAAGACATGAGATTTTGCTATAGGTGTTCGACATATCAACCGTCTTCTGTTATGGACAGACGGGGCAGTTTTTGAACATTTCTCGCGGAATTCTTTAACTCAGTGGGGGTGAACGATGCCCTCTCATAACTGCTAAGTATTTCTAATTCTTGTCTAGATTATACGGAAGAATAAGGAACCTTTATTTTTCCGCAAATATATCGATAGGATTAGATCCATTGGCACTAAGTCAGGCGGCCTCGACGGCCAACGGCTGGAATCTTGGTTGGCTATTCAATTATTCTTGAAATTGGATGCAAAAATTTGCTGATAACTTCAGCGATCACAGGCGGTGCGTCGTCTTGCTGGAAAAATATGTTTTCGAGTTCCATTCAGGGCATATCATCAATAAAGGGTCCAAAGCCTACTAGTTAAAAGTGGCGAACTTTTAAAAATTCTGTATTTGGAAGGGGATTATAACAAAATATCAAGTGTGCTATATTTTTGGAAAGGTAATTTAAAATTTTTTTCAGTTAATTAAGAATATAAAGGGTGTCCCAAATAAAAAATCAATTTTTCTGTTGATAACTCTTAAATTATTAATTTTAAAAAAATTATACTTAAACCATTAAATTCTAGGTAAAAAGGTGCTTTGGAAATGTTTTTATAGAAATACAAAATTTTCGATAGCAAAAAAGTTACAGCGATTTGTTAAAAATGCACATTTTTGAAAAACACCCCGTAACTCCGAAACGGTAACAGATATTGATGAGCGGTTTTCACCATCATGTTTTTGATCAAAATTGAGCTCCAGATACCGATATTAGTTTTCGTCTATCTCCTATAGAAAAGGGTGTTTCCGTTTAAAAGCGTCGAATTTGACCCACCCTGTACACGTTTGTCTAATAGTATTAATTGATATATGTCACTTATTTAAATCACTCTATCTTCTATCAACAATAGTTTTGTTTATTTTTTCTATTAGAACTAGTTAGTACTAAAACTAAAACTATTTTTAAGCGGTACCTACTTGATTTAGAACTTCGCATACAAATTCCATATTGAAGAACACAATGTTGCTTGAACTAGTCTATTTCTTCCTGATTTTCTTTTTCGATTAAATCAAGAAGCAGACTTTTTTGGTTTATTGTAGTAGTTCCAATTTGTTGATATCTGTAACAAAAGAAAAGAAATATATGAAATCACTGTAATATATTTTTTCTTAAATTTACGCTGTACTCTGTATTTATAAAGTACTCTATTTGTGCTGGTAGTTCTTCAGGACTATTGGCAATTAGGAATATGTCATCAAAATAGAATTATTGTATTTTATATTCATCATTTTAGTAATTATATTTTTGTAAGATTGTATCTATTTTAGTTTCCTAAAAAAAATAAAAAAATGAATGCATTTACTATACATATAGGTATAAAAGATGACAGCAAAAGAAGTAATATGCAAAATAACAACACAAACGATGCATCTTTCGTACGTGTATATTTTTTATTAAAATGTACAGAACATGTGGGTGATATTTTCCATGTGAATATACCTTGGAAATTTTAATAAAACACAAAAATTTGATAAAAATATCCTGTGAAAATGTTTCCAATTTTAAATCACAGTATTTTTTGACTATAAATATATTTAAATTTGTTTATAAATCCTTTAACACCTAACTAATCTCATATTAATAACAAATTATTTTTGAATACTTGCTTGCGGGATATTCGCATTAACAATTTATGGTATGTGCTAATAAAATTTTTGTTTGGGAATTCTCGTTGATCCTTATCTTTATTATCATATTTTAGTTATTATATGTATTTTAGAGTTAATAATCGGTTCAAGATATCATTTTAATATAGTTCACCGTTTGATGTTGTATGTAGAAACTTAATTCATGTTAACAATTACTTCGTGAAATGAAATATTTTCTTTCAGTTTTTATTAGTAAAGTTTTAAGTATAAACTTTACTAATTGAAGTTTCGGTCTGGATAATTTTGAAATTTCGTTAGTTAACTAGGAATATCCGTATTGCAGACAGTAATATGGTTAAAATTATGCATTTTAAGCTGGCAAATAAACGTTTAGATCCTTGTATCGATTAATCCAGATCTCTTTGTCCTATTTTAGCACCGAATTTCACATACAGGCGCGCATAGAAACCAATATTACCGGAATTAGGGCTTACGAATTGAATTTATTAATTATTAAATGCGATTACCTAACGAAATCCCGTTTATATAATATAATAATCGAGTTACGTATCACGGTTTTATATAATATAAATTTGATATAATTTATTTTGTTATCCTCTGTATTGGTTGTTAATGTATGGTTGCCAGGTTGTTATAGCCTAATTCCTCTTCATATTTCACATTTGTGAAAATTACCAAAATAACGTAAATGAAGGTAAATAATTAGGTATAAGCGAAGCTAGAAGTTCTCGTCCCTGAACTAGAAAAGGCACTTCAAGATATAAAAAACAGAAAAGTAGCAGGGAACGACGGAATAACAGCTGAAATACTTAAAAGTCTATTTCACTATTCCGAAAAAGTAGCAAAATAGGCGTTTGGCATTTAACGTTTTATGTAAAACTGAAAAAAAAATTTACACAAATGAAGAAGAAAATTAAAGATAAAGGATTATACTATATCCGTATTCTAGCACATTTTTAGACAACTTCTTTATTTTTAAGATTTTGATGGTCAAGCATCAACAAAATATTCCTTATGTTTGGACTAAATTTTATCGAAAATAAAGACAATTTGAGATTCCGTTACAGTATGGAAATAGATTGAAGTTTTGTGATTACAGTGATATATAATTTATATGGTTTTGTAACAAATTGCCCGTTATTTTATGACAAATGCTGAAGATCTGGAAACCTTAATCAAGCCTTAATCAAAGCACGTGTGTTTGGAATTTTGGGTGTGGCTTAACACGACAGGATCGGGCTAAGCCTCAGGCAAATTTCTGAAATATAATATATATATTTCCTTCGGCCACACACCCGCTTTACCCGACCCCTGAGAGTGAGCCGAAAGTACAGTGTAATCAAAGATATTTAAAGTCAAGAGATACAACGATCCATTCATAAAACGCTCTAAAACTTCATCACACATTGGTTTGCGAAAATCATCGAGTGCCAAAGAGAGTGGACAAAGAAGGGAATAGGGTATCGGCGCAACGGCAACAATGTAGTTGTTTACAAAGATTAGACGGTTGAGGTCATTAATTGTCGTGCACATGTGACCGACAGTATTTTAAGAAAATTAAAAAAATAAAACATCAATAGTTCAGGCGTCAAGTTGCTAAACCCGCCCCAAACAACTGAGGGGAACATTGAGGGGAATCATTGTTTTGTATTTCGTTTTAAAAATAAAATAAAAGCACTGTACATCAAAATTCCTTCCCCGATCCCTTTAGCCCATTTTTAGAAATTCAAAGACTCGAAAATAACGGAATTTATTTTTAAAATATCTATTTTTACGGCTTGTTCGCCCGACACAGACAACACACAAAAAGGAATATCAAACGAAGAGATGTATACATAAAAAATAACTTGATTTACATCAAAACCGGTATACGTTAATATAAATGAGTTTTGTATTCCTTCTCCTTGTTTTTAAACTTTATTTCGTCCATTATTCAATGTCGTCGCGAAAATTCTGACAATTTTTCGAATTTAAAATAGACTCTGCAAACTCTAGGTAGGGATGGGGATATTGTATCAATGTTTTTTAAGTATCGATAGTTATAAAAAAGTGACTCTGCAAACTCTAGTTGGGGATGGGGATATTGTATCGATGTTTTAGAGTATCGATAGTTATAAAAAGTGACTGCCAGCTCTAGGTAGGGATGGGGATATTGTATCGATTTTTTTAGAGTATCGATAGTTATAAAAAAGTGACTCTGTAAACTCTAGGTAGAGATGGGGATGTTGTATCGATGTTTTTAGAGTATCGATAGTTATAAAAAAGTGACCGCCAACTCTAGGTAGGGATGGGGATATTGTATCGATGTTTTTTGAGTATCGATAATTATAAAAAAAGTGAAACCGCAGACAACGGCCTAAACACATTCCCTCTAAAATCTATGATTCAGAGAGATAAATAAAAATAATTTTATTCATAATACGTGTTGATTTTTTAATTAGAAACAATTAAGTTTAGTATGACAGCTGTTTTGTTATAATTATACAATGTGTATTCGATAATAATTAGACGCCTAAGGCTATACCGGATGATGACTGTATTAGTACTGTTTGATTTCAAATTAACGACAATAATAAAATGCAAGATGTTTTGTTTGAATTAATAAGGACTGATTTTATAAAATAATAGTTGTTTATGTATGAAGGAAATTATAAGGGTTTAATTACCGAGGGCAAAGTTTCTGTGTGCAATCCTGACAATAAGTGTCTTGACAATAAAAACTTGTTAATCTGGGTTAACAATGAAAAACAAACAACCAATCACGGCGAATGAAAAAAAAAAGAACTGTTTGTACTTTTAAGCACAAACAGTTCTTTTAAGAAATAAATTTTCTAGTTTATGTATTGCATTTCTTGAAATTGTGTGTTGAAAATATGCCGAAGCATTTAAACTGTTGAAGCAAAGAGCTTGTAGCTTCCCTGATAAACTATTTTCAACGAGAACGTGACAATAAAGGTCCTTCATTACACTTGACTGCAATCAGAGATGTAAGTTTGATTGATAAGCACATTACACTTTCGAAGTTATTTCTACGTTAGTTGTTATTAAATTCTGTGATTATTAGTTTGTGCACCCTCTTACTTGTTATTACCACTTATGGCGTTGTAAGATGCACATCAATAAATAAATAAAGAACCCATAATAACGCTTTAGAATTTAGAATTTAGAATGAGTGGGAGGGGGGTTAATCACTTCGACCTTACAGATCCATTGTGTCCCCCTTTCTTGAATCATAACTCATCATACAGTCCCAGGGCTTTGACAAAAGCCAGTATCTGGGACGGTTTTATAGAGGGTAGTTCTCCATCTCCAATATCAGTCGTACCAAAATTCATGGCACGAATGGTTGTCGTCTCGGCGCACTCAGTGATGAGGTGTACTGGTGTTTCCCCATCTTCCCCACAGAATCTGCATTCGCCGTTTCTTCTTAGTTTCAATCTACTGAGGTGTTCATTGAGGAGACAGTGTCCTGTTAAAAACCCCGTGACAATCCGAAGATTGTTCTTACTCAGACCCAGGAAGATCTGTAATTTTTCTTGATCATAAGCCCTCAGAAACTTCTTCGAGTGTCTTAGACCATTGCAAGATTTCCATTCCAGGTTGCGGATGGAATCTTCCAAGTTCTTGAGTTCCGCCTTGAGTTGGTTACCACTTGGAAAGCAGAACGGTTCTGGTCCAGTTAGTGGAGTGTTAGCTCCTTTCCTAGCTAGATTATTTGCTTTTTCATTGCCTTCTATCCCTTGGTGAGCAGGCACCCAGAGTAGGAGGACTTTGTTTTCTTTGCCTAATTTATTCAGCTTCTCTATGCATTCTTTGACCAATTTCGAATTGATCGATACTGAGTTGATCGCTTTTAACGCTGCTTGACTATCAGACAAGATGGCTGTTTCTTGTTTCCGATAGTTGCTATCTAAGATAAGTTGTACGCATCTTTCGATAGCGTAGATTTCTGCCTGTAGGATACTAGGGTAAGTGCCCATTGGTTCGGAGTATTTAGCTCTCGGTCCAAACACTCCGATCCCTGTTCCCGTATTGGTTTTGGAAGCATCAGTATACCAAGTTATGGTATGGTCTTTTAACTGCTGGGCAAGCGTTTCGCTCTTCAATCCTTCTTATTGCTCAATACTACATTGACATGTTTGTCAAAGTTGTACGTTCTTGGCATATCGTCCACTGGGAGTTGCAGGAGTAGTATTTCCTTTTTGAGGGTGTTCCAAGCCCCTGATCTGACAATTCTCCCAGTACTAATTCCGTTAGTGACCATTCTAATCATTGTCGCATTGGCATATCTACCAATGACAATGTGCAGTGGTGTTAGATCTAGAATGACTTCCATTGCTGCTGTTGGACAGGTTCTCATGGCTCCTATGATGCAAACGCATGCTAGTCTCTGGACTTTGCACAGGTTTAGCCTTGCCGTCCGTTGCTCTAGATTTGTGTACCAGGCAAC